CTTAAATATTAATCACTAGTGAAAAGCTTAGATTTGCAACGAATACCTAAGAATTAACGGAATGCGATTTGAGTCACAAATCATAAGTTATAATAATTTTGATTTTTTAGCCGCTAGCTCCGTTGTTTTTTCTTAGCATTTTCTTAAAAAAACAATTAAAGAGAACATCCCAAATTAGTATCTTAATGACTTGAAAAATTTCTTGATTTCCTGCAAAAAAAAAACACGTCAGCGAAAATAAATGGCTCTGATAATTTTTTAATATTCCAAAATAGTAATAATTTTTCTCTGCTTAGGTATCGTTCTCTCTTTCTCTAACTGTTCTCCTTTTTCTGCACGTGGAAGAACCTTCCATTACGATTATTTATATTTAAAAGTTCAAAAACGCCCTCAATATCCGTTTCAAAATTTTTGAAGTATATTTGGATAAGACTAATAAATAATTCATGCATTTTTTATCGTGAAGTTCAAATCTTTTTTTGGCAAATGGTTTTGATTCCGTAAATATTAATACGCTGATTCCTGATATTCTAAACAGAGTGAACTGCTACAAGAATTTCAAATGCATCTGTTGTCTTGACGGCACAACACGAACAACAAAGAGCGACTCCTTTTGACATTTCATGGAACTAAAGTGTTTCATAAAATTCATCACTCATCAGGAAGTGGTAATAATTTCAATAAACGTCAAAATCACAATGTCCCCCCGTTTTTGCAAAGTCTCGAGGCTCAAATCATGGTATGCTAATTATATTTTTTTTTCCTATTCGGCACCTCCCAAATATTAAATAATTCTCACGTCTGCGCTTGCCGCTGTTTGTCTTGTGTTGTTACAGAAAACCGCATAATCAATCAAAAATGGGAAGTTCTTTTTTTGTTCGTTGCATTGTTATTGTTTATTAGAATCAAATTCGGACATTCTTTTTGAATTGCACTTGCCGGCTAGGATTTCGTAAAAATTGAAGTGCGATAACGGCATTGTTGTCATTTTTCTTTTTTTTTGCATGTGTGGCTTCGTGCGAATTCGCAAAAAAATGGTAACTCTGAATTCAGGTGGATTTTATTTCGGATCTACCACAGGTGAATTTAGTCAATGTTAACTATTTTTGAGTCACAATCCTAGGTAAAAATTATCAATTTTGTTTTCATTATGACTACCAACGTATTGCATGTATTATTGAAAAATTCCACCGTATCCATTCAATAAGTCTGAATTTAAAACTACACATTTCTTTGCAGCATCATTGCTTTATTTAATAAATTATTAACAATAACAATGTTAAGCGGCCATACATTATTGGAAAAAAGGAAATCAATATAGTCTAGGGAATTTTTGTTTTAAAAATTTATTGGGCGCTTCAATTTCAGCGAGACTTTTCGAATGCCAATTATTAGGCCAAACACTTGTCAAGCATTTATTCATTTTTCGCAAGTTTATGGATATAGCATATAAAAATTCGACTAGACAATTTTTATTTCTGACGCAAAATGCATTGGAACTTAATATGATATCATGTTAAGTGCCTGTCTTCAAAAATTCCCAGGATTAAAGTTTTGTCGGAAAAAATTAGAGGAAATGAATTTATATACAACGCAATATGCAGAAAATGCATTAATTAAATGGAAAATCGCATAATAGTACTTATTTCTCAATATATACCTGAATTCATGATGGGAAATTTTCTCGAACTACCACAGTATTCTAGAATATTATTACTTATATGTTATGTTAATTTATATAGCAAAACATCTGGATAATTCGGGATATTAAGAAAAAATTCCTGAAGGATTTGTCCCACGCAATATTGTGTTGCTTCTTCGCTTTTTCCCCGCAAGTTCAATATTTTGTTGGCCCTATTAAAACGCAAATGAAAGTTATATTTGACAGACCCACTCAAAAATTCTCATTAATCACACATGCATATTTAACAAGATAGTGTAAAACACAAATATGAACTTAATGTGTACCAACGAACATAACAGATATGTTCATATTAATTGATTGTTTCTAATCAATCATATTCATTTTTTAATTCAATTTTTGATTGATTCCATTCCATTTATTATGTTCAATCTTCTTTGTCTTCTCACAATATTCTTTAAAAGTCTTCCACAAAAAAACAAGCAGATGCTAACCGATATATGAAAGAAGCAAAATGAATAATTCCAACATTTGAATAGTTGACTTGCGTGCAATTTTTGATTAGTAACTTCGAAGAAATCCACCCTCGCCCTCGAATAACAAAAGATGTAGCTCAGGTATTTATAACATGCAACAAATAAGCGCTGATTGATTCCGACCACACGAAACGCGCAGGAAATTTATTCGCAATGACGATTCTTCCGCTCCATGTGGAACAAATTTTTATTTTTAGTAATTCTTGTTACTAAATTTAGATGGCGCACCTTGTTGCAGCTAATTTGACTATGTCTAACTATTGCGTATAATGCATAATCCCACGTAGACTGATACCCCTTTCCTGAAAAAAATATGTTTATTGTGATACCATTGTATGCGTAATTAGCGTGTTTTCTTATGAATGCCAATGTGTCCTCCTAATCTTTTCATTTTGCTACAATAATCTCCATTCTCCTCGTTTTTCGATTTCGTCCCACTCTATCTAAAATGAAATCCAGATTAGTTGAATAATTTATGAATTTCTATGCTCGATGATGTCTGAAGGAAAAACGTTCATATAGTATCGGATTAATTATTCAAAGCTTCGCCAAATTGTTCACAAAAAAAACGATGTATAACCATAAATTATATATAATTTACACGTCAATTATCATATTTTCGTATGAGGCAGATTTCTTCCGATAATTGCGGGTTACTTTATCTATAGAAAAAGGAATGTGTTGAAAATAGAATGAAATATTCGAAGCATTTTTTTGCAGTTGTGAATGAATGAACATGATTACCCAGATAACAGGAAAAAAAATATGTTTGCATTTTCTATACCGAGTTTATGATTCATTAATATTGCCACGTGATCAATTTCGATATTTTGAGTTTTCGGAAAAAAGTTCACAATTTTTTCTTATTTTTTTCCTTATAAATTTGCTTTTGAAATTATGTCTTCCCGCCAGGACTGTATGGAAAAACCATTCGAGAATGTTACGGAAAAGCTCCTTGCTCCAAATATTTCGTTTTCTATTTGATTTTAAGCAAAATTAATTAATTTTTTAAAATCAAAATTATGACGATAATCGCATTTGCCGTATTTTAAGGAATTTTTTTTTTAATTTCCCGAAAAAAAAGTTTTTTTTTTACCTAGAAATTTCTGGATGACCGCCTGAAAAACCTAAACACTTAATCGCATATCTTTGTTTTTTACTGACATCAAAATTGTCCTTTATGAGATCAAAATTATTTTGGCATCCTACGCTTACTCATTACATAGAAGCGCTAAATTTGATTCTTGAGCTTTTTCGATCTTTGGGAAGTTCCGAAGGTTCTCATATTTTATGCACATTGATTCTTGTCTAAGGTTATAATCTAATTGGCAATTTCTCGCGAAAAGAAACTCGAGTGAGATATCATAAGCAACAACTCTTCTTTATAAAATCAACGTAGAGCGCTCAACCAAAAAAACACAATTTTTGTCGCCGCCGCCGAAATTTAGGTAATTACACTTGCTTGCTCCTTAATATTCGCATGTTTCCTCAAAAAAAAAAACGCTGAACTAGTATGGTAATTAAATTGAAAGAATCGAATAAAAAACAAACATCTTTCAAGTATAATAATTTTGGGTCATCACGCATTTCTCATTTCCTTTTCGGATAAATAACACCGACTCCGGAAAAATGAGGAATTCTGTGTATGCCGATATTTTTTTGCAATTTTTAAAATCAACCTAGACGTCATGCTCATATTATGAGTTTTACTATTATATATTACTAATCCTTTTTCAGTTAATACGTCTGGCATTTTTCTTGACGTATAGTATTTTTCTGCTACTGATGATTGAAGAAGTTGGGAAAATCATAAATACCAGTTTGTATTTTTTATATTCCACAGTTGGAATGAAATTATTACGAAGAACACATCACTTCAAATTTGTTATTATTAACGGCTACGATGAAACCTTATATGAAAATGCTTCTAGCTTGAAACGTAATCAAACATAATCTGTTTGTATAGAAAATTGATCACTTTGATCACGTAGTTGATCCAAACGATTCCTTGTTTGATTTATTTTGCTTTAGTTAGCGTATTTTCCACCATTCCATTTTTTTCCGTATTAGATTTTTCAAAACTTGAAATCCTATTTTTAAATGTTTTTGCGAAAATTTTTTTGTGAAAAATACGAACTTTGCGAAAAGTAACTCGAACATTGAAAATTGTAGACAAATTTAGACGCATTTAGAAAAAAACTAAATTGAATGTGCAATGAGGGAAATGATATGCAAACAGGATGAAGATTCGTTCAAATAACGAAAAAAACAAATTAGCTAATTATAGATGTCAAATTAGGATGTCATTAGAATAAATAAAATTATCTCTATAACAATATTCTTAACATTCTTCGATGCGATTTTCAATCTTCTCTCTCAAATTGCACAAATTAGGAAAAGTTCACAATCCTAATACTTTGGACCTTCTTCAATGTATAGACATATAACGATTAAAATACATGACGAAAATGTTTTCTTTTTTCAAGACAACATAAAAAGTATACACGCAAAATCGTAAACTCTTCTAGAATTTCGAATAATGCACGTGCGACATTTTTTGTCTCATTACTCGGACTACTTAAATTCATGAACAACTCTGTTCCGGACTCTTTCACTCAATATATATATATATCTCGAACTTTTACTTTTGACGCATTCACGTGTGATGTAGGAGGAAGGGTTAGTTTATATGTGAACCCCCCCCCACCACATATTGCGCTTGATAATTAACTAACATGGGTCGAAATGACTTTATATACTTTTTTAAATACCAACTTCTTCTTTATTCATCTTTTGAACTTTTGTTTTAATAGTGTATGATAATGGAGGTCAAAGACATCGACAAGTATTGCCCTCGAGGAATCTCTCCAAACGCATCAAATTACATCACTCATCCCTTTAATGGAACATGCTTACAAGTATATTTGCTAATAATTATTGTGGTTAAGCACGTTTTTTATATAATTCAGAAGTTCTTCTCTCAGCTTCAAACTTCACTTCGCAGGTTCAATCAATGGGAAGAAATTCTTTATACGACGGTATACATTATTATCTCAGTGGCTGCTGTGATTGGTAATGGCTTAGTAAGTCATCGAACAACAATAATCTTGAAACACGCGCGCAATTTTAGGTGATACTAGCCGTTGTTCGGAAAAAATCAATGAGAACTAATAGAAACGTTCTTATCTTAAACCTGGCTCTCTCAAACCTGGTATAACATTAACATTTTTGAAAATTTTAACATGTTTTTCTGTTTAAGATACTTGCTCTCACAAATATTCCGTTTTTATGGCTGCCGTCAATTGATTTCGAATTTCCGTATTCTCGGATATTCTGCAAATTTGCAAACGTTCTTCCGGGAAGCAATATTTATTGCTCAACTCTAACAATATCGGTCATGGCAATTGACAGGTCTGATTTTTGACATTTTTTATTTTTTTCTTGCGCATTTCTGTTTGAAATTGACTTTTTTTGCAGATACTATTCCGTGAAAAAGCTGAAAATCACATCAAACCGGAAGCAGTGCTTTCAAGCAGTCGGTGTTTCCGCAGTCATTTGGGTTGTGTCATTTATCCTATCTCTTCCACTTCTCCTTTACTATGAGACCACAATGCTATATGTCATGAAAGTAGGAGGAGATCATTGTGGCAATATTCGCCAATTGGACCAATTTTAGGAAATTAAAGTCATGGATCCCGATGGAAGAGAAGTGAACAGAAGCTATGGCTGGAGGCAATGCCGCTTAATGGCTACTGAGTCCTCATTATTTAACATAGAGACCCAGAGTATTACGGTACTTGCTCAAAGCCCATTAGGAACCAATTAACGCGGTTACATTTGCAGTTAATGATGTCAGTACTCCAAGTCGTTTTTCTTTATGTTGTTCCACTGTTCGTACTTGCAATTTTCAATTTAAAATTGACGCGATTCCTCAAAACGAATGCCACCAAAATGAGTAAAGTGCGCACTGCACCAAGAAGAGAAGACGTAAGTGAAAACAATCAAAGCAGATCATCAAGAATTCATTTCGCAGAACAATTCTCTTAATAAATTCATAAGCCCTTCACTACGATCGCCATCTATGCCATCAATTCGAAGTTCAATTACGGAAAGGCATGGATCGACAAGGAGGGCGAGCCGCACAACATCGCTACTTATTGCGATGGCTGGTAGCTACGCAGCATTGTGGTTTCCATTCACATTAATCAGCTTTTTGCTTGATCTGGATCTTTTGAATACAGTTGGGCATCTGACAAGAATGTCGAATTGAATTTTGATTTTTAGCAAGCTAATGTTGGATTGGTTGAACGAATCGATCAAACCTGCAAAATGATTTCAATGCTTTCAATTTGCGTCAACCCATTCCTTTACGGATTTTTGAATACTAATTTCCGGCATGAATTCGCAGAAATTTACTATAGATACATAAGATGTCAAACGAAATCACAGACACCATCACGGCTCAATAATGAGTTTTCCTCTATTGCCCATAATAGGTAAGAATTCAAATTGGAGCCAATAAATATTGAACACCAAAATTACAGACAAGACTCGATGTATAATGATGATAATTCTTTACTGCCATCAAGAACCTCGTCGGCAACAAATCCAGTCATTTCACCACGGGAATTCAACCAGAAAACGTTTGAAAAATTGTTTAATAGCATTAAACATTGAAATTGTAGTTTCAGAACTAAGACTAGCTTTCGCACTCAATCTGTGAAAACAAAACTCATTGACGATAGAGTTCTTCTTGATGAAGATGTCGAAAAGGACAGCTTCGTTTAAATAAATATATGTTTTTTTTTATTTTTTTCTGCTTTAATGTTCATAATTATTGACATCTTCATGATATGATTGGTTTAATGTGATCTCGCCATTTCTCTATCAATTATGCAATGAATTCAATAAACAATTTATAATATCTTTGTAAAATGTGGGATTCAAAAAGATTATGAGCAATCAGAAGAGGGGAAAACGCTGAATTTCCATTAGAAGATCCAATAAATAGTTTTCTGAAAATCATGAACGTCATCTAAATTTAAAATCAATAATATTTTAGAAATTGTACCGGGGGCGTGCCTGGAGCGCAAGGAAACTCACGGGTCAACAAAAATGTTTTGTATTTACACGAAGATTGTATTCCCACATCCATTTTTTTCTTTTTAAATATCCATTATTGTTCTAAAGTTTACTTCAATTGATTAAATATGTTATGTGAAATGTTATATGTTAAAAAATCCCGAAGTTCAAAAAAATTTTTACCTTTGCAAAAAAAAAACGACCGCCTTGAAAAATGGTGTATATTTTCAGACCGGCACTTTAATTTTTCGATTTAAACTGTGGGAATTAACCTATCACATCTAAAATCATTCATGTGAGATTTTTTATTGGTTTCAATTAATAAATTAAAAAATAAAATAAAAATATGGTTTCGTTCAATCAATTTTTCAAATTATAATTGTGCTAATTAATTTTTACTTTATTAAAAGATCTACAAATAGAAATATCAAACAAAATGTTGGTTTTTATTTATTTTTTCCAACAACGCGACATAAAATACATAAAGTGTTCGTTTTGGTTTCCATTAATTTTCCAATAATCTAATTATTTTATATTGTTTACAGCCATACATATAAGGCAGCATTTTCCAAGGTGGGCGGCATTGTTTCGTTGCGACAAATCGCAAACGAATTTTCAACGCTCGATTTTCCTTCAATGGATTGGACACGTGGTATTCTTTCTGCTCGCCACTTTCGAGATGATTATGTAAGTTTCATACATTGATATGATTGTAAGAAATATTTTCATTTACAGCATCATTTTACATTTCGTTTGGACAACTACCGGAATTTAATCGAGGCTCATGTAAGTAAAGCGGACAATTCATTTTTAATATGGTCAAATTAAAGGCACAAATCCTACCACATTGCTTCAATGAAACTATCCAGCACAATGCTCATCTTATGCAAATCATTGGCAGATTGACTAGAGAATTGATCGACGAGATTCAGCGGGACATTTTCCAGGGACTAGCTGTGACACCGGTTCGTTTCTATTCAAGATTTGAATGATAGTAAAATAATATTGTGTGTGCTTTTAGGAACAACTCTCGTTGGGTGTTGAGCCTAATTTTTATTAATAATTATTTAAAGGATAATTTCTTAATGTAATAATAATTGCGAGGACTCATAAAATACAAACTAATAAGCCATTACAATCCAATTAACGCACAACACCAACCGCGAAAAATTGTTTCTTACTACCCAACAGCAATTTACCCAGTTAATGGAGAGTTAATTCAAAGTTTCAATATGTATTTTTAACATAACAACGATTTGAAGAACGTTAATCTGAAAAGTATTATTGAGAGGAGATCAAATAAAATATATTTGAAATTTTATTTTTACCATAGATTCAACCTTAAAACTTTGGCATTGACTTTATTCATCATTTGATTATTCACACGTGTAAGCAAAAAAAATAAAAATAAGATGCAAAATCGATAATCGAATTATTAATTTAATTCGATTATTTTATTGATTTTTGATGATATAAAAACAAAGGCGCCTTTCCATAATATTGTCACACAATTTTCTACTGAACGTTGTTTCCTTTCATGAATCCCTTGTGCCATATTCTTTTACCATTCCAGTTCAGATCTCAAGCTGTAAGTCTTTCATTTTTGGATTGCGGCGTATTGTTCAATTTCAGGAGCTCGTGGCGGTTCGATATGTTCATTATTATCATCTAATGGAGACTCGGGTTAGCACTTACAAAGCAACCATTTAAATGATTGTCACTCAGGATCACGTTGCCGATTTCTATTTCAACGATGATCAATTGCGTCTGGATCAATACTTGATCCATTTTGCCAACGACACCAACAATCATCTCTTTGAAGTCGAGGACATCATGACAAGAGGGCAAGTGCCTACCGAGGTATGACAATGCATTTTTCGAATATCGATTTTGATGTATTATCAGGAGGACATCAAAGAGATCGAAGATCGAATCTACTTGTTGGCTCTTATGGTAGATCGGCTCGCATTCGAAACCGTCGGCATTCATCCAGTGATACATTGCTGCATTCAGCACATCATTCCCCAGCTGATGTTTTAATTGACTCTGCGAACTATTTTGCATAAACTCTATTTTTTTAAAAATTTATTCGGTACACACCACTAAAAAAATAATATAAAAGCTTTTTGGAATGATATTATGTCATTAATCCAAAATTACGCTACGTATATTCTAAATAAAGGGGCATTTATGAAATTTGGATATAGAGGTTGGAATGATTCACGAATATAAATTTGTAAGAGAGTAATAAAACTGATCACTGGATTTATCAGGCATTCGGGGTTGAGAGGGCATTTTGCAGAAAGGCGATTGAAATAATTTGGCTACTAATTGCATTGCTAATGAAAATTGGACCATTTGGTGACGACTATTTTTGGAACATCAATAATTTTGAAGAAGGTTCGTTTTGAATCGTGATGGTAGATCATTAAGTTTTACATCTTATCTTGGAATGGTGAGTTCAAGCTAATCTGAAAAAAATCAGTTTTCAGCTTATTCTCATATCTTTGTTGTTCAACCTTGCTCTTCTGCCCAGTGGCTCCTCTGCCCGCCATTTCGCCAATCGCCTCCTTCACCACATTGCCTTGAGCCTTGGCCGCACGACGCAATTTGCGAAGGCGCACAAGATTCATATGGGAAGGACGAGGCGGAGTTGGGCTACGAGGACGGAACACCACATGATCGTCGGCCGAGCACAGAGTGACCTAAAACTACATAATTTGATTTAAAAAATTGATACTATTCTAATTTCACAAATTTTAATAAAACTTGGGTTAATTTTACTGCATATTACGAACTGTTTGAATTTAAATTTACCTGACGCGAGACGCGATGACGCGACAGAGCGAACTGAATATCGCGGGATTGAACAAGATTCTGCAAACAGAATTGCTCAGTGTCGCTGACTCCAAGACATCTCGTATAACGATTGATCGATCCTCTCTCAGAAGGAATGCGGAAAAAACCAGTAGTGCGGAGATTGATATCATGCTTCTGCTTAGCTGCCTTAGAAGACACTTGTGCATCGTCGCTGGAGCAGGAGTTTGCCAAGGATATGCTCGAATCAGCCTGAACAAAATATCATTTAAAATATATCAAAATTCTCCAGTTTTCCTACGGCAGGTGTAGTTGAACGGTTTTGTCCAGTTTTGGCTGAAATATCTGGTTCAACGTCAAAGTCGGTAATGCTAGTAATCTTTAGTAGAGATACAGCTAGCATGGCGTGTCTGAAAAAAAAAGTTGACGCAAATAATGAGAAATTTGTAATTAAAAAAAAAACGAAAAAAGTTGCTAATTGCTGAGAGGGGAACAGACGACAGGAGATACGGCATTGGGTGTGATTCAATAAAACAGTGTGCAAAGATGCACATTCACCCCGAATGTGCGGCGAATATCACGACTCATCGCGTGTTTTTTTTAACGTACCAGAGTGGTTAGGGCAGTAAACATCGCTGATCGAGTTTAGTGATAAACAGAGAAAAAAGGTGATCACGCCTTGAACGTTTGGTCCCTGTCATCCACGTCTACCCATATAATTGCGGAGAATAAGGAAAAGATATGAGTTACCGAGTTAGAACACTTTCGTGCCAGGAGTTCGAAAACGCTCTTCCAAACGCAAGGATGAGACTGGCAAATAAAACTGAAGAAAATGCAACACGAGGAAATGAATGGGCATTTGCCGCGAGTGTACCTGCATTGAAGAATGAAAACAAATTATTTGTGTTGAAACTGTGGGAATACGCAAATCTGGTGTACGTTGGTCTCAAGCAATAGATGAAAAAGGCATGGCAGTGATCATTTTGCTTGAGCTTAGCGTAGCTAATGGAGACAAAAAACACAAGATATTTATTGTTATTGTAAAGAATGATGAAATAAAAAGAACGAGATTATTTTAACCATCAGCTTTATCTTATTGAAAGGCCCTCAAAAAACTAAGTTAATCGCGCAACGTGGAAATATCGTATGATATGAGTAACACAGAAATAGACCAGACCGCCGTAATTTTACCCACGCGTACATTGCTCATCTCTTCAATACCCGAATAAATGCAAATTGTATATTTTAGTATACACATTTGTAGATTTTAAGGCGTTTTATCGTTTTGTCACTAACATAATATTAAGCCATCGAAATTGGGGATGTTGTCCAACTGTGAAAATGTGCTGTGGAGAATAGTATATGTGACCTATTAAAGATTTGATGTTCGGAGCAATAGGTTTCGTGCCAATAAATTTGAGGACAGAACGAGTATTTCATATAGAAAAAAAACATGACGAATGAGTTGTCCTATAAACTGTTCTGACACCATCGTTCAAATCATGAGGACGAATAGATTGTTGGGCGGATGTTGATCACTACGAAAGAACGACAAATCAAGATTGTAATTATTTATGAATTCTCAGAGATAAACTGATTAAAATAAAAAATTGCAGTGTCTCAGAAATCCCTACATAATCCATTCTAGGATTATGGAAAAAACGCGAGAAATACCAAATAATCTAATAAAGAAGTAACTAGGCACACTCGTATTGAATATAAATACTTAGAGATGAAAATAAAAAGAACCATAGAATAGAATTATGTGTCTTTGGCTTTGGTTAAATCTTATTCAGTAAGTGTTGACTATTGTGTACTTGTTGAAAACGTCATGAATTAGAACGTCAAAATACATAAAACAATCGTCTATTGCGGAGAATACCATGTGCGACCTATTAAAAGCGTTGATGTTCGGAGCAGCATGCATTGTAAACCAATAAACTTGAAACGAACAGAGCATGAGCATCTGATATGGAGAGAATGAGGAATGACCGAGGAAGTTGTCCAACTTATGAAGCCTTCGTTAATATGAGTGAATGGTTCGCTGGGACGCCGCAAGGTGTGCGTTACCCTCGTATGCGGGCAACAAATGTGCCAACTCATCGCGTTGTTTTTCTTTTTGGAAATCATGGAACAAAAAGTTAGAGAGTCAGACAATGAGCGCGAAGATCGTTATCGTACCGAGCTAAACTACAGACAATCATAATTTGGAGTAATGTTGCATGAACACGTGTAAGTGCATATGGGAATTGATATGATCAAGGGAAAACAAAAGACACGGGGGAAATGATTTGTTTAGAAAATTTTTAAGATGTCTGAAATTTCCGAATAGTTCATCGATATGTCTACAGATTGAAAAAAATATCAGTTTTAGTAAAATTTCAGCATGCCATATTTTCTGTTTGTGTAGTTATAAGAAATTTGTCTTAAATTTTATTCGAACTTGAACTTGCAAATTAACGATAATGAATCGTGAGAGATCAATACGATAGACATAACCAATTTATACTATATGTATTAAGGAATGAGCATTCTTATGCATAGCTTATGCAGAAACTGTCTACAACACATTCAGGTAGAAAAATCTATTTTTTTATGGAACTAAAGCTATGTCATTCAATTTTGCTATTAAGCCAGAAAGTCGTTAATAGCCAGAAAAATTATGATGTCGTTGTGGAAGTAAAGCAACAAATGTCAAATTTTAAATAGTTAACGATTTAAAAAGAAGTGCGATAGAGAATTGAAGTGTTGCTCGTTTGCTCAAAACGAATTGCAGGGTATTGGTTTAAAAGCTCAAACTTGTAGGAAAATTTGATAATTGAAATAGCGATTTATAGAATTTTTTCTTAGAGACAAATAAAATGATTTAAAAAAGTTCGCAAATTAGCATTGGTTGTTGTGACAAATTTACTGGCATGATTCATGTGTTTATAATAATATATTTGTTAAATAGTTGAAAAAATTGATATTTATTCCAGCAATCAAGTAAATTTATAATCAAAGATAAAAATTGGCGTGGCGGCCACAAATTGTCACCACTAAATCGTCAAGGCATTGACACATTCCACGAATCTCCGAATCCATTTTGTGCATAAAATCCTTGAAAAAAGTAGTAAAAATAATACAAAAGGGTGAAAATTAAAATCAACCTCCTCAACTGTTTTTCCAGTGCACATAGGTGTATGAAGATCAATAAGAGTTTTCCAAGCTGTGTCGCTAACGTTGATGAAGATGTCCGCCTTGGTTCTCAAAGCAGGTGCCATTTTGATGAATTTTTCAAGTTTGTACTACAAAGAAAACACATCAATTTGATGGAAATATTTTTTCTAAAACCCACATATGTCTCAACTATTCGTTTGTGCTGATGAAATCTAGTGAAGTAGCGATGCTAAAAAATTTAAAAAAAAATAGTGATATTGGTTTAAAACCTACGTGTTGAGAGCCAAAGTTGTAATCGCAGAGAATTCCACGAACAGAATTAACAATATCATTTGTGAAACTATCGAAGAGGGTAACCTGGGGAGCATCCATTACCGTTTTACCTATTTTGAGCCTAATAAACGGAACATAGTGAATGTAATTTGATCTTTCGATGGTGTTTATATCGAATTTTGAGGTAAATCCAAACAATTCTCTTTTCCTGCACATTTATTAAAAATTTAAATCAAATTTATAATAATTGTTTTTAAAAAAAAATTTATAATAATTGTTTCAAACATGTCAAAAAAAATTAAATTCGAGGATGATTTAATTATTCATTTTTATTCATGCCATAAAAGCACATTTGAGAGATCATTTGACAAATAAGATTTTGGAAAATAGCAGTAGCTATAAATAAAACTTAGGAAGTAATAATATGGATAATCATAATTAAAGAAGAAAGTTGGCGTGGGAGCCACGCATTTGCACGACAACCGCGTCGAAGCATTTGCACATCTCATACAAATCGTTGTCAAGAGCCCACATGAAATCCTGAAGAAAATCAGTTTGTGATATCATAAACAAAAGCGAACCAACCTCCGGCATTGTTTGCCCCATGTGCATTGAAACATGAAGAATGCTGAAAGTTCGAATAGCCTTTTCACGGTATTGAGTGAAAATTCTATCGTATTCTCTCATGATCTCCGATCGTCCAAGATGAGGTTTGAGTTTGATCTGAAATGCATTTAATTGTAATACTTCGCATTAAATAGAATAATTGAAGTCTTACGTATGAGTCGACAAGCGTCTTGTGTTGAGCAAGACGCACAAAATAGCGGTGCTAAAATCTATAATTTTTGAAAATAAGCTCAAAGGATCCTACTTGTTGCGATGAGAAATTGTATTCACAAAGAAGGCCACGTACGGAATCAATGATTTCAGAAATTCGACGTTGATACATTTCAATATAGTTCATCGTAGACAACTAAAATAGACAAATTGAATTTACAGTATCTGGTGTGTGCTTAAATAAAAATGAACGATGTTATTGGTAAAAAAGAACGACTGGGGAGATAATCACAATGTTAAAAAAAATGCTTTTTTTTGTCAAAAATTTCTATATTTTTGTCGTTTTATATGAACAGTGAAAAAACCCATCAATGTATGTTTTATGGGCAAATTATGGCAATCGCAAAATTACATGTTTTCGATTCTTTCACATGCGGAAAATGTGAAATAAATTTTAGAAATAAACTCTTTGAATTTGAATTTGGAATTAAGAAATATGCAATAATGCATATAAAAAGATATGGCAAAATATTTTCTTTTAAACATTACATTTATGTACTACTCGTTATTGTGCAGAGGGGCGCGGTTGCGTTCTTGATAAGAGTGAAAGAAATGTACATATTTCCTCTTTTCTTCCTAGGCATCGAATTACGGCGAAAACAATTAAATTTGGTGTGATGAAAACAAATACAGTTTCAAATATGGCTTTGGCAAACTAAATAAAAATATAAGAAAATTTTCATGAGGAATCGATTGAAACAGATTATTCTAATGTTAAATACGTATATAAAACAGATCCGTTTTATTTATGACGTTGACATTGTGGATAAGTACACTAAAGAATATCTTGACTCTATATCTCGAATGGAAGTCGAAAAGACTATTATACTATCCTTTAATCAAAAAGAAAATGATCATTTGAACAAATATAATTATAAAAGATCGAATCCTGAATTTAATAGTTCGGGAAATTTACCAAAACATGCATACAAACGTAAAATCAGTTCGAACTTATTTATTATTTGTTATAAAATGAACGAATATCATAATGACAGTAAATGGGTTGGGTATCATCTGGAATCGATAAAAAAAAAGACTATGAATAAATATGTGGTAAATCATGATTAGAGACGGAAGTTGGCGTGACGACCGCATAATTGAAGCACAAGAGTGTCAAAAGAGACGCACATATTGTAGATATCAGTGTCGAGTTGCACCATTGCTTCCTAAACAATATAGAAAAGTATTTATCTTGAAAAAAAAAACGATAGGCTAACCTCGTCAACGGTGCGACCCGTGTGCATCGGAATATGAAGAAGTTCAAGAGTTTGGAACGTCTTCTGGCTCTTCTCGACAAATTCGCGAGCTTGCTGTACCCAATCAGGGAACAATCCGAGGAATGGACGGAGTTTGTTCTGTAAAAAAAACAATCCATTCATGTAGAAGTACGGCGAACGCCTTACGTATGTGTCGACAAGTTTTTTGTGCTGAGCAAGACGAACGAAGTAGCGATGCTAAAATCGATATTGTTTTTGAAATTTAACTGGAGCCATCTTACGTGCTGCGAGGAGAATGAGTATTCACAGAGAATACCGCGAACCGAAGAGACGATTTCATTCAACTCATGGTCGACTAATTGAGCAATATTCATTGCTATATCTGAAACAAATTGCTGTTAGACTTTCGAGTAATCGATTTTCAAAAGCAAATCAACGACATTACCAATAAAACAAAAAAAATCAAATCAAATTTTTCTACATTTCTTGGCGCCCAATGCAAACAGCCAACATGGAAATAATTTTTATGTGAAAATTATAGCAAGAGCGAAGGATGTTTTTCAATCTTCTCATTAAAAAATGGTATTTTAATAAGAATTGGGTGGTGAGAGAAATGAAAGAAAAAAAACACCATGAGTATTAGAGAAAAAGCAAAATCCCGCAATTGGTTTTGGCAATAAAAACAGAAAGCAGAATGATAATGGCGCGCTAGTTGTTTTTTTTTCCACAGATGGTCATTCTTAGCAGCAGAGCGCACTTGCCGCCTTGACAAGATGAAAAAAAAAGTGTTTAATCAACTTTGTATTCCATATATTTACTTTTGTTTTGGAAACCATTTCGAAATGATTTCGAGAATAAAAATAAAATGTTTCTGAGTGCAAAATTATGCAAAGAATTGCATTTAAAAAATTATTTTTCAAAAAAAAAAAATTTTTTTTCGCACTTGAAATTGATTTTTCAATAGTGTTGCATTATATATACACATATAAATTGCTTGTCAGCTATGAATTGTGACCAATTTACGCAAATGATCTGTTAATAAATTGCTTATGAGTTTAGAAAAATTATATCATATTAATTGTGCGTTATTCAAAAGAATTTAATTTGTTAATCATAAATTAAGAATAAAAGCGACTAACATCGTAAAAGATTGAACAAATTTTAAACCGAATGTTCAAGAAACGTATGCTTCTTATTTGTTTTTCGTTTATTTAAATTATCAATTGCAACTGAATGTTCGCGTTTTAAAATATTTCTTGAAAATTTTGCGCGCGAATAAAAACAAGACACCAATACTACTCCTGGCAAAGGAGCAGTTCTATAACAGACTATATGAAAACCGACATGGGAAAATTATATCTAATTGTGTACGTTTCAATTAATAGAAATGGTATTGTTGTTGAAAATTTGTTATAAATAAATGCATAATATTTAAGTCCGAAGAATTTAACCAAAAATAAATATATCCACGAGAGTAATGACAGAAGGGTACGCAAACGTCCCGTTGCTCCGGGCGATTGTAACAAAAGAAAAGCCATTTAATCTTATAATCACTAACGTTGGCATCAGGCGCAAGTATAATAACCACCTCAAGATTCGACCCAGGAAAAATAGCATTTCAATAATCGAATGTCGTGTCTAGTAACAAGTTGTACTTGAGACTTTTCAAAATTAATTGATATCAACTTTTGAATGGTTGTTGAAAACATACATTAAGCTGTTTCACGTTTAATTGGGGTGATTGCATATTTTCTGAATTAAAAAGAAAATAATAGAAAAAAACGGGCTATTTCATTTGTTTAAATTTTTTGGTAAAATCGAGAAAATTGCATGCGATTTTTTGCCGACTAGGATGCGTCGAGAAGAATAGCCAATTGCTAGAACAATTGCCTCATAGAACTGTCTTTGTTAGAATTCTTCGAATCGCGGATACTCAATTTGCTTCTACAAGAATATCATCAAAGCTGAAAAATAAATTCGAAACGGACAAAGAAAACCGGAATTTTGAGATGCACAATAAGAGTGATTTCGTGTGCTGGTCTTCTTAATAATTGGGGACTCACGCAAAACTAAAAATTTGTATAAATACAAAAATACTATAATTCTAAATAATTTTTGCCTGTCTAAAATTGTCTTTTGTTGAAGGCACATGCTTACCTATCCTCAGGTGCATAGTTTTAATAAGACAAGGAATTTCTCTGAATATTTATATTTTTTTATAAAAAGCATAAACGTTCCACCCTTCCGTTATGTAGAGCAATGTTAGATTATCAAGGTTGAAAACAGTGAAAAATTAAAAAAAAAAAAGTATTAAATACATATATGGTCAAGTCGAGATTTGTCGTCTTACAGTTCAGACATCGTAATCCTCGTAGATGTGGTCAATACTCTCAATATAACTTATAGAAAATTAAAAACACACTGATTGAATTCTGTAGGAACGTGAGGCGTGTTGCAGCCGTGCATTTCTTTGCCTGCTTTGACTATAATCACAAGGCATCCTGGTTTCAAAAATATTATTCATAGGAATAATATTATTATTAATTAGCGCTTCCACTGCCACTCGCTAACTGTTATTTTTTTTAATGGGTAGAGAGATATTCAATTGGCAGGACAACGTCGAAGAATTCGCAGAAACGTGACATATTTTTTTAGAAATAAATTGATAACTCACTCTGTGCTCTTTATTGTGTTTCACACATCTAATTACTCACTATCATGATATATTTTTTTGATAGTAACAGCAAATAATTCTAAAAGAAAAACACTCAGTAAACGGATAACAATTTATTAAAAAATAATTATTATTAATATTCAGCTTCATTTCGTTCAGATTTATACCATGATGCGGATCTGAGTGATCACACTACTTATTCCAGCGTGACTGTCGATCTGCACTGATAATCGTGTTTGAGGGGTAATCCTTTTATGCGGACAGAAGAGCGGGGTGGAAAGGTGCTGTAATTCCATCCCCCTGGTACCCCATAGATATCGAATTTTAAAAATTCAAGAAAAAAATTGTTTGTTCTTTGGTTTAAAAACCATGGCGTGTAAACAACTAGTGTATTTTCGACAAGTAAAATGCATTGTCCGCAATGCTTACAATTTCGTCCATTTTCAAATTTCTTGTTGTTTTTAAACATATTACATAGTCTGTTTCCGAAAAAAAAGCTAAGAACGAAAAAACTGCCCCATTCATTAGTGTGACAAAAAAAAAACATATATTCGACATTCGGATAAGGATGAAAATGACATAAAGAATATATAATTTTTTTATTTTGAGCCTTTTTCTCCGAAACCAAATAACATCGACTTTTTGTTCTTTTTGATTTTTTTCCATTTCTTATATGTGCACTCCTTTTCATTGACAGTTTTACTAATTCTGGTTCCAAACCTTTGCCATACAAAGTAAAATATTTGAATACATAAATTATTTTAAAATAATAAAATGTGTGTGTAGAGTTCCTAGTTACAATCGGTAATATTAAAAACTCTTACATTTTTCCTGTGATGAATACGTCCGAAAGCTTTTCCAAAATGTAAGATATTATATTTTAAAAGAACGTTGTTGCACTAACTATATAAAATTTTCCTAATTTAAACCAATTCTGCTTATTTTTTTAATTTTAAAAATTAAATAATAGAGTGTTTGAAATAAGTTTGAAAATATTCTTCAGTTCTCTTCTTGTTTGTCGGAATGATATCAGTTGAATAAAATTTATTTTATGAAAAGCATAAGGAAAATTTCTTAACATTTGTGTGACACATAGCAACCTGACTTTCATAAGAACATGAATAATCAAAATGTGAACTTTTTTCAATTGCCATTGTACTTCAACAATGTTAGGTATGCCGGCGGTTTATTGTTGACACTAAAAATAGTGGGATGCTTTATTAGGGTTTGTTTGTAAAATGATAAGTGCTGTTTATAAAAACACAAATATCGTTATCCACTTTTTTATATATTTGTTTTTCTATTTTTTCATATCCCTTCTTGTTATCAAATTTTCTGAAATTTCGATAAGACGGTACAAAAGGTGACTAAGTGTATGACTCTAGTGTCTTTTGTTGTAACACGTTGAAAAGAAAGTAAAAAACGCTATTTTTGGTCTTATTTCGCACGGGGCACTTTGCACAACAAATTATTTCAGTCGCACTACTGATATGAAACGGCATACACCATTTCTGGCGCTTTACTTTTTGGTAGCTGTCATTTTTACTGGATTATGCATTGCAGATCTTTTTTCATATGGTATGAGTAATAATTGATGTAAGAAATTGTCTCATTTTTAATATAAATTCAGATTGGAGAATAAATGTCATCGAAGATTCAGCTTCAACGCCTTATGGATTTTCGCAATGCCTTCCATGGCGTATTCCATTCACGGAATGCGGTCAATTTTTCCAGGTAATTATTCAATTGCAAATCATCTCGTCGGATTTTTTCTCGTTTAGGGTTTAACTCGCACTAATGTGACGGCAATTATCCTACTTGGCGCCATGATTTTGGTGGGATGTCTGACAACACTATTCCTTCTATCGCTGTTGTATGTTTTACTTTGTATTCTAACTTTAAAATTTGAATAATGGCAATGAGTCATTTCCAATATCGGGCAAATATGATGGTAACCAGACGTCATATGGAATGGAAAAATGAATGATAAAAGTTTTTGTGAAAAAAATCTTAAACATTCAAAATTAGCAATTACCCAATTTGAAAAATGTTTTAAGAAAAACACACATATTCTTATTATTTAAAAAATTTCCTATGTTCAGTGGGTGTGTTTAAATGGACCTCAATCATGGGAAGTTGAACCGTTGTGATAAAAAGAAAGATTGAAAGCGGCAGAGATATTTAACATTATCTATATTTAAAAAGAACTAACATATAATATAAAATACATAAAGGAAATAATAATGAAAACCAAATGCTGCTCCACTTTTATACGGACACGAAAGCAGCGGTGAAGGTTTTATTATACTCTCATATTTTTGGTTTTAATAGAATTATTATGTTACACAAATAATACGAGAAATACTAGTAAGACTTGCTTATATTCTTGGGAAATATTTAATTTTTTGTGTCGGCGTTTCAATAAACCTTCATGACATTCCGCTTCTTAATTATAAAGGAATGTAGGGCGCGAAATACTATGTCTCCTTAGAGATGATCTCGAATTGTAGACGTTCTCTCGGGCTGAATGGTGCGCAACCATTGGTCTGTTTTAGGTTTTAACATGTTTAAATGTGACTTGAACTTCGGCAGTGGTATGGCTACAGTGTTGACTGATCTTGTCGGTATTATTGTCCCGATAATCCCGAATAGTCTTGTTTGAAGAATCCACGGGTTAAAAAATACTGATTTTTTGTTTTAAAAGTTCCTTAGAAATCACATGCTCTTCATAATAACTATTAAATATCACTAAACACTATAATTTTTAGGATATGCGAATATCAAGGCAAATTCTGTATTCGACTTTTGCTTTCCATCCTATCCTGGATTTGCTTCCTTTCCGCATTGGTTCAAATTGTATTCAGAAAATATGAATATATGCCACATATTAATTGCGCACCCTTGACTAGTCGACACTTTCCAGTCAAGTCCTATATTTTCTTGGTCAGTTGATAGTAATTAATAATTTATTTTGAAACAAAATAGATTCAGGACACATGGAAGATTATATTCCCAACGTTAACCCTTCTTTTTGGGTTTTTGTTAAGCCAAATGTCCTACTTCCTAGAGACTTATCGACCCGAGCATGGCTCAATCACTTTGGAATCAACTGCTGACACCGTCGATCAATTCTATCGCGATAATAGAATCAGTGTCACAAAGTTGGACAATTACTAAATTACTTTTTGTTCTCAATTGTTTGTATAAATTCAATTTCGGCATGAAAATTGCTATCGTGTTTGTGCTTATTTCCAATTTTTTTCATCAATCAGTAAAATACAATATTAATGCCAGTGGGCAATTGTCAAAACGACTGGACATACATATCACGTCATCTCTTGAAAGGTCATCAAGGTTCAAAATTTTGAAACCAATGATTCAATTATATTCATTTCGGCAACTGTCACAAAAGAATAATGAATTATAATTACAATCTACATATTAAAATGTTTGTCCAAATATAGAAAAATTTCAAATTATTCTTTGAACTTCTATGTGATGTTTATATGTAGCATGCATCCAATATAATCAGCAAACCATAAGATATATTTGCACACTTTTGCATTTTTGAACATGAATCACTATGGAGGTGGAATACTTAAAATCCAACGCATTTTTTTTCCAAAGAAACTTCAATTTAAAAACAAACGAGAATGTGCGCAACGAGCATCACATTTTTAAACCAGCTTGCGTGTGAATTTATTAATCAGGAATTGGCTCAATTAGACTCTAATTGAGAATTCAGGCAAATCATCTTCAATTATCTCCACGTTTTTCGTCATTTCATTTTTATTTGATCTTTAAATCATCATGCAAATAAAATTATCATTTGGGTGAATACAAAATGCGGGAATCCGGGTGACACACAATAATAAAATTATGTTTCAATAGAGTTTCTATATTAACTGGAAGGATAATAAGATTCAAAAAATGGAAAATAAGGTTCAAATAGACTTTAGGTGTGTGTTCGCATGTGAGTATGAAGATTCGATGCTCTATTGAACGCCTTATCGCAAAGTCCGCAAACATAAGGTTTGACCTAAAAAAATACTAGCCTTTTTTGTCTTTGCAAGCGAAATTTGAAAAAGGCAAAGCTCTCTTGTTTCCTCTCATCGCGTTTCGCTTACCGTTGTATGAGTTAGACGATGACGCGTTAGATTTCCCGGCTGACGAAATGCTCTGCCGCAATGTTCGCATTTGAATGGTTTCTCGCCGGTGTGAATCCTCTTCAATTCGAAATTTGTCAACCATAGAAAAGAAATACAAACCTTGTGGGTTATGAGAGTGTTGCTACGGCTGAAAGTTTTATCGCAAACATCGCATCTGTATTTTTTCGTATTCGCTCTTTGGCTATGATCTGGATTATAAGTTCTCTTTGGATGCATTCGCTTTTGAATAATCGGTTGACCTGAAATCTAGAAATTGACATAAGAAAGAATAGCTCAAATCACTTTTAATGAGAGGCTGGACGAAAGGAAATGCCAGATTTTGACCAATATTGTTTAATGCGTTCATTTGAAGAGCTTGTTGGACCAGTTGGAATTGTTTCTGGAACTCGAAAGGAAAAATGTTTTCGGGTTTCTGAAAAAAGCTAGAATTGAAAAAGAAAATCTAAAATATTTTCTTTACCACTAAAATATTGTTTCTTCTAACAAATTGTATATATTTCTGCTCCATAGAAGAATTGATGAAACGATGAAGTGGAGATAGCATATTGTTATTATCCTGCGACGCGATGTTGGTAGAAACTGGAGTCTCCATGTCCGTCTCGCTGAAATGAATAAAAATGTTTAAAGCGAAAAAAATCGAAGAAAAAAACAGCTATATTTAAACAACACTGAAAGTAAATCGCTGGTTTGAATAATTTATAACAAGTTTAAAAATGGAACATAGGTGTGAATGGAAAACTACGAAAAATACTGAATCGCCAATTTATTCTATTATCTCGTTCTTAACCGATGCCGGTGTTTTTGTTTTCACAATTTCCTTTCGAGACCGTTTTTAAGGAATCCGTTTCAATGAATAATGCGCAAGCTGTAAAAATTTGAAAAAAAAAAAACGGTTAGCACTGGCCCTACAAAATATGTAGATTTTTCAGAAAGAAAAGTGCACTTCATTATTTTAGCTGAATTTTGAAAATTTTTAGCATAAAAAAAGATTCGACCAAATTATTCGGTCTGAATAATATGAATCGAAAATGCGGAAACAGATGAAGTCGAAAAAATAATTTGATCTTAATTTAGAATTTTGTTTCACGTATGAATTGATGCCTTGTCGCCATAATTGATGTTTAATTGAACAATGGTGTCAAACCTGGTCATTTCCGATGATGAGCACTCATCCTCCTCCTCCTCCTCGTCATCCACTGCGTTCTCCTCGTCACCTTCTTCTTCGGCTCCATCTTCTTCATTCTGGCAGAATTGCTTTTTGGGTTTTACTTCAAGTAGTGAGTCGATAAGAAATGAAGATCTCGGAGTTTCCAGTGGCATGCTGAAAAAAAAACAAACTGATTTGGATTAAAGATGGTGAAGCTGGTTGAAATAAGAATAAATAATGGCAAGGATCTGCCAGCCAGCCACCGTAGTCTCGCACACACATGCACATTCGCATGCTCGCACATGCCCCTCAAAATTGGGCGGGGTCGTCGGCGTATCGAGACAGAGCGGCTGGCGAATAACTGAGCAGTTCCCTCGTCTTGGAAGAATGAAGGGCCGATAAAACCGACGAAGAAATATCGGATCACGTTTTTTTTATTATCATAACAAGGATTCAGCAAGGAATTTGCAATGAGATCAATATGAGTAATGATTTCGCAAATGAAAAACCACTAGAAGGGATACAAGTTGACATGTGTTCAAAGACAAAGTGCGTTGCAAATCGATGGATCTTTTGTTTCGCCTATTACCATGAGCATAATATATACGTAGAATTGCAACACGCGTTTCAGCTGGAAAATTTATATTTGTTCATCCAACCTTTATAACAAAATGTCTTTAGAGATAACTACAACGTATATTATATTGAGATGAAGAGAATAATTCGAGTTTTGCAGATGAAATATGTGTTTCCTTCACGATTATAGGCATGCGTTTCGTGTACAATAATGCTTGAAAGGAAGAAATATGTTTTAAGGAATTGTCCGAAAAGAATGATGAAACAATACATCCAAAAAATCTATGGAATAAAATTGTTAAAATTATCGAGATGACGAGGACAGTTTCGCAAGTCACAACAAAAAAAATGGGGTCGAGTCGTGAATGTTATTCTAAACGGTGGCTCGCACATAAAACCATGCCGAAACGTGGCTATGAGGGAAACTGATTACTCATTGTTTTTCCACCATTTTTTTTTCTCGTTTCGTTCTGGATGATATTTATTCAAAAAACGAAGTGCACGACTGGCAAGCTATGAATTCAAATATTACAGTAATCCTTGTTACGAGGAAATGCGGTGGATATGTAAGCGATATGTTTTCAAAGACGGCAACCCGCCAGGTGCCATCTAAAAATGATCATGTAATCTTAGCCGCGACGAACGGAACAAATAAAACGGGTGATCCTCTTAAAAAGGTATGGCGAGGAAAAGTTGGCGGTACCACGAAATGCAGATGGCTTCCGATTAGTATTATGCAATGTTGGTCAACATTACAAGCAGGGCTCAATCAAAACAAACGCGAATATGGCCAAAAAATGAAACGTATGCCATTAATCGAATGAAGACTCTTGAGTTAATCTTGAAATCATCAAGCCAAGAGGATGCACATGGTTGCCTCAAAAATAGTGGAAACGCGCAACAGATGGGGGGAAAATAGTGGAGAGGAAGGCGCTCGTCAATTTCAGGAAGTCAACAGGTAGAGCGCGCGAGTGCGCACGCAACCCATCCTATATTATCATACTAATCCGCTAAGGTTTCCCAGCAATAATTAGGCGGACATGAGTTAATCTATGTTCGATCGTGTTGACATTTTTTGATGATACGTGTGGGTTGAGTCATTGAGAAGATTATAATTAAGATAGTCACAACTAATTGGTTTGGCAACAGTAAGTTGCAACAGATTTGGTGCCCACATGTTATTTCAAACGGTGTTGCGCAATATAGTAACAACAGTTGGCAAAACGAAATTAGGGGGTTTCAATGGTTAAGTAGGATCGACCAATTGGGATAGAGGATGATGTAGATCCCAACATCAAAATGCTTCTTAAAAATTGGAAGAATTTCTAAATGTTTTCTGATACCCTTGATTTCACGTCAAATCTACATAAAATCATTCGAATCGTTAGAATTTTCGGCTCATTGTGTCAGGATTAGACTCCGAGATGCCATAATTTTGTCTCTTAAACAGTCCTACGATATATTTTTGTTTGATTCCATCCCAGAGAGATTATTAAAACTCTAAGAAATTAGAGATTATTAGCTCAAAACATTCAAATAATTCATATATTCTTGAGTCGAAGGAACTCCATTTTTATTCTTTCAATTGTTTTACCGATTTTTTTCAAGGAGCCCTTACTACTTATGCGGGTATAGTATTCCAATAATATTCTACCTAATTTTGGATAGAGTATTCCGGGCCTGTTTGTCATAAATAGTGACTTGTTGATCATTTGCTAACCAATTTGAAGATGTTGATTTATAAATTTCGAATAGAATTCGACATAAATTTGTAAGAGGCACGACATGTGCACGCCATGCCACGATGGCGGCACTGCCTTTTCGCGGTGCGAAAGAATTAATAATCATTCGCATTTTAGGAATTGGTAGAAATGAAGAGGAGATGCGTCGGGCTTGAGACGGAGATGCTACTACTATCGCTTCAGCGTGTGGTGGCTCCTTCTGTGACCGCTGCTTCTCCTCTTTTCATCAAATATTTGGCGAATGCAATTCACACTTTTGACTGCGCCTGAAAAGAAAAGGATATGGTCGAAGAATGGGAAACGAAAGCCGCTTGTCTTGAATTATAAATTAATTTGAATTCAAAAGAAGTGAATAATAATCATCGCATTGCAATTCACGCCAAATGAAATAAAAATTTTTAGCGACCCACCAATTGAAAATTGGTTTTGGGTTTTTGAGATGATGGATTCTCGATGACAAAAACAAATTGAAAATAATGAAATATGAAATTTTTCGATTATTTTACAAGGATCTGTCATCATTATTTTATGACGTGAAATGAAATAATTGGTGACCTCGAGACACGCGTTTAACGAATTTTGCACTATCTGTGCGCAAGTTAATTATTTCATTAATAGCTCTTGAAATCAATTATCAATTTATCATTTGGAAATATAAAGTTTTTTTGACGCAATATGAGAAAGCGAAATTTACACGTCAATGCACGATGAGACATAATATCAGAAAATGTGGGTTTTAAAAAAATGTACAAAGTTCAAAACTAATGGACGCTTAGAGTTCTTGGAAACGTTTATGCGAAATTAGGGGAAGCGAATTTTAATTGACTCTTCATTCAATAAAAAACGTAAAAATGAGCATGTTGAGGATTTCCTTTTATTATTATTATGTAGATAATTCGCAACAATGTTTCAAATAATAAGCTCCAATTTTGGAGCAATAAGAAAGAAATTGCCAAAAAATAGCATCCAACTACCACAGACTTTGCGTAAAAATTTTATAATATCAAACCGAATTCGTTCAGCTTGTATTTCATGATGAACTTTATTTGTACATAGTGTTGTTTTCCCACGAATAAAAAAAGCCTTGCCTAGCATTTGAATGAGGTTTCTATGAATACTTAAAACTTTTAACAAATGTGCAAATTTTCGGATTTTATGGAAGAACGAAAAACTATATTCAAACTATGAGAGTAATAGAATTTTAGAAGCCATGTGCCCAATTTATACTGCCTTGTTTTTTTTATAATTTCGCACATTATGTGGCGATTGTCTAAATTAGGAATATTATTAGAACATAATCGCTAACAGGGTTCACAATTTGTCTAAATCGTCAATTATTTTGATAATCTAAAAATGTTTCCAAGCAAATCCACGATATTTTCAGTCAATCAACAGTAAACAGTGGAAAACTGTTTTTATCAATTTTTACATTGATTCGGCTTTTCAGGTATCAAATTATACGTTGAAATTTTTTGTCTTTTGATTCACCTTTGATTATTCTGATCGAATGCATCATTTTTTATATATTCGCACATTTTCAAAAAAAAAATGGCACACCGTTCGCAAAAAAACCTCGGAGATAATCGATTATTGACTGATTATTCGTTCAAGGTGCCATAGTGAGGGATATATTGCGTATAGGATGCTCTCGTTTCTTTCATTGTCGCGGTCCCGTTTAGAACCTTTTTGCAATGAACCCTCCATTTTTGCACATTATTCCCTCATCTGTTGTTTTTGTCCCATGGGCAAGCAGTAAGAGGCGAGATCTTATCACAGCGATTTGTTAACACGCGTCGAATATCATTCCTCTCATTTTGAACTCGCCAGAGTGGTCCGGTCATCATTTTCTTTCTTTGATAGCTGCTTGATTTTATTTTTTAAATAAAATATATTAACTTTCAGTTCCTTGAACTCGCTGTCTCATTTCCTCATCGTCGAAGTTGATCAATGATGAAAAATATAAATAACTCCTCGAGATCCACAGTAAGAACAATCAAAATTTTTTTTGTCAATTAGAATTTTTTTCATTACATGCCCAACGATAGTAACTCTACAAAACACAAACACATGACATAATCAGAGAAATCATAATAATTATCGAAAAATTATTTTTTGAATTGAGTCATACTAGGGGACCTCAGTTTATTCCCATTGCATCGTTATTTAAGAAATTGTGTTTTGTGAACTCCTGAAAATTTTCAGACGTCTAAGAAGCAAGATCGAGTTGCCACTCATCCCGATGGAACTCCAATGAATTACTTCCTTGATACATCGATTTCTAAGGTGCTTTATTATTAAAGAATGTAGTACTGTTTAGATAGTAGTAAATCAACATCTCGATTGGAAATTGCATTTGTTTTGCAGAAAGAAAATAGCATCCCAAAATTTCGAAAACATTCTAATAAGACGAAAATGATTGCAAATATTATGTATATGACCTTGGAGCAATCTGCTGAGGAGGTAATTCTTCACTTAACTACTGTATGTTTAATTTAACCAAAATATTTTTAGAAGCGCCCGAAGATCGGAAAATCGAGAAGAAATCGCAAGCAGCGCAAAAGACGCCAAGAGCGCGTAAATAAATGGAAGAAGGCATTGCGACATGTCAGATTCGTTGACAGCGCCTCAGGAAATGCTAGACGATCGCCACTCCGTGAAGCTGCAAGAAACGGACAATGCGACCATGCAAATACGATCAAAGACAGACCTGAGGTTGCGAAAGACGCAAAAGGTGGAGTCGTCGATGCAATTGACTTCCAGAAAGCGTTTTCCAGCGTTCTTGATCAATTTGAAGTAATACATGTAAGAAAATTAAAAATTATTAAAAAAAATAATTTTTCAAATTCAGATTGGTATGGAAGAAGCCTAGTAGTTTGAGTATTACGAATGTTGGCAACAATCAGCTTTGCCATACCATGTTCTGTGGTTTTTAAATCTTAATCACCTAATGTCTTCCCAACTGCTTTTCTAATTACCATTTTTAATGGCTTTATGATTTATTGAACCCCTTTTAAGGTACATCGCAAATTTGGCTTGATGCTCTTTGTTGTCTACCAATGTTAATTAATCCCGAGTCCTTATATAACTTGGTTAAATTTTTCATATTATCTATATGAATTTTAGAGTTATTTGATTTTTTAACCGGAGTTGTTAAAAATTTACTTTTAAACTTTTTTCTCATTATTTTCTGTTATTTAACTTGAATACATAATCATTTTCTATTGGATGTATTTTGATTTATCTTTCCTCAACATTTCAGAATCATATAATTAACTTAACCTCAATATTTGAATTAGAATAAAAATGTATTGCCAATAAATTTTGCTTTAACGGTCGGCTCTCTCGAGACGATCGTTTTCTGAGTCCGGAATTTTTCCCTATTCGAATTTCCACTACGAATAAAAGAAATAATGCACTACAAGAAAAACCTCCCTATATGATGGACCCTCTCGATGGAAGTGTGACTTGTCATAATTCGAAAAATCATCAAAAGTAAAGTTTTTAGATAGAACAAAAATGCGACTGGGTTGTAAACATAAAAATGATTTAGATTACTTTATATATATATATATATATATATATATATATATATATATATATACAAGTGGCCCGAACCAAAGACAAAAAAGCTTTCTGTTATGCAAGACCAGAGGTTGTGCAACTGATATTCAGTCATTCACTTTTATTGAAAAACACGTTTTGATGGCACATTTATTTCTATTAAAAACCATGAATTCAATACCGGTTTAAACAATTTGAGATTTGGTGAATAATTGAGCTAAGGGAGTGGAATGTGCATGATTAAAGTGGATATTTAGAACAAAAACATATTTTCGACGGTTTAGAAATACTATGACTTATTCACGGCGGAATTCAGAACGGCAAGTATCCGAGTTGTCCAAATTGAGCTTCTGAAGACGGGCAATAGATGAAATCTGAAAGAACATCTACATACTTGAAGCAATTAATTTTCTCTCTTACCATCAATAATCCATTTTGGGAAGACGGTGTTTCCTGGTTTGAGAAATCAATGGGTGGAGCAGCATTCTGCGAGTTGTGTGCGTTATTCGGATGATTTGGCGGATTGTCAGTGAGGAAACCTCCTTGATCAGCTGGGATTTGAATGAAGAGTGGAGAAGTGACTGGGACATTTGACCCCGAAGGAATGGATGACTGTAAACTCATAAAATACCCAAAATTTGAAAGGATATTTACATTGGAGGAAGGAACGGAACTGGAAGAATGCGACTTGTCGTTGTTGTTGTTCACTTCATCGTTCTTCTTCTGATTTTCGACGTTTTGAAGAACATCATTAGGTTTCATATTAACAGACATCTGAAATGAAAAGAAATGGATATATTAATAATAATTATGTTAATTTTCCAATAGATACGAATAAATTATACTAAAGGAAAGAAATGAGCCCGAGTGATGTTGGTGATTTGTTTCACATATGAGCAGTGAGGAATGCTCGAAAGTGCATTGAAGACTGTGAGAATAATTTATGACCAGATAAATACGGCGGCAATTCCGATGAGTAACTGAGTGACTCGCCATGGTTGTAAACAGTTTTGAATAAAATATGAACAGATCCGAACTAAAGAAAAAACATATTATTCAAACGAGGCAAATTTTAAATCGTATAAATACATTTCGTAGACCGAACATAACAATATTTCTAAATTAAAATTTGAAAAAATATAATCGAGAAATATTTTACACACATGGATATTTGATTCGAATGCTTTCGGTAATTAAAAAAACCTGAACAGTTACTGAATGAAGCTCACCACGAAAAACATTGACCATCGTATTTATTATTTTCAGCACTATTTGAACAATGATCAAAATAATTTTTTGTATACCCAAAAATTATATACCATTTTTTTGTGTTGCCTGGAAATGAAATTTTTTTTGAAGAGTCAAAACAGAACAATTTATGCCATTCACGAGTTTATTGAAGTTGTATTTCACCGAATTATGCAAATTCAAGTCCTCCTATAAGAATGCAAAATTCTTCAATATGACAATATGCTGAAATCGGTCATTAAGTACGGAAAAAATAAAAAAGTACAAAAAAAAATTTTTTAATGAATGTCAAATCAAAACTTCGGATTAAAATGAAATTTGGAAAAGTTTTAACTAGCACTTACTGTTGCGAGAATGGACTTAGAAATGAAAAAAAAAAGAATGACTTAGAAATTAAAAAATACAATTTTGAATTTCAATTATGACAATAATACGAAAAGCTGAAAAGAATAAGGGCCATGGAAGAAGCTGACTTTCGAATAATATGACCACTGGAATATTAAAACTGGTCCATAGCTTCGCCCACAGAGTTCTCCTAAAATTTAGGAATTTTTTACTTGATTCTAATCAATTGTCCTACATTTATCAAATTCATTTTGCCAAGCACATTGGAGACTTCTTCATCAACATCAACAGCGTGCTCTTGTTTGGGTCCGACAGTCTCCATTGCAATATCCTCACGAGATTTCTTTCTATCCGAAATCGTTGGCTGCTTCGAAGAAGAGGCTTGAAAAACGTCGGAGCTATTCTTCTAAAATTCAATATTAATAATGGTTGAAAATAAAGTGGCGTACGAGTAACTCTGTCAGAATTTTAATTTCTTCCAAGTCCGAGTGGCCTCTCCTACGACGATGGCTGCGATGTTTCTTTGATTTTGGGCGATTCGTGCGTTCCTAAGAATTTAAATTATAAACAGAATAATTTTAAAAAAACGGCTCACCGGTTTAGCGTTATCTTCGAACATCGCGTCAAGAACCTCTTTGATGGTTTTTCCCTTATAAGTATTATCTCCATTGTTACATTTTGGAATTGGGTCACCTTTCTTAAAGGAAACACATTGTATTTTCCTACTTAATCTGATTCTTCACTCACCTGTTCTGTCTGCTCCTCACGTCTTGGCATTCCTTCAGGTTGGGTCACGCTGACATCTTTCTCAGAAACACGTTGCATCTGAAATTTGAGATAATTTCGCAAGGTTATCAAAACATCTGCCGTCTAAATTAAAAGAAACACAGAAAAGTATTTGTGTTGTTTTTTTTTATTTCAAATAAAAAACACTCACCTCCCCAATAACATGCATTTTATTTTCCATATTCTTCAGTATCGTCTGCATGTTGCACAACGCTGAGAAAGCTGAAAGAAAAAAATATAGTCAAAGCATATGATCAGCAAAACGAAAACATTTTGCTTAAATTTGTACGGGCCACTAAGAAAATAATCAAAAGCTACAATGAAAACCTTACAAAGAAAGCAACACATGTTAAAAATGATCTGATATTTAATAATTTTCTGAATTTCGTGATATACCACAGAAGAAATGGGTGAAAGTTAAAAAGAAATTGCGATAAAAATAAGAAATGTCCAAAATTTGCACAAATATTAAAACAATCAACAAAAAGAGAATGATGACCGAACCACTCTGGCGAGTTCAAAATGAGAGGAATGATATTCGACGCGTGTTAACAAATCGCTGTGATAAGATCTCACCTCTTACTGCTTGCCCATGGGACAAAAACAACAGATGAGGGAATAATGTGCAAAAATGGAGGGTTCGATGCAAAAAGGTTCTAAACGGGGCCGCGACAATGAAAGGAACGAGAGCATCCTATACACAATATATCCCTCACTATGACACCTTGAACGAATAATCAGTCAATAATCGATTATCTCGGAGGATTTGCGAAGGGGTCATTTTTCGAAAATGTGCGAAAGTTTTTGTTATATTTACAAGGTCACAAATTATGTCGAATTAAGTAAAATTAAATCTAAAAATCGATACAAGATTTGTGCTTGGCAAAATGAATTTGATAAGTGTAGGACAATTGATTTGAATCATGTAAAGATTTCCTAAATTTTATTTCTTTGTCCATTCACGTAACAGTAAGTGCTAGTCAAAATTTTTTCAAATTTAATTTTAACTTAAACTTTTTATTTGACATTTATTTTTTTATTCGTTTTTTTTGTACTCGTATTTTTTTTTCGTACTTAATCACCGATTTCAGAAAATTAACATAATTATTATAACAATATATCCGAAATTCTTTTCATTTCAGATGTCTGTTAATAAGAAACCTAATGATGTTCTTCAAAATGTCGAAAATCAGAAGAAGATCGATGAAGTGAACAACAACAACGACAAGTCGCATTCTTCCAGTTCCGTTCCTTCCTCCAATGTAAATCTCCTTTCAAATTTTGGGTATTTTATGAGTTTACAGTCATCCATTCCTTGGGGGTCAAGTGTCCCAGTCACTTCTCCACTCTTCATTCAAATCCCAGCTGATCAAGGAAGTTTCCTCACTGACAATCCGCCAAATCATCCGAATAACGCACACAACTCGCAGAATGCTGCTCCACCCATTGATTTCTCAAACCAGGAAACACCGTCTTCCCAAAATGGATTATTGATGGTAAGAGAGAAAATTAATTGCTTCAAGTATGTAGATGTTCTTTCAGATTTCATCTATTGCCCGTCTTCAGAAGCTCAATTTGGACAACTCGGATACTTGCCGTTCTGAATTCCGCCGTGAATAAGTCATAGTATTTCTAAACCGTCGAAAATATGTTTTTGTTCTAAATATCCACTTTAATCTTGCACATTCCACTCCCTTAGCTCAATTATTCACCAAATCTCAAATTGTTTAAACCGGTATTGAATTCATGGTTTTTAATAGAAATAAATGTGCCATCAAAACGTGTTTTTAAATTGTGAATGGCTGAATATCAGTTGAATTGCAGACGGGGAACTTCCCCTTTTTTTAATGTTTTCAACACAGAATTGAAGAGTTGCACTCATAGAAACAAATCATAAAAACTGTTTTTAATTATTGTTTCTAGATTGCAGTTTTTGCGTTCAACAAAATCAATTTTTTTGTTTTTTTTAATATTTTTTAGTGGCCCAACTCTGATTCACACCTCGCGCGATGTTGCATCGAAGCTCCGCCCAATGGTTGACAGCGCCACCCATAGTCTCAAAGAATCTTTGCCGCACAATATAGACGTCATTTTAAATTTTTTTGGGTGCTTATTTTACTTTGCATTATTGTCTGAAAATTGAATTTTAACAAATTGTTGTTTATTTCATTTTCAGTTTTTTTTCGAATTTCGAGGTTATATTTTGAATACCGTAATTAACGACGCCGTTTTAGCCTTTGCAGCGGCTGATTCTTGTAGCTATTTTTTGGGAAACAGTCCATGCAATATGTTTGAAACAGCAGGAAATTTTGAAAATAAGCAAATTGCGGACAATGAATTTTACTTGACGAAAGTGCACAAATTGTTTACACGCGATTGTTTTTAAACGAAATAACGAACTATTTTTCTTTCTTGATTTTTTATTCATTTGCTATATACGGCATTTTTACAATTCTTGAGGTTTCCCCTCGTAAATTAATCCACCAAAATACTCATTTAATTAAAAATGTTAGAATACTGATCCTCTTGATATCATTACAAATCCCCAATTACCACTTTTTTTTCCTTTGGGCACCTTCGTTTATACTATGCCGTGAACGACCAAATTCATCAACAATGCCGTTATTTACCATTACAGTTCCTAGCCACAGCCGCTACTATTAAATATGAATCATCATCCACACCTTAAAGTCATCACGCTAACCATTATTACCTCTATTATTAAATATGAATCATCATCCACACCTTAAAGCCATCACGCTAACCATTATTAAATTGTTACAGTCTCCATACCATTATTAAAATAATCATCGCCCACATATTCTAGAGCAACAACATTAACATTATTAAAAAATGTCTCTCATTTATAACGTTCCCTGTCCTCTAACATCATTATCAATCTGCACACCCACACATCCACCCGCCCACTTCACACTCACCGAGAGCCATATAAAAGCAACAAGACAACAACCAAAATCGTTGCCTTTACCCTTTTTGAATTATGATTTATCTTTAATTTATCTTTGTTTAATTTATCTTTATATTCGTATATAAATAAAGGTTTAATTACCCAAGTTTGAGGTGCACACACACACGCTCATACATACTATATTAAATAAAGGTTTAATTACCGAAGTTTCCAAACTCGAGGTTTCAACATAACTACCACTGAACAGATGGTTTTGTATTCCGTCCGGTGGGGTATTTAGTTACTCCACGAATTTTCGCTCATCTTACATTTCTTTTCTTTTTTATCGGGGTTGTGATATTGTGAATGGCCGCCTAAAAATCATGAAGGTTCAACGATGATAGCACACAAGTTTAAAAGCTGCCCAAAGTCGATTCAAAAATGACGCAAATCATGTTTAAAAGTTGGGCAAAACGGGTTAAAAACCAAACAGTAGTAGCACAGACAGCACGATCAACATCAGCTACCATCACTATTAACTTCAACAGGGATGTAAATCCTCTCGTTTTTATCTACCGCGACGACTGCCGTATCGAGACAGAACACACGTCAGGATGCTACAATTGCGAACCAGGAGTGATGACAACCGTCAAATGTTACTCCAAGAAGAAACGAACAATGGCAGATGTCGATTGCGGAGAAAAATGTGCAATTCCATGTGACCCGAACGGTCAGCAATCAACCATAAGATTTTCTTCGAATGCGGCACGATTTCACCGCAAATGTAAAGACGAGCCACAAATATGACATCTGAGACATCTTTCTCATATACGATCCCTACGAATCTCAACGTACCAACTCGAACACCGAAGTCTTAAGATCAAGGAAATCTTCACCAATGTTGTTAAAACAGTACGCCAACTCCAAGAAGAAGCAGAGAGAGCTGACAAAATCATAACAACAACGATGACAGAACGCCAAATTGTGGCGTCGACCCGAGATACGACTAAACTGTACAGAATGGCCCAAAAAGGGTTCGATTGACTATTGGATCAAACCGTCAGACTAACGAATGCCTTCCACTAATATTTGGATGCAAATCAAAAAGTTCGCGACCTTATTGATTTAGCCGTAGTCGATGCGTTTGACGTGGCAGTAAGAATGGATCAAACAGGAGCTGCTGAACGAGATATTTCCGATCAATACCGCGCGATCACGAACCGCACAAAAGTAATGATGGTCAACTTTGAGAAGTTATTCAAGAAAGCAGAGAACGACAGCTCGAGAAGAATGAACAAGAATTGCGACAATGGCATTGATTCATTGTGAGAGCAGAAATGGGAGTCCAAGGAATACTCACAACGACGCAAGAAACATGGAAATCGACCAAACAAATGCAGGACCTCATTGAAGTACAGCATGATGACCATTTGAAAGGACACGGTGAGAACATCGACAAAATCGACCAGGTCACACGAGAAACAATCGGAAGGACGACAAGCACTATTTCTGTTAATCTATAAAAAACCGAGAACAAATTGATGAATGCCATACAAACAACATCAAAATCCATAGAAGATCAAGTCAAAAACCTTACCGAAGAGAACCAGAGAAGACGCACAGACGAAAATGGCAGCAGCACAAGTCCAAAAGTATGAAATTCGCCAAGATGAAAGACGAGGCAACTACGCCAGATGACAGACGAGCAAACCTATATAGACAAATTGCTGCTCGAGACTGGCACGATGGAACACATATCAGGTGTGCATTCTGCGCGAAACATCATTACTCAGTTGTTACCAATATGACACCACTAGCATACGACAGCGTATGATCATACAAACCAAACGTTGCGTGCGCTGCTTAAAATACGACGATCATGAAAAGAGATGCAACAAGACCTGCTACTATTGCTCAAAGATCCGAGGGAAAGATCCTACAACCCACCATACCTCACTCTGCCCGAATCCAACAAACCGATACCCAGACGAATCATAGAATTGTCGTGAGAGGCGGAATGTCGTGAACGATCAAATTCATCAACAATGCCGTTATTTACCATTACAGTTCCTAGCCACAGCCGCTACTATTAAATATGAATCATCATCCACACCTTAAAGTCATCACGCTAACCATTATTAAATTGTTACAGTCTCCATACCATTATTAAAATAATCATCGCCCACACATTCTAAAGCAACAACATTAACATTATTAAAAAAAATTCTCTCATTTATAACGTTCCCTGTCCTCTAACATCATTATCAATCTTCACACCCACACATCGACCCGCCCACTTCACACTCGTCGAGAGCCATATAAAAGCGACAAGTGAATAACCAAAATCGTTGCCTTTACCCTTTTTGAATTATGATTTATCTTTAATTTATCTTTGTTTAATTTATCTTTATATTCGTATATAAATAAAGGTTTAATTACCCAAGTTTGAGGTGCACACACACACGCTCATACATACTATATTAAATAAAGGTTTAATTACCGAAGTTTCCAAAATCGAGGTTTCAACATAACTACCACTGAACAGATGGTTTTGTATTCCGTCCGGTGGGGTATTTAGTTACTCCACGAATTTTCGCTCATCTTACATTTCTTTTCTTTTTTATCGGGGTTGTGATATTGTGAATGGCCGCCTAAAAATCATGAAGGTTCAACGATGATGGCACACATGTTTAAAAGCTGCCCAAAGTCAAAAATGATGCAAATCATGTTTAAAAGTTGGGCAAAACGGGTTAAAAAATTTGTGATGAATGAAAAGTTTAAACCGAAATGTTGCATTTTAACGCTGTTGTCATTTCTCATTGGATTTCAAATCACGATTGAACAAAATTCCGTTACCGTTTGCCGTATATAGAGTTTTTTTTTTAATTAATTGAAACACAAAAAAACGATAATGGTGCATAATAATAGTGATGATACATAAAATTTTAAAAAGACCAATTGAAGAATGGGAGTTCGAAACAAGGAGAACAAATACATATTGATCGATAAGTGAAGAAAAAATTGAAGCATTCAGAAAATTATTGATGAAGATATTCCGTGCGGCAAGTTTTCGAATTGTCCAAATTGACCATCTGACGGGCAGAAGAAGTCGAAATCTGGGCAAATATGCATTTAAAACCATTTTCTTCCTCACCTACCATCAATAATCCATTGTGCGACAGCGATATTTCTTGAATCGAGAAATCAATCGGTGGAGCATTATTTGGTGCACTATATCGCAACTCACGCTCATTGTTCTGATTGATGTTATCACGGGGCATTGCTTGAGGGTGTTCATCTGCGAAAAATATATTTTTTGCCACTTTAAAATTGAATAACGAAATAGTTAGGGATTCCCAGACCGTTATTTTGTCCTTAGAATTAATTTTGTTTTGTTTTGTCTATATTGAGCTATTGGTGTGTGAAACAATTTAAACAACTAATTTACGGCTAAGTGATGACCTTGATGCTGGTGAGCTGAGAAAGGTTGCTCAAAACTTGATTGTCTATAATTGGTGTCATTTCGTTCCATTGGTCGTTCAAATCCGGGATGGTTGTCATTTGGAATCTGAATAAAAATTGGACATGTAACCGGGACTTTTGGCTCCGTTGAAATTATGATCTGAAAAGATTGCATTGAAAAAACTGACGGCCAAATTAGAAACACTTGCATTATTATTTGGTGCAATAATGGGCTCTTCTGAATTGAATCTAGTGTTGTCATCAATTACCTTCTCCGACAATGACTGTTGATCTGGTAATGAAGCATTACCGGTTTCTTGATTACCCGCCATGTGAAACTTAAAAAAAAACTATCAGATAAATTTTATTCAAACCCTGCTCAATAACACAAAATGATATTTAAAAATCCATAGAGAGAGAGAGAATGACATTCAATAATTTGACTATTAAAGTCTAAATTTTTAGACACATTCAAATTTCAAGCAGTGCCTTAAAAAACAATTAGAATTATACAAAATATTAAAAATTCGAATAGAATATGAATGAAAATATTGATTAGATGATAAAAACATTTCATCGGTTTAGAATTTTTATACATTGACCAATAGTTGACTAGCAGATGTTCGTTGAGTGATCAATATGATCAGTGGGTTTTCAACATTTTTGAATTTAGTTTTGTTGAGAAATTAAAAATCACTTTCGAGGCTGAACAATAAGTGACACCGGTTTTTACAAATGTACACCAAACATTTATAAATTGTAATTAATAGCACATAAGCTGTCCAAACTGAAAAAGTTTTATTTGAAGTGGAATTTGTGCCAGATATTCTCAACGACTCTGCCCATAAGCGGCAACGATGAAAGGATGCATTTTAGGCATCCTAGTGTGACGCAAGTATACATTTCTGCAACTTTTCGGTAGCCCTTTGAATTAAAGAAGCGCATATTTCGATTGAATGAAATCTATACATTTTAATGTTTATTTTGAAACATTGCATTTTCCAGAAACTAGCTATAAAAATGGACTACAATGCGGAAAATCATGACAATAAATTGATTATTCTTGTTTGTATTGAATTGATGCTTAAACAAAGCCAAGCACACACCAAAAATAATTTTTGGTATTGAGCATAATTCTTTGCAGATTAATGGGTAATTTCTTGAAAAATAAGCAACATAAAACCAGAAGACTATCATGCAATAAAATAGTTTTATAATTTTTTCCGTATACGGTACACAAATCGCATGCATCAAATACATGGGTATCATTAGAAGTAGAATAGGATATCGTAGAATTCGGTATTTGAGACCACTCTCATTTCGAAGACAATTTAGACAGGCTCCATCTCTTCTTCCAAAGGATCAAGTTAAATCTAAAAATGAAAAATCTTCACAAAATTTTAATATTTTTATTACATTCAATTCTTCAAATTTGCCAAAAAGGTTTTTGAGTTCGGTTTCAGGCCAAGCGTTCTTGATCACAATAACCTGCTGTTTTTCAACCAACGAATAGTCATACACCTTATATATATATATATATATATATGAGCAAAACACTTTGATAACTTTTTTCGCCTTTTTCCTCGCTTTCTTCGAATTTTCTTATATGCTGAACTTTTCTGAAATAATCAACTATTAAATAAGTATTCTAATTCATATTACGTGAGAAAATGCTTGGATGAACGTCTCACGCATTGCTTCGGCCAAGGGGTTTCCGTTTTTGGTTCGATACATTCTATGACCATTGTGGTCTCGATTTTCAGTTACAGTCTCATTTTTTATCTGTAATGGGATAAAAAATTTACAATTTACAAATTGATTTTTAAAAATTTTGTTGAAAAGTTTTGATATTAAAACTGCAAGCTATTATCCGAAAAATCACATTGACGGACGAGATCTTCTTGAGATTTCCTATTGAAGTTCTGTTGGTTAAGTCGCTATCATCCTTGTTGAACATCTACAAATATTATGAATTGAGCATTCGAAACCTCAAGGAGCTATAAATTTAGAGTTTTTTTTAGCCATGGTGAAGCGCAAACAAAAAAAAATAAAATTCTCATTAATTTTATGAAAATGCAAAAGAAAACACTAAAGGGAACAACTACACTGGTTCGCCACGTGTTCATTATAATCGTATTATTTTTGTCTTTTTCCCAAAAGTTTTTCTCAAGAAAGAAAACATGACGTAGTGACAATACAAAACAAATAATATGTGTGAATAAAAACAAACAGGATATAAAATTTGCCAACGATAACACCAAATCACTAATGAAATCAAATTCAGCTTATTTTTTACTGCATTATAGATATTGTTTATACTAGAAAGCCTATGATTTCCAAATGTGACTATTTCATGCCGGAATTTGAGCTACTATTTTATAATACATATATACATATATATATTTGAAAAATTGTCATTGCTTGTGGTTTAAGTCCAAATCTCACTATTAATCATATCTTCCAGGTAATTCTCTAATTTTCATTCATTCAAAACTTTATCATATTTCCATTTCTTAAGTGGATGACATGTTCACTTTCAAGCGAAAATGTCTGAGATAATCCAGATGGTCAGCAGGTGTTGAAATTGGACAGCAAGGGAAAAATTGCTTTATAATTTCTACAATAAGGGACTTTCATAAAAATGTTTTTATCAAAACAAAGGTTTCATCTCATTCCAGTTTGACTATTTGATATTTGGCAAAGTGTGTAGCATTTAAAATGAAAAATCCAAAAAAAAATTGGCCAGATTCATGAATTTGTGCATGTCTAATATTGCATCTATCCCGAAAGAAATAATAATATATATTTTTTTTTCCTAAACGTTGCTCCACGAGCTTGATAACTTCGGGATATTTAGCCAGGATAACTAGGACTAGAATTATCAATTTGCGTCCAATTTTACAAGTTTGTACATATTTCAGCTATATTATTGCAAAAATTTCCCACTCTCGGATTTTGACATCTTGCGAAAGTTGAAAAATTCATCTCTATTTTTCTGTTAACATCATTTACCATTTCTTTAGCGTTTTTAGCACTAAGCACATTGACATTAGTTTTTTGGGTCTTATTTTGTTTTTCTTTGACACTATAAATAATAGCGATCGTCCCCAAACTACAATTCTTTGTATTATTCACGTACACTATCGATTTTAAAATTTTTTTATCAATTTTAATTTTGACTCGATAAAAACGTCGAATTGAAATTTTCTTCTTGAACAATGTTGGAGGATTTTGATTGTTTTTCAAAACCCCAATTCTCATCTATAAATGGTTGTTCTTTGAAAAATGCCGACGACAGTTTTCTTAGGTAATTAAAAAAATTCCTTGAAACGAGCTGTGGAGAAAATGCACCAAATAAAATCCCTGAAAGTTATATAATTTCTAAAAGTTCGACAATACAATTCAGAGCATTGCAAATATCAAAGTGCTTGGAAATACCGTCGGATTAATTGAAAACCTTGATCGCCTTCATTCTTTATTCGGGTAATATACAATAAACATTCACAGGAATTAATGAAGGGCGAGTATGGGGAAAATAAAGCCTTGTAGTTGTCCAAATGACAATATACGAAAAAATAATATACCTATTGATATGAAAATTTATAGCTGTACGCGACAGAATTATCTTAGTGATGCATTTGGTTGGGGAAATGCGCAACTTTCGTGGGAGCGAATCCATGATTAATCTGTTTCTGGTTTTGGCCAACTATAAGTTCTTTCGTGTTTCTTTCATTCGATTGGTGCTCGTGATCTTCTGAACGTCTATACTTGAACTGAAATTGTCAATTTTCGCATAAAAATAATTGACACATTTTGAATTACCGGTTGATTTGAGTTATCACTTCTTGGAATTCGCTGAAAGTAAAACAACGTCGGTTTAGCTATTGTTTGCTCCGTTTTATGCTCATTGTTTTTGCGATTTTTCTTTGGCTCAACAGTGGTTGTATTTGAAAAGCTTGTCTAAAATCACAATGATATATTTTTTCGTTATTTAAATGAGTACCGCTGGAGCTCCGCATTCTTTCTTCACCTTCTGCTCAGGCTCTTGATAAGGCTGCCCAGATTTATCTATGTACCAGCAGCCTTTGTTGATAACCAGATCATTTGGATTTTTGTTCGCATTGTTTAGAGAAGTCTTAGAATCTTGGTCGTTAGCCTAAAATACGGCAAAATAAATTCCAATTGATATTTAAAAAAAAGCACCGAAGATACTTGCTCGAACTGCATTTCGCGCAGATTTTCTTCACCATTACGATTTCTCAACCATTTATTCTTAAAAAATCCACGAACAGAATGTTCTGTCTAAAATTTTAATCGTATTCCTATTAGTTTTTTTTTATTATAGAAATACCGATTGAACAAATTTTTCATTATTAGATGAATATTCATCAATGTTAGTATTAACATGAGAGTTTTTCAATTGGTTTTTATGGGAATTCGACTTTCGATTTGCAGAAAGTTTGCCGCTGACCTAAAATTTGTTCAAAATTATTTGACGCACACATTCATAAAATACACTTACATTCTGAACAAATCCGGAAGCCTGATAACTAGGCTGAAATTCAAAAAAATAAAATCCAAGTATTTTGCGAAAATAAATATACCGGTGTAATATCTAGATCCATGATTACACTACGATCATCATCAGAGTAATCCAATCCAACTGTCTTGCTATGCAACGAGAAATCCTGCAGAGATTCAATTCAGAAGACAAATTTCCATTCTCAAGCTCTCTCGCTCGAGAGAAATGTCTACTTCACTTTGATACGAAAAAAAATACCGATATTTCTTCGATTTCCATAAAAGTTGTTTCGTCATATGTGCTATCGGTCACATTAACGGACGAATTACTATCACCTTGAAAATCGTTGTTTCTCTTCTTAATGTGCGATACATTTTCCGAGACATCACAGTTTTTCTGAAATTTGACTGAAATATCTGAATTAATTTTTAAATATACCCTAGTTTCTTTCGAACCGACTTTCACGCTAGTCTCTGCATATGAACTATTCCATTTATTGATCATGAAATCTTCTTTGAAATCTTCCTTGATGTCGCAAGATTCGTTTGAAATTTGAGCCGATGATAAATCGGGCTGGTATCTAGAAACTGAATCACTTCTCTGAAAAAAATCAAATGATTTGAATTATGCGATTTACGGGAACCGATTGCTGTTTCTTGCGATCTTTATAAAAATTGATAAGAAACTCAGTGTCATAACATACATCACTAATGTCGACATCGTACAGAGAATTTCTATCCTTTGGGAATCCATAAAGTTGGTAGTCCTAAATTTTGAAATTTGGAAAAAACTCTATAAGAAAAATTACCGGCGATTGTTCCAACCAAAAGCTAGAATTCAATTCATGACCTTTGTATGATGAACGCTTCTTAGAAATTGGTTCATCGTTAATGGTTGAAGATAGGCCATATGTTGAATTATCGTTTTGTTCCTGGCTAGGTTTGTTTTGCTCACCATAAAGTTTGTAGTGTGCCTGAAACTCGTTTTAAATATCAAATATGTTTTTTTGAAAGTAGTACCGGCATTTCTTCTGATTGCATTTTTCTTTCGGTTTTACAATCTGCGAAAGATCTGTCCAAACTTTCTAATGACAAAACATTCCGAATCGACGAGCTATCAAAACTGTGATCACTTTCAGAATCAATTTCAACTTTATAAAATCCGGTAAGGTCTCGAGTAGGGCTATTCGTATCAGGAGCATACGAAGCAGACTCATATATTTCCATGGCCTAATAATTCAGTTATATATATTCTCAGAAACAATCTAGTATACCGTTGTAAATTCAAGATGGTTGTGCATATTCTCCATATCCGTTTTTATTGAACGATCATCACGGATCTGACCATCGATATTATCCACACAAGAAGATGCAGAAAGGTATGCACAAGATCGCGTTGCAGGGATATCGGGGCTCACGTACGATGGCTCACTGATGTGTATATCCTTTAAAATATCCGCAATCCAATTCAGGAGTTGAGAGTTGTTCTCATTTCGAAAGTTCAGGCTGCTTCTTATGATATTACTTAGAGTCCCAATCTGAAATAAGGTGGAAATATTTTATCAATTAATTTTGATCATTTACCTCCTGTGTATAAACGCTTTTCTTCTTTTTTAAGGTTGAACGAATAGTGGAAACTTGCTCCTTAATGAAAAACTCGTCATCCTTCTTATAACGGAAAAGTCGAAAAGACTTTTTGATGAGCGACTTTGGAGAAAATTTGTGAACATCACGACGCATTATTACCTGAAAAACGACATATATGGTGGTTTTAATATTAGAACACAATATACGAGGTAAATTTTAAAAGCGGCATTGTTATTTGCGCGCTAAAGCGTTCGACACGCACGCAAAATTGAGGGCGATGTTTAATTGGAGTGTCGTACTGGTAAGGTAAAAACACACTTTGACAAGGGAAATAATCAGAAATGGCAGACGGGCAGAGTGCGGTGTAGGCGTTCAATTTGTTTTCGCGGGACGCTAGTAAAATGATACAAGTACGCTGCATTGCATATTTTTGTTTGTACGTTCAGAGTTGGACACATATGTAGTTTGCGAGAGACACTTTAAAAGAAGAATCTGATTAAGGCAATGACAACTAGTGCCAAAAATTGCAATGACAAACGATAGGATTTGAAATACAAATCATTAACTATTGAATTTCGAAATTACTATAAAGAATAAAAAGATTGAAAAATTGACGTTACAACAAACTTTAAAAAAACTTTGGTTTTGAAAAGAAGAAAGATGATGACTGTGACCATGCTCAATCACGCTAGAATCATCTTTTCAAAAAAGTATAAATATAATTTTTTTTTGAAAAACACGTAACAAACTGTTTTCCTCCAATAATTCGCGATGTCCAAAAAATTTATAGCTTTGCCGAATTACATGGATTACATTGAAAACACAAAAAAAAACACAATAGAAAAATTCATGAAATCAGTAGCAATCTGGAACACAAAATCAAAACATTATAATTTTCTATCGATGGTGATTAATACAGTGAATATTTTTTAGTTACCATAAGAATGATTCAATAATCTTCTTGTTCTACGCAATTTACCAGAAAACTCGCTACTGCCATTGAGTCGATCCTGAAGATCGAAATCGACTTCAGACGGATTCTTCTTGCCCTTCGGAATACTATAACTATTGATGTCGATCTTATCCGCGCGCTAGCACGCACTATGATGTACACAAATTGATTGTCAGGAAAGCAAGGATAGTGAAACGGCAGAAATTTTGAAACTAGCTCGAATGGGATAAATGAAATGATTTTGCAAAATAAACTCAATGAAAAAAATTTCCGATTAACATTCTTCATTGCCTCTTTCATAGTTATTCATTCGTTGAGGACTTCGCGATTAAAAAAACGTAATGAAAATTATGTCAAATTTAAGAATGGTTGACTATACACACGTTCGGCATGGATGTCTTCGTGCCCGACTATATAAGCTCTATTCAACCCTAAACACTCTTCAAGAGGTTTTGGTGGTGAGGTAATTATTGTTGATAATCCACAGTCATATGAATTCAGAATCAATACTTTTAAGTTAAATTACTTTTTTTCTCGTCAATTTCTTCCATTGGTTTTTTTCATGTAGTATCTTGGACACACGTGCACCTCCCAAGATAAACCAACTACTGCCATATTTTATTTTGGATTTACATTTAATTGATTCTTTTTTATTCTGGGTTTATTTTTGAAACCCTCTATGAAGATGTTCATTTTTGAATTATTCAAAGATGCCCTTATATCTGGTTTCCTCAAACACCCCCTTTTTAAACTTTCTTAATTGTTGATTTTCTTTTTAAAAAGTCTATGTTATTATCGCGAACGGTGATAATATGGAATTAACGGACCTGAAAAAATTTTACAACATTCCAATCGGTGATCATATCTATACCTTTCTCATGACAATTGACAAATCTCGTTTACAATTAAATATCTTTTAAAGAGAAGTTTGCAATATAAATTGGGTCATTATTTTTTTACATGTTACATTCGCAGAATAAACGAGCGCTTCGCAGGTTACCAGAAACTTCGAAATATTCTGAAGATCTACAATTATGAAAGGCGGTCGTTTTTTTTTTGAGACGAAACTAGTTCAAAACAATGTTCTGGACGCCATTCTAAGTTTCAAGACGGACAGAAAAAAAGCACAAAATGCATCAAAAATCGATTCAAGACGCATTTTTAGCTTTATGACGGTGCCTATTTGATAACTTTAAAGAACTATAACGTTTTTGTTTCTGAATGAAATCCGATGAACCAAAAAACGGAATTAGACAACATTTCGTGCTTTTCAACTTGGAATGAACGGTTTTTCTTGAAAATCAATAAGAAATAAATTGTGACCTGATTTATTAGTCAATTAAGCTTAAATCTAGGATTTCTGCAGTTTTACCAACACATCCGTTTAAAACTGATGATAGCCATATACAATTTTAGTTTCAGAATATGGTGGTTAAAACGTGCGGTCACCCGATCGTATGATCGTGAACACCTTCCACTTCACGATGATGAATGAAATGACACTCTCTGAAATAAATTGAAATCATCATTATTTGCTTCAGCGGAGCACTAAATCGCAATTAAATCTGAATAATAGACATCACATAACTATACTCTCACAAAAACATCTGTCATGAAAATACATTCCAAAATTGTCGGCCCAAAAATATTCAAAAATGATTAATCAAACATTTATTTTAAACGTTGCAACGAAAAAAAAATACTATGATATTTCAATGAAATAGAAAAAAAATTTAAAAAAGAATACAATTCTTCTTGCTTTTCAAAAAAAAAAAGAGAATAACATCTGACTGTGAATGAAGCAAAGTTATCAAATACCTCACATCTGATCTAAAAATAATTAATAATTTGATATGAAAAAGAAAAAAGCGAATGCACCTACTTTTTCTGTCGCAACATTTCTATCTTCCACAATTTCCTTCTGTCCATGTTTGTTGCATTAGATTCTCTCTCTATAAACGAAAAACGAAGAGACAACAGAATGCCTGAATTGACCGAATTGCTGGAAACAATAAAGATGTTGCGCGCCTTACCTTATTCACTAACTGTAACATGGTTGTCATTCGCATCAACCATATGACATTCAAATGGAACCGTTTCACTCCAAAAAGCCTCGCTACAAATATGATGTGTACGCGCAAAACAGAAGCAAGTTTTTACTTGAAAGTGCAGAATGAAGCATTCGTAGCAATTGCTCGAATATCTGTTGGAATAGAAGCAGAAGACCATATGACGTGTGGAGTTTTGGTATTCAACTGATTGAATCTCTCCTATACTTACTACTTGTGTAAGAAGTAGAAGTTTCGAGTTGTTCACCCTATATTGTGCCACTAGTTTGGCGTGCGGGATAGTACGAAGACTTGCGAAATACAAAACAATCGGTGCCACGTGTCTATTGTAGTACCTTGTTCTAACAGTTCATAAAATTGTCAATTAAAAAATATATTACGGTAACAACATGAATATATTTTATTATCGGATTCGTTTGGTCGTATTAGCGTAAATCGAGAATCAATTTCATAAATTGCCAAATCGTACAGTAAAATACAGTAAAATAGTAATCGTGAAAATAAACCTTCTACTGTCAAACTACATTTTCGGACATTACCAGCAAATCGTTTTTCCAGCAAAACGTATAATCAAAAAAGAATAACCCTAAAAGGGCCGTTGGAATTCGTATACCGATTAGCCTGACTCGGCCCAAAAAGGACCGAGTCAGTTGATCTCCTTCGCCACGTAGAGGCTCGGTACTTGAAGGAGAGGCTCACCAGCATCAGGCCGAAACCTGATGTGGGTCATCGCCGATCCCACCATGGGGATCACACAAGGACATCCCACAACTATCATCCGAGGATAATAGAAGTAGAAGTGGTTGTGCAAGCCACGTCTGGCTGGGCCCCGGGTCTACTGGTGATATGGTTATGTGGTTTGTGTCTTCTCAGCACAGCAGCTTACTACAAAGTAGTAGCAAGCCACTACAATGTAGCAAGATACTATGCCAAGAAGCACGGTCCATGTGCACCCGAAAGGCTGGACATATTGACATAGCTGGCCAATCCACGTCAATATAGGTCAGGTCCAGATGACATCCTAACTAGTATGGAGGACACCCGGTGAAGCAAATTTCTAAAGCATAACCATCCATAACGCCCACTAGTACTCGAAAGTACTTGAAACGGGCGTTTGGGTAGGGTTCGATTCCCGGCTACGGAATCAGGGCTGAAGGGCTTGCCAGGCCAATCACCCGAATTTAGGATACGACGGATAAGCCGTCGTCCAGCCAACGCCTCAGCACTACGATTAAAAGGGACGGGAAGCCTCGGCGCTTGGGGAGAAACCGACTACGGCTATGGGTGGTCGACTACGACCTAGGTAGTGCCGACTACGGCGGGTTTAGAAGTTAGGGAGACTAGAGGTACTTAGAGACTTAAACTTATGATGGGATGTATACCAATGAGTCGGTTCACCGGCGAGATCCTTCCATCGGCGTCGGCGGCGGCAGCGTCGATACCTAAACATACCTAAAAATACAATATTAAAAAAGAAGGGGAAGCCAGTCGTTAGTGGAACGACTGGCATAGCCGTAAGTGGTACGACTTTCCCCAAAAATAAAAAAAGAAGAAAAGGATGGTCCCAAACTGTAGGACCGGAAAGAGAGAAGAATCCCAAGTGGTGGGATATAGAGAAGCCGCAAACGGTACGGCAGGAGGAGGGGGGGGGAATCAGTCGACTGATAGAGAGAAAGGAGACAGTCGCAAGTGGTACGACTGGTGGGAGGAAGAAGAAAGGGGAAGCCGGCATTCCCCGAAGATAAAAGAAAAGGGGGGTCCCAAACGGTAGGACCGGGAAGATGTACAGACGTAAGTGGTACGAATGTACGGAGAGAGAGGAATCCCGAGTGGTGGGATGTAGAGGGGGAGAGTCGTAAGTGGTACGACTGGAAATAGGGAAAAATAAAAAAGAATAAAAAGTAAAAAAAAGGCCCGGGCCAAAAGAATACCAGATACCAGACGCTTTTGCCCCCTCGTCGCTACTTCTTTGACGTCGCTTCCGATTCGATCCATTTGATGCCTGCAATGATTCGAATCATTCTGATAGACTGCGACTCCAGCCTTACCTTTCGAATCCACTTCCTCGCTCTACTCGATGCCCCGGGCAGCATCGACCTTTCGCCATTCCTCTTTCTTGCTCATCTTCACGTGACATGTCTACTCATGAATGTGGGTTTAACGTCGGCCTGGACGCGACACTGCAGTAGGGTTAGTACTGGCTGACGGAGCCGCACCAGTCGAGAATCCCCGACACTTTCAACACATCACATCCGAGAAGCTCGAATGAGAAACGACTGTAGCCCATCGGATCTGCAATACGAGGAATTGAGAAAAAAGATTGCAATGAAGTTGACTTACCTGGTGGATCATTGGCCACGTCGAAACCGCAGGAGATGCGGGTGACGGCCAGCCCACAGAATATGCGGGCCACGACGAGGAGCCCGCAGGTTATGCGGGGCACGACGGGCCCGCATGATATGCGGGGCAGGTCGAGGAGCCCGCAGGTTATGCGGGGCACGACGAGCCCGCAAAGTTTGTGGGCTGCTCGCAACTCGGAGAGCTGCGAGAATGACCAAATTGCGAATTCCGCCGACTATTTATAGTACCACTGGAGTCGGTGCGATGGTCGCAATGGAGCGCATTTGTCGAAACATACTGCAAATCGACGCCAAATGTTCATAAAATCTCTTATTTTTGAATACTCTGTGGCTTTGCGGAAGGGCGGAGCTTAGATTATTTCTTTGATAAGGCATTTCCTTGGTGCAACTATGCTCAAGCGGAACCATCTGCAAATGAGCAGTGTAAAGTGTTGAATCTCCTTTCTATATCCAAATATTTTTTTTTAACTAACATTGAGTTTTTAAGGCTTTAATATTTTGGAATCGTACCATAATTTTATCACATTTTCATTATTTGCAGTTTTAATATTCATGATGTTATAATTATTTTTTTCTGAAATTGATATTACATTAGAATATTCAAATTAGCTGCATAATGCACATTGGCACTTGTTGTTTGATATGTCCGCACATTCCTTTGCTCTAAATTGATAGCACAGATGAATTCAAAGCTCCGAGTTTCCACACAAGTAGAGACTATGGAGCTTTATTCAATTAATTATAAAAGATTTATTCAGTTAATTATCACTGGTCGCCTGTTGCTTCTACTCCTGTAGACGTTCGAGCTGTTGCTACGAATGCTTCAGTCTGCACATTCAAGCAAAAACTTGCTTCTGGTTCTATTTTAAAGTCATATAGTTTACGCAGTAGAGCTCGAGTTCGGCGTATCAAGCTAGTTGACAAAAAGAGAACGGTAATCGGCGGAATGAAACGCAAGGTTTTTTATTTTACAGGACAGACAGAAAGAAATTGACTGTCAAGTCGCACGTATTAGGAACAGAAACGATCGTGTTCTGAAATCAAGAAAAACTGAAGGAAGTGAACCGAAAATTAAAAGAATTACCGTCGAAATGGATTCGTGGGACAACGTGCACTTTGGAAAACAAAAACATTGATAACGACGAACGGAGAAGTCGTTACTATCACATCTTGCAAGAAAGTTTGTAGTGTTTCAAGAAAATTTTTATTTAATATATCAAACATCAGAAACATATAAATAGCTCCTTCTCGAAATAACAAATCATGAGGCGTTGATACTTTGTTTTTAATACATTACGGATCTCATTAAGTATGAACAATAAAACTTTACTGTTTTTGTCTACCTAGCCTCTGCTCAATTTTCTCAGTCCCCGAAATCAAAAATAGAGACAGAAAGAAATTGGACGACGTCTTTGGATGAAATAGGAAAAGATGATCAGTTCATGCTTACATTGTCTGGAAAAATAATTATGTTGACAATAATTTGATTTGAGAAAAATTTCACACTATTTCTTACAATCTCCCGGCAGTACTGCGGGTGCTGTAAATTGCAAATAAATTTGTTCCGATATAAAAGCGATTTTAGCGAATGTGAGAAAGACAGTATCGTTTACTTTACCTATTAAAAGTGGTCTTTCAGGTAAAATTCAACAAAAAGGGCTTATGCTATTTCGTGATCCCTTCAAATTCGAAAACAAAATTTCTTTTTCATTTCGATTTCCAAAATTTTTGAAGAATAGCGTCATAAAATTCTCATGAAATCCCGACGGTGGCGCCTCCAATTCTTTTGTTCGCGAAACAAAAGAATTCAAATTTCAAAAAAAAAAAGAGGCCTTATCGGCAGTATGCGCGATTACTCATATGCCACGGGACTCGAAAAGAGTCATCAATATCGTAGTGCACGTCACTAATTTTTAATCTACGAAAACACAGTAGGAAACGTGAAATTTCGTTTTTTTTTTGAAAACCAAAATATTATGTATATATTACCATCGCAAAATGGGAGCTTAGTTACTTAGTCGATCCGTTCTTCAACGTGGGGCGCGGAACACAATTCTCCAATGTTTTCTGGCTCTGGTCGTTTTGTCCAATTTACCTTGAATAACTGTAGACCTTTTTCAAAAAGAAAATTCAAGTTTGAATTTTGGAAGCAAACAAATCGATGATGGGCGCTCGCAATTGTAATACGTGCATTCGTGTTTCTTGAATTTCTTGAATGCAAATTTATTCGGAAAGCTTTGAAGAATGCAATATAATTAATAAACGTGTCAACGGGAAAAAAAACGTACACAAAACTTAAATTCAGATAATCGCTATAAATTAAACGACTCGAGATATTAATGGATTACATGGGTAAAAAACAAATGGATATTTTAAAAAATGAATGGAGGAATATGTTAAGTGGGTAATCGCCAATGGTATTAGTGATGTGGTGACAATACCAAATAATTATGTCATTCATTGCTTTTTCGGCATCATGGTTGGCCATGCACCATTGAAAAAATTGAACTGATCGACAAACGATTTTTGCAAATCGTGCCACTGTTTGAGGAACTGCATGTCGACCCCTGGAATTGCATTTATTGGGCCATATGGGAATTGTGCCGCTGGATATGCTCTGTTTTGCTGCATTTGACCAGTCATATTCGGAAAACCGTTTGCCTGAATGATAGCACATTGTTATTCTTTAATAAAATTTTGAGTCTTACCATGTTTCCCGGCATTTGATATGGCATGAATGGGGGAGCAAAGTTCGCAGACATTTGTGGTGCTGCCGGTGTAGCCGTTGGCTTCGGTCTTTTCGGTCCCGCGGGTTTTTTGAGTCTCGGTTGATTTTGCGTCTCAGCAAAACGAGGCGCCCGCGGTGCTTTTCCCGGAGCCTGCTGCATCGTCATTTGTGGCCAAATTGGGAAATTCATTGGCTGCCCACTGATAGGATTTTGGAAAAGAGATTGATATGAAATATTGGCAGCAGCCATGCTGTGGGGAGTGACCGGAGGCATGCCGAACATTGGATTGGGGTTCATTACACCATTCGAGTATGGTGTCGGGACAGCGCAAGTATTGGGATGCATGAGAGGGCCAGTGTTTTGATTCATGACACCACCAGAGTAAGAAATCGGTACCGAGCCAGAATTGGGACCCATGAGAGCGCATGTGGTCAAATTAAGCAAATCACCAGAGTAAGTAATCGGGGTCCCTCCAGAATTGGTATACAGGCCAGCACCAGCGTTTGGATTCATGTCACCACTGGAGTGCGCAATCGAGGCAAGGCAAGAATTGGGGAACATCATAGAGCCGGTGTTTGAATTCATGATATTATCCGAATTTTGGTTAATGATAGGAGCGGAATTCTGATAAGTCACCATTCCAGAAATGGGATCCGTTTGAGCACGTGAGTAAAGATTCGGCGTACTTCCAGAATATTGATGCGTAGCTGTTGTAGAGTCGGGGTTCATGTTGGGAACAGAAAAAGAGTCCATTGCCAAATTTTGAATAGTGGCTTTATTGGAAAGATCCATTGATGCAAGGAGGGCACGGTTACGCTTCTTTTCGGCAGCCACAGCACGATTTATCTCATCCGAAACGAACGGATTCGGCACTTTAAGAATCGCCTAAAAAAATGATATAATAAAATTGGCTTCGTCCCTAAATTCTTTGCGTCTATTTTAAATAGAAATGTTGCCAATTATTTGACGAACATCTGGTAAAATGATATATAACATAATAAAGCATATGACAAAAGTAAAATTGCGCACACAGGTGTTGGCTCAAGTTCGATCTCTTTCAATATTGTATTGTTTTTATAATCAAAAAAGAAATAACAATTTAAAATATATAATCGGCGGGTTGTTTTATGCGGGTAGATTTACGGATCCGAATTTCAAAATGGTCACGCCACGTGTGAACGCTTACTACGCAGATTTCCCAGAAATATTTTATCGATTTTTGGAATTCTTGGTGAAATTCGTAAATTACTATTATTTTTCCATTTTGCGTGCAATGTTTGATTTCTCTTCATAATATTGCTTTTCATTTGTTTCTTACGTTATTACAACTAATAAATATCGAAAGGACCCCCTAAAATACAAAACAACTAGTTTGAGAGATTACATCGAAAGGCGCATCACCGTAAATCTACCCGAGTACATCATTCTCCACACCGACTGATCGCAAAAAAATCTTATAATTTCCTTGAATTTTTTTCTTTAAGCTTGTTTTTCGAAAGTTGGTACCTTTGGATCTTATTTGTCGAGAGCGCTAGCCGTCGGCGACTTCAAAACATAGTCCTGCATCATTTTTTTGTAGTTCGCTTGTCTTCTCTTGGTATCGTCGTCAGTTTCATCTTCATCTTCATCGTATTTAGTGAATGCCGATTGAGAAGCAACGTTTTCATTCGATCTGTTCAAACCCTGCAAAATCGTTGAGAAATTCACATTTTTCTCGAAATAAACACTTACCGCATCGAAATTGAATTGCGTGTTAGCGATTGGAATATCGTTGACCATCAATTGATTCTCGTGAGATGAAGAATCGGAATTTTTTTCATTCTTATTCACCGGTGTCATCACGTGATGAGTTTCTGGAATAAAATTGACGTCAGCGAGTAAAGAAATGATAATCTAGTTACATAACGACAAAAAAAAATACGCGGAAATATCGAATATAAACAAATTGGTGGGCGTATCTTTAGAGAAGCGTCTAGATATTTGCGCACTGGTCAGCATACTGTAGGGCGGAACCACCCGACTAGAATGAGTTTTCTTTAAGCTGCGCACAAGGAGAGATATTTTCCCACAGAAATATTGCAGATGGACAACAAAAGTGCGCACAGGTTAATGTATAAAGGCCGCATAAAAATTTTTCAACAGCTTTCTGTACACCCGCTTATAAAAAAATAAAAAAGAAACACGGTTGCTAGCTGCCAACATTCATTGGCGCCGATATTTGAATTTGAAACCGATGATGGGCGGTACACAGCCTGCCGGTCGTCCATTATTACTCATCGCAGAAAAAAAAGGAATCGACGCCATGTTTTTGAACGTGTGCGGTTTTTGTTTGCATAACCTTTTGGAATATGCGACTATGAAAATTTAAAATAGTACAAATGGTAAGGGATATTGAAAAGCTGAGAATTTCTCAAGTTATTCAAAAAAAATACAATAATGTGCTATCGGGGAGCAAGCCTTTATAATTTTTTTCAATAAATCCCGGGCGTCTAAAATACCAACACAATGATGGGAAAATGTTAATCTCAAACAGTTCGGATGCTTTACAATGGGCAGAAAATCCTATTTTCTCACACGGACGCCTCATAAAATGTGCTCCATTATTTCAAACGGAACTGTTATTGTGTGCGTCAAACGTTTGAAATTGCTAAGGATAAATGAGTATTTGTCTTCAATTGTCTCTCCAAAAAAAAGGAAATTTTTCGAGATTTATTGCGAAAATGACATGTGTATGCAGGCATGGTTATACGGTAGTTGTTGTTTACAATGAAAGATGTCACGCCTTAACTGAAGGCTGTCAACACGCCCATATAATAGTTTGCACGCCCATACTGCAAACCATTTTTATTACGGCAGCGTGGATTATTATCTTTGCGATGAGTAATGCGAACGGTCAACCAGCTTCCGAAGTAAGAAAAATGCATTGAAAAGAAAATTTTTGAATTTTAGACTGCAGTAACCATGCAATTAAATCCCGAACAAATGCAAGTCATTCGTGATCTATTTCGGAACCGAAGGCAACAAGTTAGTCTGAATAGGTTTATAAAAATATGCGTGATAACACAAATTCAGGAATTTTGGAGTAAACGGCGAGACATATCGAACAAAAAGATTTCGGCGAATTTTTTGAAAAAGCGTAAGAGATGCTTAAAAATGTAATGTTTCGATGAATGCATATGTATTTTTTCAAGTTTCCAGTAAATTCACCTGTGTCATATAATTTTCAATGTGTGTGTGTGTGTTTTTTTTTTCATTTATTTCAATTATAATAATTAAATAAACAACTTTAAAAGTATTGAGCTGTATTCATTAAAAGTTGATCTTTGTTATCGGATATGACGTCGTTTATCGGCAAAACTATCCCGTACAATTCTAGCAACAGATGCTCGCTTACATTGCAAAGTTGGAGCTCTAAGTGTATTGCGCAACCACGAAGTGTGACAAGTTACTGTAGGTTAACCTAATGATACATGTTATAATATGGTTTAGTGATGTTAATTATGTTGCGCGGTACGTCAGCTGTTCATTCGTACTGGCAAAAAATGTTTATTTTTGCGAATAACTACCACAATGCCGAAAATTATTTGAAAAGTCTACTATGTTCAAACCATCAATTATTTTAATTATTTTTTTAGTTTCAAAAATATTAACATGTCTCAAGGTCATCATGCTTTAATTATGTGGGGTTTGACTCTAACTCTGAAATCCTCTGGGATTCATAAAATACCTAGTTTTTCAACACAGCTGTCAATTATCAAAATTTATATATTGATGTAGTTCTTCCCTTTATTATTTTCAACAAATAAACAACTTCTAGTAAAGCATTGTTTGTAATTCGATTTCCGAAAGACAAGTGTCAAGTCCGATAATGGGCGTGGCTTCATACAAGCACGCCCGCGCCATCCGCGACGCGTGCCAACGCGCGCGCTCGGTTGAGAATTCAAAAAGCTTGATTTTTGTCTGGGTTCTATGCTGATAAACCATATTTCATAAATTTAAGAATTCCACATATGACTACTGTTTTCATTTTCTTTCTTTCTCCCCTCTCTCACGTAAATGTTCCTCTCCTCCGACATCGCTGTGTGCGCTCTCACAGCCAGCGACAAGTGCCTACCGTTAATAGCACAATAAAATTGTTATTTTTTCCATTTAAAACAATGTTTTATTTGGTCGTTGTAATTTCGTGTTTTTATTTTGCGTCATAAATATTTCTTCCAATAGGAGTTCGCTCATTCAGAATGCAGCCACGCCTGCCGATTTTTAACGGTCAATTCGTTGAGGTCGAAGTGGTATGATTAATTTGCATTTTCTAAATAAAAATAATTGTGTTGTAGTTTTACCAGAAAATCAATGAAGCACCGCAAATCTACCGCAAACAGGTAAAATTAATTTTCACCATTTTCTCATCAAATATAGAAAATTTTCTGTTCGCCGAACTTCAACAGCTTCCTCTTCCTGATCCGAATCTGTACACCATGAAATCACTTCATAACGTAAATATTTTTAAGAAAATTTGTCAAAAATGGGCGCAATTTTTTAGATTAAAAATGTTGTTGCCGATGCAATGCACGCACTCGGATTCGAGATAAATAATCCGGGAAAGAAGGAAATTGAAAAAAAAATCGACAATATTATCACTAGAGGTCTCTCGGATATTCTTGGAAACGAATTGAAAGACTACAGTGGTTTTGTACTTGACATAATTATTGAATTCCATTAGTTATATTTTTTAAATTCAGGTTCACAAATTCAGTTATCAGTACACCGAACGCTTTCACTTTGTTCTCGACGAGAAAAAAGGAATTTTTCGACTGAAGCAGGAGACGGACAGTGAGAAGCAGATCAAACAAGTTCACGTCAACTTGGATATCGACCCGAAAAAAGAGCGCCACTATGCCATTCTTCAAAACGATGATAATTCTGAAAACGGTGTCGTGGGATTGTCGTTGATGCGCTATCCAGATCCGGACGTCGTCGAGTTGCCTGATCACGTGAGATTCCCACAAATGTAAAAATGCGTTACTGTCAATTATTTTAGGACGAGGACAGACTCAAACGAATTTACATCGAGTTCCTCAAAGACGTATGAGCAAAAGCTGTCGAATATTAAAAATAAAACGTTCAATTTGCAGTACAAAAACGGAAAATTTGTGATCTCAAAGCGAAACGTCTACGCCCGCAATAAGCCGACTGTTGCACCGGCTTCATTTCCGATGAATGACACAAATTCCGATAATGATGATGAGGAGAGCGGTGATGGAGAAAATAAGGCTGAAAAGAAGAAGATGAAGAAGCATAACAAGAATAACAAGGGCAAGAAAGGAAATAAGGGGAAGAAATCCCGTTGCAATTAGACAATCGCCAAAAAGTTTTTATAATTATTAACTGAAATTTTTTTCCAGCTTGGTCATAATCACTACCATACATTTTAAACCATGTTTTATCTTCCATCATTGTCTTTATCTACATTTATTACCCTCGTTGTATTTCAGTGTTATTTAATGAACTATGCTATTAAACAGCAAAATGCTTAATAATTAATGACTAAGTGGTCAAGAATTTGATGTTTTTTGATGAATTTGAAAATGCTTGAAATTTTGCATGTAAAATCGATGTTATAATGGTTATACATACATAATTGTAAAAGACAATGTATTGTTTTGAAGTCTTGTAGAAATTGAAATTTACTTTGGAAATGTGTCAAGGATTAGCATATTATTATTCCGAACTAAGTTACAAAGTGTCACAAATTGTAGAAAATCCATTTATGAGCTATGTAGGTGGTGCGATTTCGTTCCAAATTTAAAAAATCGTCCGGTTTTTTTTTAATATTTAAAGGTGTATTTAAGCGTATGGTGCAGTAATCGAATAAAATATTCATGATAATTCTAGCGAGCACATCTGGAAATTGGAGCTCTAAGTGTATTGCGCAACCACGAAGTGTGACAAGTTACTGTAGGTTGACTAAACGATACATGGTATAAAATCATTTAGTGATGTTAATGGTAGGGCAACTGTTCATTCGTACCGACAAAAAATATTGATTTTTTGCGGATAATTTTTACCCTTCAGGGAAAAATTTCTATAGAGCTCGATTTGGAACATGAATCTTTAAACCAAAAACGTATTCTCTTTGATCTTATAGGTTAATTCTCAGCAATTTGCTACAGGAATTTTTTAGTTTAGAAAGCTCATATATTTATGGCATAATCAAAAAAAATTGAAATTGTGCCAAGAAACGTTTTCCAGTATTTTATCAGAAAAATATTTACTCGAGGATAATTTCAGAGTTTTTGCTAAGTGTGCGCTGCGGGTGAGGATGCTACCAATAGCGAGTGTTCAACGGCGCATGCATTTACCCAACCAAAAGACTCGCGTGGTTGGAATTACGGTAGCCATAGTTAAACTGTGCGCAAAATTCAAATTTGTTCAAAATGCGCATTTTTAGGCAATTTTGCGGCAAATTCATGATTTCTTTTGATGCTTGAATTATATTTTCCAAACTATTTCGAAGGAAAAATCCACTTTTGGTAATTGTAGGAATATAATCTACGCAAATGTAATATTTTCAAATTATTATTTGTTGTTAACTGTTCTATTCACCTGGTTCCGATTCCGGTACCGATTTTCCCAGCGCTTATTGACCATTTCCCTCCTTCTCTATGGTACGGTGTCTGCATACACGCAACCTACTAGGTGCACACGCTTTTTGGGGCCATTTTGAATTTTTTTTTCTCGCCTTGAAGACAAACTTGAACTTTTCTTATCGTTTTTTGAATTTATTCATTATTCTTTATTAATTCTCAAAACAATAGATGATTTTTTGTCGAAAATGTGCCTGCCTATTTTCATGGAATAATAAAAATTATTTGGATAAAAAAATTTTAGGCCACATGCTTTTTTTAGCTGAAATACGAAAATTCTCATCTCCATTTGAATTTTTGATAACTTCATAATGGCTTTTTCTCTTTGAAAACTTTTTCTTTGCATTTTCACAACTTTATTGATATTACTTTTAGTGCAGTTATTACATTGATATTACGTGTTATTTATCCAGAAGTCATCACGATTTTGACATATTTTAAAGCGAATTCACAAAGATCATTTAAAAATTATCAGAGAGAAATGTCGACAGATCAACAATGTGCCGTGAACGATGAGAATCAGGTTGTAGAGCATTCTCCGGAATCGATCGAATATCTACAAAGAATGCAGCGATACATGAGAATTCTTCAATTTAAGCAACAAACGATTGCTGATGAATTGGTGAATTGAAAACATATTTTGATGAAAATTGATTCAATTTATTCAGGAACCCAAGAAAGAACCTGTTCCACCTCAAAACAATGCCCCGGTTCAGGATCTACAAATCAGGAATCTTCCACCACTAAAGCTTAAAGTATAAATCTTAAAGTTTCATTTTTTAATAATCATATTTAGATTGACATAACGCTGGAGATAACTGTTAGAAACAATGGCATGATGCCGGAGGAGGAGCTTTTGCGCATTATAAATGAAGGACCATCTGAGGATGAACTTCCCTATTTTAAGGTAAACTCAAAATTTTTCATTTAATCGCTAAATTTCGAAGAAAGTATGGTTTTTCAGGAAAATCATGGTGGCAAATATCCGGCAGATCGCATTCCGTTATATCTTCGAAAGGGCAGACGCTAAATGTGTCAATTGTTTCTTTCATCTTAAGCTTCCACTCTCTCTTTTCGTTTTTGCTTCCTATCGTGTCTCATTTTCATTCTTTATTTTTATGATATGAAAACCGGTAAAAACGAAAATAAATGTTGCTAAAAAATTAATGATAAGAAATAAGTGAAGTGTGACAAGAAAATGAACAAAACAAAAAGTTATGCTCTGTTGCAACTCATTTTAGTTCCATCCGATCTATCGATCACGTTTATTGTTTGTATGTTGCTCTCCCGCGTTTTATGCGACATTATGTGTGCACAGTTCCCATAAGTTACCTCAACATGTAATTTTTTAATCAGTTTCTTTCCACCTACATCATCGATCGCAGGAATTTGAAAAAAAAACGAACCCAAGCTTCTCTCAAGTTGATATATTCTTTTTAATAAGAAAAAGTTTTTTACAGACTTTGTTATACTCTGTAACATTACTTCTGAAACAATACATAAGCGAACTAGCATAAAACTCATTCACATATGTCAATTATTCTTCTCTATTATGTATATACAGTTAAGTTAAATCCAGGTCATACATGACTGTATAATCTGGATTTAACTCTTCTTACAGTTCTATAATACTATTCTCATAAAAAAATCTTGAGTTATTAAAAATATCACAGGGTGGCTCGCCTCGTATTAAAATTATTTCAGACAGTTATTGAAATAAGCGTAGACGGTGAAAAAATCAAGGCCATGAGTTTTTCGGCTAATCCTAACGTTTACTGTGTTGTCTTCTTTTCACAATTACTACAATTGATTAGACGGTATTTGGTTACCAAGGACGACCCGTCTGTCGGCTACCGTATGAACGCTCACGCCTCCTTCATTCAATAGCACATTCTGCTCTCAAGTACTTCGTATATGTTTATAGAATTTTTTTTTTACAAATTTTTTAAATTTCAGAAAAAAATTATTATTCGATTTTAAATGTTCTCATTTCCTTTTTTCGCATACAAAAATAATAACTCTGTGCACATTTCTATCAAAAACCGTGGAAATCCTAGTTATACTTTTTTCTCTTTTAATATGATTCGTGCGCATCTGGAAAGTTGCAGCTCCATGTGTATTGCGCAATAGCGACCCGTGAAGAGTTACTGTATGTTGAGTTAATGATACATGGCCAAATATCATTTAATGCGTCTATTGTACGCCAGCTGACCATTGGTACTTTCTTACATATTTCTCAACTTTTTCACCAAACAGTGTTATGCTCTAACGATCAGAGACAAAAAATTGTTCCCAATGCATTTTGAACCATATCTCGACGTTTCTTGCTGAAAATCAATTTAATATTCTACGCGCTTTTCAATTTCGATGTGAGCGCGCCATGCGAAATAGTGCGCAAGGGTGAGAGTGTGTCGCCGATGGAAAGGCGAGCGAAAGAATCACGCAGCAGAAATTACGGTAACAGAAGTTCAGTTGTGTTTAATTCAAATTTTATTATTGCTAAAAATCATTGTTTTTATTTTTACAATTATAATACAATTTCACTATTTGTGCATTCAAAAATTTTTTCGTATTATTTTGGTTTTTTTTTTTCTTCTTAATTAACATTTGACTTTTCCCCAAGAATGCAAATTTTTCTGTCATTTTTAATGAGAATATTGTTAAATGAACAATTTTAGATGGACAACTGTAATCCGAATAAAGATGATAATCAAGAGCTAGATGTTGTCCCGGAAGACGTTCAACCATCAGCGCAAAGCAGTTCATTCTATCCAACAAATTATCTTCAGTTCAACCAAACGTTGGCCCGTATAACAGCGGAATTGGACAATGCTGTAAGAAGTTTCATTCCCCATTTTCCCGATGGAAAATTTTTAACAGGCAGAAAAAAATTCGCTTAAAAATTAATGCAATTTTTTATTTTTTGCAAGTCAGTTGAGAAATTTCCGGGAATGTGATAACATCCGATTTTTTAAAATTCAGTTTTCCGCTTCAGATACGTGAGGTAATTAGAAAAGCTGAGACTGTCAATGAGATTGCAGAAGCAAATACAGTTTCGTTACGTGCTCGTCCCGAAGAAATGCAATTAGTGGTAGGTATTTTTACCAAATTAAGAAAATTGTTATCCAAAAAAAAATGATTTTGCGAAATGATTGCATTTTCAAAACACAATTTCGCTTGTTATTTTTAGCCAATAAATCGATCTGCGCACCTGAATGGAAATCCAAACGCACAAGTACCTGCTCTTCCATGTAATGTGTCCAATGAAGCTGCCGGTCAGGCAAGACAGGAACCATCAGTGGCCGAAGGGATGTTTCTAAGATTGACGGGTTATTATGGCGACGTCAGATTAGATACGGAAGAGCGGATGCGTCGGGATCGTGTTGATCCAGCAGCAAGGTTTAACCCGATTTCGGTGCCCTTGGGCAATAATGGCAGAAGACGCCGCCGCCGGCGCAACAACGCTAACGTTGACGATCTTGCAGAGAACTTTGAAAGAATGATGGTAAAGAAAAATTATTATATACATATATATTTATATAACACGCTATATATGAATATTTAGCAGAGACAAGACCGACAAGAGAGTGAAGAAAGAGAGGGATGAAATGTGTTTGAATTTCTTTTCGTTGAGCTGAAGTATTTTAAAAATACTATTTTCGTCCACCATTTGTTTGTTTTAATTTTCTGATCATATTTTCTTCTTCAAAGTGTCAAGAAAAAGGTCCGATTTGGGCGGCGGTGAACGTTTTGCAGGCTCCTGTCCCCATTTAAATATCGCAACATATCACATTATTATTGTGTTCTTTTACTATTATACTGGCTTCGCTAGCAATAAAACGCTTTATTTTATCACTCCTTCTAAACAATATTTCTAAAATGATTAATTTAATATTTAATGTGTATTTTACAAATATTTTAATAAATGATATACCGAGAAAACAAAAATGTTCGATTTGTCCTAATGTTTTTAAACACTTTGCTTCAAATAGAATCCGAATTCTGCAGCTTCATATGAAATATAGTGTTGGTCCTAAAAGAGGAAATAAAAACTTCAACAATTTTGAGAACTCGCTTAATTTTAATAATTCTAAAAAAATCGATCCTCAAGAGAAAAGATATATAAAATATGACGTTTTAAGGTGAAAACACAGCAAAAAGGACGATTTTTTTAATTTGTTGGTCGCAATTTTTACAGAATACAAAAGTTTTCTGTCGAACTAGGAAACAATGCGTTTATATACTCACTGTTCGCAATGACCCGCCCCTCCTCTTTCTAATTGGAGATTGCCATATCGCTTATATTTCAATACATTACCTTTTTAAACACACTTTAGTGATCACGCACAACCCTCTCTCTCTCTCTCTTATCTGTGTGTACTATTTAATATTCTAAATTTTCGCGATGTCAATCCGGCACAAACTGTTAGTCTTAAACATATTACGAATAATAAAATTTTTTTTCTCAGAATCCTTCGAAGAAATGCAGAATTAAAGCTTCACAATGTGTAAGTAAAAAAAATGAAAACCAAATAAAAATATTATTTCCATTATTATACATTTATTCAAAATGAGTAAAGGTCTAGTTTTTGCCAATGGGAAGGGAGAGCAATGTTTGATAACTCACTGACGTCGGATCTACCACTCGAAAACATTCGAAACGCGCTCAGGTTTTATACTATCTTTTCCCTTGCTGCGGACATGTTCGGGGACACGTCGCTTTCTATGTGCAGTATGGGGAGTTTCGCAATATCTCACTAAAATATGTTTGTTTTTTTCTGTTCGAAATGACGCAGAGAAATGATAGCATTGAAAAAAGCAGACACTTATTGAAAGTATTTTACTGCAAAAATTTTTTTCAAGTAAGGAACTTGCAGAAAAGACGAAAAACATGAGACATGATTTAAAAAAAAATACAGTTTCATGGGTATAATCAAAATGGACAAAATATATTCTCGATAGACGGAGAAGTAGTATAAATGTAAAAAAATTTCAGTTGAAGACTGGAGATATCAATTAATATCTAAATGTCGCGTTTGGCATCTTGCTCATCGGAATCCGTATCAGAATTCTCTTCTGGTCTCTCATTTCCCCACGGCAATCTACGGCGAGATGGATTCTCCTGTAACAAGCGGAAATTTAGATAGAACGAAGAGCAAAATGGTTAACCTCGGAAATATCCCTGTCCGCGGCACTAGCGGCTTCAAGTTCAGCTCCGAAAAAATTGGGAGCTTCTCCCTCGGATGATTCCAGTTTAATGGAGGCCCAAGACGGCGTTGGATGAGTGGCAATGTTCTGAAAATATCCTTCATATTTTTATCACTATGTTAACAACTCGCCTCAAGCATGACGTTGCCATCGTTCGCGAGTGAACCTTTTTGGGAGCTACAGACTTGTGGCTGGTACGGATTGTACTTGGATTTGTTGTTGTTGTTCCATTCTTCTCGCTGAAATATACGATTACAGATAAATCTAAAAATACTTGTATTTCGTTTACAATTTTAGCCCAGCGTCTTTCGCGCCATGCTTTAAGCTCATTTTCGTGTTCTCTACGCTTTTTTGGGGTGACAAATTTGACTTCATCGGTGTACCAAGTCTGAATAGTAAAAAAATAGTGTTTTCATTGGATGTTCGTTGTACATCTGAATAATAAAAAATTTTCGACGGCGAAATTGGGCGACGATCATCGGGATCATAGTCGATTTCGTCGTCGCTATTTCCAGGGGTGTCGGACGAATTAATTGCGTTCTAAACAAATTCGAGGTGTTAGTTAACGTTTTTGCAAATATCAGATACCTGGTTTCCTGGATTCAGGTCATCGGCCAGAATTTCTCTTAACTCATTCAATTGGTCAAATTCATGTAATTGATTGATTCCGTCGAACTCGTTGAGCTCAACTTCATCGCTCTCTCGGATTTCCTTATTCAGAGATTGGTGGTTGTCACTGTCATTTGCCATTCTGTAATCATACTATTGATAGAAAAAAATCACAAAAAAATCGGAGAAATTATAATGTTAAATTGTAAAAACGCAAGAAAGCCAACGATATACAGGAAAAAACATCGACATTAAAACTGTGTGAGACAATTGCCCACTTCGTTCGCAGTGCATCGCCTCTCCTCGGCCCGCCCATTTATCGCCAACTAACATTTGTCACATCAGCAAGAAAAATAAATGGCGGCATGACTCAAGGAAATAAATAATGATTAGGAAATGAGCATTTTATTTGCAAGAAAACCATACCAAACAGTTTAAATAAAAAATTATTTGCTTTTCCTTATTTATTAATAAAAATATTGCAATTTTTACATTTCCATGTTGCTATGAATTTCCGAATAAAGAGATAACACGATCACATAAAGAAATGACATAAAATTAATAAAATTGCACTTATATATTGTAAAAAATAATGTGTCGTTCTAAGCATGCGTGAAAAATCATTGAATCATTCGTGAGCGTTCATGTGTGACGGGGGGAACCGTCATCTCGCGATCTCAATAACATTAAAAATAAAGACATTCAGTTGCGAAATGAGGAGGCAAACAAATAATTGGTTTTTGTCTTTTTTATATGTGAAATTCAAAATGTGCGGAATAATACTGCACTCTCATATGAATACTTCACTGATAATTATGCACCTAAATCGCATTTATGAGAGCAAGTACAATATTTAAAAAAATGTGAATTCATTAAAACCTAGTTCAAATTATTAGAATTTAAGAAAATGCTCAAAGTACAAACGGTTTTTTCGCATATTTTTACGATGTCTCAATATGTATTAATTGATCATGCAATAAATAAACTTTCGGCCTCTATATATTAGAAGAAACAGTTTTCATCGATCGAAATCATAGCAAAACTGTTTTTTTAATTAATTAATTGAAAATTCATAGCAACATGGAAATGTAAAAATTGCAATATTTTTATTAATAAATAAGGAAAAGCAAATAATTTTTTATTTAAACTGTTTGGTATGGTTTTCTTGCAAATAAAATGCTCATTTCCTAATCATTATTTATTTCCTTGAGTCATGCCGCCAGTTATTTTTCTTGCTGATGTGACAAATGTTAGTTGGCGATAAATGGGCGGGCCGAGGAGAGGCGATGCACTGCGAACGAAGTGGGCAATTGTCTCACACAGTTTTAATGTCGATGTTTTTTCCTGTATATCGTTGGCTTTCTTGCGTTTTTACAATTTAACATTATAATTTCTCCGATTTTTTTGTGATTTTTTTCTATCAATAGTATGATTACAGAATGGCAAATGACAGTGACAACCACCAATCTCTGAATAAGGAAATCCGAGAGAGCGATGAAGTTGAGCTCAACGAGTTCGACGGAATCAATCAATTACATGAATTTGACCAATTGAATGAGTTAAGAGAAATTCTGGCCGATGACCTGAATCCAGGAAACCAGGTATCTGATATTTGCAAAAACGTTAACTAACACCTCGAATTTGTTTAGAACGCAATTAATTCGTCCGACACCCCTGGAAATAGCGACGACGAAATCGACTATGATCCCGATGATCGTCGCCCAATTTCGCCGTCGAAAATTTTTTATTATTCAGATGTACAACGAACATCCAATGAAAACACTATTTTTTTACTATTCAGACTTGGTACACCGATGAAGTCAAATTTGTCACCCCAAAAAAGCGTAGAGAACACGAAAATGAGCTTAAAGCATGGCGCGAAAGACGCTGGGCTAAAATTGTAAACGAAATACAAGTATTTTTAGATTTATCTGTAATCGTATATTTCAGCGAGAAGAATGGAACAACAACAACAAATCCAAGTACAATCCGTACCAGCCACAAGTCTGTAGCTCCCAAAAAGGTTCACTCGCGAACGATGGCAACGTCATGCTTGAGGCGAGTTGTTAACATAGTGATAAAAATATGAAGGATATTTTCAGAACATTGCCACTCATCCAACGCCGTCTTGGGCCTCCATTAAACTGGAATCATCCGAGGGAGAAGCTCCCAATTTTTTCGGAGCTGAACTTGAAGCCGCTAGTGCCGCGGACAGGGATATTTCCGAGGTTAACCATTTTGCTCTTCGTTCTATCTAAATTTCCGCTTGTTACAGGAGAATCCATCTCGCCGTAGATTGCCGTGGGCAAATGAGAGACCAGAAGAGAATTCTGATACGGATTCCGATGAGCAAGATGCCAAACGCGACATTTAGATATTAATTGATATCTCCAGTCTTCAACTGAAATTTTTTTACATTTATACTACTTCTCCGAGTTTCTGGAATATACTTTGTCAATATTCATGTTTTAGCAAATTCTTTTCTTGAACTGAACCGTTGAAACTTGTTTTTTATTAGAGTTTGTACTTTGTTGAAACTTGTACTTTGGGTTTTATGTGATAAAATTTCCTTTTACTTTTGCTCCAGTAATCACGTTTGACAAAATGGATGCAGAGGCTGTGGGGTCCACGATCTTATATGTCTCAGGACCAAAATAATTGCTCAAATTTACTAAAACCCCATTATAGTATTTATGGGAGTTCGAAATAAACCAATGCCTTCTTATTGAAATCGAACTATCGGAATTGATCCAAAGGAGAGCATTCAGCATTCCGCCTAATATTCGTAAATGCGTCTCTTCGTCGATCGATTTTTTTGATTTTCGTCGCGCATTATGACGAGAAATGCGGCGGCTATCCGTTTTCGCGGAGAAACTTGGGCAGCACATTGGGGGCTACTACGCAGCGACGCAAAAAAAACACAGCAAGCAAGCCTTGTAAAATGCGGTAGCATATGGTAGGCAGAATGCCTAGGCAGCTTGCTTCTCTCAATTCCCTCTGTTCTCTAGCTTTCGCTGCACAACTTTTCGGCAACGCCTTTTCCGTATTGCCAGCGATATGATGCCACAATAAGACGAGCGCTTTTCGAATATACGCCGGACTGGCAATTTTATTAATTTTCATTCTTTTTTTCACATGGTCCAACTTCTTCTTATAATCTTCATTAATGACCGACGCAGAGAAAAAATTAAGGAAATTTCAATGAAGGAAAAAAGAAAAATATTTTTTTTTCTTCAAATTTTTTATACGCAACCCCACTCCTCTATTTTTTTCTTATAACTTTTAAATCATCTATATTTTAACTATTTTTATTTGCCCCTGTATACCGTTTATTAGTGCGAAAAAATTCGTTTTAGAAAGATGGACTCAAAGCAAAGACTTCTACAACGCTCGCGTTCTCCTTCGAGAAGAACAAATACGCCGCATTCTGGATGGGGTAGGAACTCTCCTCTTCCCAAAACGGGAAAACCTTCCCCTCCTTATCAACGGCAAACAAGTTCGCCTCGTCGCCCAAAGGGAAGAACTCCACCTCCTTACCGACGGGAAGTGAATTCCCCTCATTTCGACAGGGGAAATTCTTCCCCTCCCCACAGGCATCAAAGGAGCTCTCCAATTCGCGCAAGAGGATTAGTTTCCCCTAACCACCACCGACGTCAAAGAGACTCGCCTATTCGCGAAAGAAGATCCCCTTCTCATCGGCAGCAAATCAGCTCTCCTCATCGAAATAGGGATAAGAAGCGCTCTCCGCTTCAACGCCAAACAAATTCTCCTCGTCCGATTAGGGGAAATCATTCTCCTCCCCACAGGCATCAAAGGAGCTCTCCTCAGCGCACAAGGGGAATTAAATCCTCTCCCCATGGAAAGCAAAGGAACTTACCGATTGGTGAAAGACGATCCTCACCCTATCGTCGTGAAAGGAACTCCCCTACTCGCCCAAGAGGAAAGTTTTCGCCTTCCCATAGACGACCAAGAAACTCCCCAATTCGCGAAAGAGGAGCAATTCGTCCAATTAATGTGAAACCCGTTTGCCTTCACGAGTCTCTCAATCAAACAAATACAGTAAGTCTTTTTTGGATATCTTTATACATTGCCGGTTTCAAACGACTGATCGAAATCCTAAAAATAATAATTGGCTATGTGTCATAGTGTCTTGACGCAATGATACGTGTTAGTGTTTGCGTCCTTTGCATTCAACCGTACGAGCATTTATTTTTACGCAGTGTCAAATTTTTGAATGTTTAGGATAATGTGAAAAAAGATTTTAAAAAATAAACGTTCGACCAAGACCAAAAATTAAAAATACTAATTTTATTACATTTCAGAAGATGCAGTTGAAATGGTTTTCGAAAGAATCGCAGAAAGATCGTGTGGTTAAAACTGAGGTCGACGAAATGCCGTCAAATTACAATAACATCAAAAAGGAGGTAAATTGGCATATTTAAATTTTAACAAAACAATTCCAAAAGAATTTATTTGCATCCAGCGTAAATATAAGTTTCAGGCCAACGCAGTTACCGATGGATTCACAAATGCCCAGGAAGTTGTTCACATTGAAAAGCAAATAAAAATGGAGGTATGGAGTATTAAGCATTTGTTTATTCGAATTATATGTAAATCAGCAAAAATTGTCCTTTTTATTGCAGGTTTCGGATCAGCAGAATGTCCTCAACCCGATTGAAGGAGCTTCCACTGCAGCTTGTTTTACGTCTTCCGTGCCTTCCGGTTCAGAGGTAGAAGCGACTATTATTTTTACATCAATAGAGCAATGTATATTTTGAATGCACAATATATGCATGATATATGTAGTTTTCGGTACAATTTTCTAATTATCTAAAAATATTCTTCTTACACCTCGTTGTATTCAAATTGATATCGCTAAAATCAAGTACAATGGATTTGTATTTACAGAAATAAAAATTTCAGAAAGTAGCGGAACCGATGTTCAGTATTTCTCGCATCTTATCAATTGAAACAAACAAGAGCAACAATGCGCAACCATCATCGGTAAGCTATTTTTAATCGTTTTACTGTCGAAATCATGTTACTGAAAAGGCCTTTCATATAAACTTGAATTCAATTTTCAGCTAAATGTTCACGAGGACGTCGTTCGCTTTTGGCAAGCGACCTTGACTTACACTAAACCACAAGACAGAGATCATACGGAAGACGAGCTACTTGAAGTTCTCAAAAGCTTCACTAAGTTCCTAAAACCCAACTGAACCCAATTGTGCATGTAGCTTCTGTTGTTCAAGCTGGTAGCAAAAATAATGTTTTCTCCTTAATCCACATATTTTTTTCAGTAATTCGAAAATTAATAAATTTTGAATTTTATTGCTTTATATTTAATAAATGATTAAAATCGATAATTAGAAATTTTCGTGTCACATTCAGAGAGAGAGAGAGAGAGAGAGGGAAACTACAGGCAATTTTATCCGTGCCGATTGTGGCCAGGTAGAGTTTCAGTAAAGAGTAAGTAAAAGCTGCTGCACAAAAAAAATTGTCTTTTCATGTAATTACCCAACATTACCATAAGCAATACAAGAAGTTGAAATTTGGGAGCAGCATTAGGAAAGACTGGAACGTCTCTGTATACTTATTGTGTCCTGTCAAAACATTCAGAAGCCGTCCCATTATTGAAACAATTGGAGAGTCTTGAGTAGTACTAATAATTATCTACATAATAGAACTTATTAATATATTAACCGTTTTCTTTTTTTACCATATGACTTATGCATATGATAACAAAAGTTTTATTCTAATTATTCAAAAAAAAAACAATGTTTAAAAATGCTTGGGTTTTTTGTAATGTTCCGAGAAGTTCCAGAATTGTCATTTTGTGATTAATTACGTTGTATCGAACGTTGAGATCGGTTAGGGATTTGTGCAACAATGTTCCTCTTTTTTTCTAAAAATTGTTTGCGCTTTGATTGTTTGATAATTGGACTGAGAACAACTGAGAATTTCGTGACTCTGGATCTAAACAGCCTCTAAATTGAATGATTGAATAGTAAGTGGAAACATTATTTATCAAATGCGATCATTTATAAATAACTAACGATCACATTCTATTATTTGAGGCTCGTCCTTGCCGTTATCAGACCGCTATCGATTTCATTGGTTAGAGATCAGATTTGTACGTGTTGTTTTTTTTTTCACCCATTACGCTAGATAAAGTAAATCGCGGAATATTTACTATTACATTTGAGCACTTATAAGGTTGTTTTTACATATAATTCATTGGAGAGGTTTGCAAGTAGTACCTGCTTGCAATTGATTATCGCCAACCGATATTCAATATATACATATCTAGTGATTTTTCAAAACTATAATACATTTTCTTTTGAGCTCCGTTAAATGATTTATTTTCTACGAATTATTCTATTTTTTAAATTATTTTGACACTGAAATTGGGCAAGCACGCTCCACTGCACAATGATGCTGCGAGACCCAAGCGTCGCTCATGTCGATTTACGGAGTTGATTCAAATTTTTCCTTTCAAATTCTTTATTTATTCAATTTTTGTTCTGGAAGCTATCTAAAATTTGTTGAAAATGCTCATATTTAAAGCAGACGATGTTGGCAGTTTTGTCATCATCAAAACAAATGCAAAAATAATTTAATCGATAAAAAATTAATTTTCTCTTGTTGTAGGATGAATGTTATTTCGACGTTTGCCCAGTATGTTTCAAGCTTGGAAAAAGGAAATCGACACACAGTTTGCTTCATTCGGATCTGAGGGCACCTGCTCTGCAAACTAGAAACAACACTGGTAATCAAAACTTGTTTTTAATAATCGCCATGTAAATCATCTTATAGAATATCAATCCCACACCAAAAAAGGTCATTCCGGAAACGCTTCTAAAGCTCATTAATCTGAAATTTTGATGCCGCCACGTCATCGAATAATAAAAGTAATGCAAGTTTATTTAATAGTGAGTAATTTAATGCACATTGTAGGGCGATTGGATTAGTTAGGGATTCACAGCTAGACTATGTAAAAACTTGGACAAACTGCTCAACTACGTATCATGAAGGACTACGAGTTTCACATAAATCGAAAAAAGCGCCTGTTTTTTGGAAATTTCTTCTCTCTACAATTCATTCATCAGCAGAATTTTGCATAAATCGTGATAGAAGAGTATAATTAATATAGTCACTATCAAAATTTGTCAACTTTATTTATAAATTACGCTCTGCAGCATCTTTTCATAGTTTTTTTTTTCAAATTTAATTTAAATGAATTCTGCAAACATTTATGAATTTAAATATTGCAAAATCAGGTAATCGTAATTGCCGAGCTAATCAAGTGAATGCGCAAGTTAAATAAAACATCTATCTCCGACCATCAACTGATCGGATTTTTTTGTTTAGTTAAATTTTCAACCTGCGGAAAAATATTAGAAAATGAATTTTCTGACCGATTTTTTTTCCGAATAATAGAAATTTCTACATAACACCAATTGATAGGAAATTTTTCAAACATTATATGAGCAAATTCTTAAAAAATCGCCAATTGCCACCTGACTGAAATAGCCAATTCAAGATTTTAAACTCGATCAACTAAGCTTTATCGCAATAATTGATTTAAACAAATTTGCACAACCATAGAAAATGAATAAGTTTATTTCAAAACTCGCACATCAATTTGATCCGAGAAGACGCGGCTCCGGTGGCGGAATTGGGCCTGGCATCGGCGATTGCTCAGTAGCGGGATCCCATGAACACTGCAGCATAATCAAGATAATAAAACGATTGAAAAACACCGCTTCTCGTCAACTTATGTACCATTTTTGCCGCCTATAATCAAATTATCGCGTTAAATTAAAAAAATGTGCGACGTTTTGGTTTCGTTTGCGAAAACTGAATGGCAAAAAAAAGAACGACGTCATGAGAAACCAATACGTTATAAGAAAAAGAAATTTTCCGGTGTCTAGTGAAAATAATAATAATATCTAATGAGACTTAAACGAAATATTCGTGAAGTATATAATAACTTGTACTAAAATTTGTCCTAGTAGAATGATGATCTATATTTTTATTTTTTCAATCGTGGAAGTTTGACAGAAAAAATCTAAAAAACCAAGTTTATGAGTTTTCATCAAATATTCGCAAAAAAAAAACAATGAAAAACTCGGTAAACCACTATCGAAAATCTTTAAAACGCCAATGCGGGTTTTGCAAAAAAAATTTTTTACAAGTTTTTGCGAATTTGTTTTCCCAACATTTCCACAGCACCATTAGGAGTTTCAAGGCCTGCTAAGAGTTATTATATAGCAGTTTGTGATGTCAAAATTATAGTCGACTCTTCTCAGTGATGTTTGTTCGAATTTCTATTGCATATATTTACAATATGATAAATCCGTTGCATGTTCAGAACCAGTTGAATATAGGCCAATTTCATTCAATATAGAAACAAACGGTAGAAAGGTGTCCATGTTATCAACATGTTGAGAGTGTTGGTGGGGGGGGGGGAGAAATAAAAACGAGAGTTTGACACGGTTTGGAGAAAAACCAAATAATTTGCAATTCAATTGGGTTGAACAATATGCTATTTTTCGGCAATGTTTCAATTTGCGGGTAATTTTCAATGACTATCTTGGCCACTAATTTGATAAAAACAGTGTAAAATGATGATGATAGTCCGTCCCAAATTTTCACATTTCTCGCTTGTTTTTCACTTCATAATCTTCTTAAATTGATTACCTTTCAGTGCGATGTTGCCGGGTCTTTTTGTATTTTTTCTCATTTGTTGTGCAACCGCTGACAAACTCGAAGCCGAAAATGAGGGATATGAGGTTGGTTTGTTACATATCGATTTCAATAAAATGTTTCCCAAATCAAAATTTCCAATTTTTTTTTGGCAGTATGAAAGATAGAGAATTTGTATAACATTGAAAACATCGATGATATCACGATCGCAGAAGCGAGTGATTGAAATTGACACGATAATTAAATGATCTTAAACGTCATCGATGTTCGCCTCGCGATAAATTTGGATATCGGACGCGCATTTATCACTAATTATCTGCAAACATCAAATTCATTTGTTGTTATTAAAACCAAGAAACAATCCTTCATTGCTTTTCGTTAATGCGAAATGAATACGATATTGATGAGGTGATGTTTCTTCAGTTTTTCTTATAATATTCATCAAAACTTTTGAATTTTGCAGCTTTTCACCTGGAAATGGGACGAAGTGAATCAAATATACGTTATTACAGTATGGCTCTTGGTCGCTTCATTTGCAAAAATTTGTAAGCTCATGTTCATCGTATTTTACTGACAAAAAATTACTCCAGTATTCAAATTGATGAAGCCAATCTCAAATTACTTGCCGGATTCATCACTTTTGATTATTGTGGGTCTCGCGGTCGGTTACATTCTTAAGGAGACAACACTCGGCGGTGCTTCATTGGACTCGCATGTTTTCTTTTTGTATTTACTACCGCCTATTATATTCGATGCGGGTAAAAAAATGAATTTCTCAATATTGAAATTTCTAGCACAATTCTTAAGGTTACTTTATGCCAAATCGCGCACTGTTTGAAAATTTTGACTCTGTGATCATTTTTTCCGTGTTGGGCACTGTTTGGAATACTTTCGCAATTGGTGGATCTCTTTTGATAATGTCGCAATATAACTTGTTCACATTATCATTCAGCACTTTTGAAATTTTCGTTTTTTCAGCCTTGATTTCAGCAGTTGATCCGGTATGCCAAATTTCTGATGGTGTTTCCCGCCATAACTAGTATAATTTCAGGTCGCCGTTATCGCAGTTTTCGAGGAAATCCATGTCAACGAATTTCTTTTTATCAACGTATTTGGCGAAGCTTTGTTTAATGATGGTGTCACTGTCGTTTTGTATCAAACATTCAAAAGCTTTGCCATCATCGGCTCTGAAAATCTCTCAGCTCTCGATTATATCACCGGAGGCTTCTCGTTCTTCGTTGTAGTTCTCGGTGGAGCCTCAATTGGAATAATATTTGCTTTGGCAACAAGTCTAGCAACAAAATACACAAACGAAGTGAGAATCCTGGCACCAGTGTTCATCTTCATTCTTCCGTATATGGCATACCTTACCGCAGAAATGGTCTCACTTTCATCCATTATAGCGTAAGAAATTCGTTTTTTTTCTGATACACTTTGATTACTTTTAGAATTGCAACATGCGGAATGATAATGAAACAATACGTTAAAGGAAATATTACGCAATCCGCTGCAAGCTCTGTCAAATACTTTACAAAAATGCTGGCGCAATCATCAGAAACTGTCATTTTCATGTAACTACTAATTGATTTAAGTTTTATTTTCAATATTCAGGTTTCTCGGCTTGTCAACCATCTCTTCCAGCCATCATTTCGATTGGATGTTCATTGGTGCTACCATTGTTTTCTGTTTGGTCTACCGTGCCATTGGAGTTGTCATTCAATGCTACTTTTTGAATCGATTCCGTGGAAAGAAATTCGCATTAGTCGACCAGTTCATCCTCTCATATGGTGGTCTTCGTGGAGCCATCGCCTACGGTTTGGTTGTCTCGATCCCAACGTCAATTGCTGCAAAACCAATGTTTGTAACAACAACAATTGCAGTTATTTATTTTACCGTATTCCTACAGGTAATTTGATAATTAATTACATAATTAATTGATCGAATTGAGGGAATAACGATCCGCCCGCTCGTTCATTTGTTGAACGTGAAGAGAAAGGAATATCGAGAACCGTCAATGGCAGAAAGTGTATATATGAAATATTTAGACTATATGATGTCAGGAATCGAAGATATTGCTGGTCAAAAAGGCCACTACACTTTTATTGAAAAGTGGGTTGAATATTTGGCAGATAATTTACCATTTTTTGTTCTATGATAGCTTCGAAAGATTTAATGCGAAAGTGATAAAACCAGTTTTGATGAGACACCAAAAAAGGCAAAGTTTCGACGCTTCTTCAATTATTCGAGCTTATGAGAAAATCACATTGGAGGATGCGCTAAAGCTTGCAAATGCCAAAACGAGTATCCAAAATAAGCGACTCGAAAGAATCAAGAGCGACAATCGAGTAACGCCAGTGTCGAGGACCAAAATATCTGCGAAGGACGTTCAAATTCAGAATTATTTATCGACCGATGAAAACGTCGACTCGCTGTACAATCTCTTCAGCGATCTTCTCGATCGCAAATTGGCTGAATTGAACAAAACTAGACAAGTTCTCAACGAATCACATGATGATATTCAGGATGATTATATGCAAGAAGTGGTGAGTTTCTGAGTAACATTTTTTTAGACTGATATGCCGCAAACAATGATCGTTTAGGGTTCTCGCTCGAATTTGTCAGGAATGAGACGAAGTAATGAAACTCTACCATCATCTCAAGCGTTTCAAAGTGGAAGACGACAAAGTACTGGAGATTTGACAACAAAGAAAATTGATTTTAATGTTTGAATAAATTTAGCTTGTCATTACTACTTCTGCCCTAAGCCACCTTTATGAATTGACATTGATATCCGTTTTCTTTTTCTTTTTTGTTACTTCAATGTTTTAACTGTTGCTTTTCAATTCCATCGTACATCTTCATTATATCATAATCAGTTCTTTACACTTTTAATTCAACTTTAGAAGTATCATTTCTCTCAAAAAAGACGCCATCAAGAGAAATAACCCTTTTTGAAAATTTGCTTAGGCCAGGATGAGAAGTGTACTAAAATGTGATACGCTAACTCAACAAATTGTTTTGTCAACAGACATGTGGAACAATTTCCATAATCGGATTTTTAAAAATGTTTAGAATTTATATTGCAGACACTCGATTTTTGAATAAAGTTTTTAAAGAGTCCGAAAGCGTGCACAATTATTTCATTGAGTTTAGACATGTCCGATGCCGTAATAAGTCTGGAAGATATTACCCTAATAATTTTCAGTTATTACAAAATTTGAAAAAAATTGGTTCAAAGGTAAATGTTAAGGTTGAGAATCCAAAAAAAAGAAATTTGTTGAGCAAACTTATTTTTGACAAAAATCAAAGAATTAATGATGTTGAAAAACTAATCATTTCAAAGTCGAAATTTACGATAAACCTTTTATGATTGCTAAGTAAAGCTTAAGCGAGGACCAAAACAATTTTTGACAGCGGACGTACATTCACGATGGGAATACGAGCAGCGCACTGATAAACCATTTTAGTGGCAGGGTAGGGTGCTACCGTCTGAAAATGAGGTTAAAGGATTATTAATAATTGTCAAGACCAATGCCTTTTAAGGTCCAAAGCGCGATGTGCGCTTTTAACGTATAGAATTAACTAGGTCCCTAAATCTATTTTTAGTATTGCTCCAAATTCACTACCAAACCACTGTCATCAAGGAATGAAACAAAATTATGCTTCTCTAAATGCCTTCAAAATCGAAAGTATACGTTGAGGACAATGAAGGTGCTTCATATTTCTATTTCTATGTTTGTTGACTAAACTATATTTAAAATGTTGATGGATTGTAAAAATATCCTTAGATAATCTAGGAAAAGTGCAACTTTCAAGGTTCAAAACGCGAATCTTTTCAGCTTAAGTGCACATCTTCTCGCTATCAGGTTGCCGCTTACACCTACTTAAGCTCGCATTCTCTAAAGATTTTCATTAATGAGAAAATGAGTGCGGCCAACAATGGTAATATTTTCTCAGAAATTTCAAACATTCTAAAAACGTTTACAGGTAGTATTTGGAACTTTGACGATCTATATTTTTTTCTCACTTTATCAGCAATTCATTTCGTTTCGCTGATCTACAATATTTTTTTATTTTTAATCGTATTTTACGTGAAGGATAAATGTAAGTGATATTTTTTCAAAATAATTGGATTCAATAAATATTTTAGCCCTTATTCCAACTGTGTACATTTATAATATGGTTGTATGCAACATTTTAAACATTTCAATGTCATTTGTTGGGTTGTATCTGCCGATTATTTGAACAGACGAATTTTATGAAAGTTAGTTAAGATAGCTTACTTTCGACATTATAAGATTTGGTTTTCAGAGTTCCTATTATCAGAAAATCGATATTTCACAGTTGTTTGTTCATTAGCTTATCGTCACGAGCTCGTGCTCACAATACTAATGATGGCAAATCGTGTTCACAATTTCATATTTCCAACATCCGAAACATTTTCGGATTTCAACTTATCGATTTATTCGGGATTATTGGCGGTTCAAGATCACAAGCATACAAATAATAAACATGGTTTTTGAGGTGGCCGGTTTAATTATCCAATTAATTCCATTCTTCTCGGATTGTTTTTTGATAATGGATCAGAGGAACTTGCGGTTCAGAAGTGTCTGTCCAGAGTTGCATCCGGTATGTTGAATATTTTTTTCAGTTCGCTCGAGCTTTTAACGATAAAAATAAATTGTCCATAAAGCGTTTTGACAAAAGATAAAACCGAATGTTTTAGGTATCAAAATACTTCTTTCTATTTACGTCATTTCTTCCATGTGCATTTTTTGTGGTTAATTTCATTCTTCTGTGTTTCATTTGGAAGCGATTTTGCATTTTGGATGCTTTTTGCTGTAAGTTGTTATATGTAAAAAAAACAAGAACTTCGTTCTTCAATTATTATTGAGATTGTGGCTCGTCTTCAAGTTTTATTAGAAAACATGCGAAAGAACGCGAAAGAACAGCAATTTATCATCTTATGCTGACGTCATTTTTTTTTGGGAGCATATGATCTCTCTGGAAAAATTTTATCGTTTTTCAAGGTTTGTAATTTCTTATTTCACAATCAAAAGTATTTTATGTTGCAGATAGACTACACATGGATGTATTACATTTTTTATGCGAAAGTCATAATTGCAAGTCTTATTAATTTCTGGATTTATTTCCTTGGAACCCAAAGCACCAGGAACCTAATGTTGGATACAATTAAACATTTTTATCTAAAATTGAAGAACAAGAATAAGCTTTCAAGCAATGGTCGTGTTAATAATATTGTGTTAACTTTTTAAGTTATAATTTTAATTTCTATATTTTCATTTTCAATGTATATTCTTCAAGTTAACCACGTATAAATCTATAACTGATTTAATCTCAATGAACATTTCTATTCGACGTAATTCTGTATAAAAGAAATAAATAATGTTTAATTCTGCGATTTGTATTGAAAAAATTGAAATCTGGAGAACAGTCAAAATCATAATTTTTCTTTTCGCTTTTCGATTCTGGAAATTCAAAAAGTTAAATAGGCGTAAGCAATTCTCCGATATTAGCTCACCATCGAATACCATTGTTTCGTTTTGCGATGATTCCTTGGTCCCTAATCGAATCATAAAAGTTTATGTGATGGGCATTTTTATTGATATTCTCGGCGCTTATGGTGACACCTCCGGAGACCGTCATTTGTGTTCAATTTCGTCCTACGATTTAGTGAGCTTTTTTCGACATGGAGCGAATGTGTCATGTCCTTCACTGTGTCAGATACCAGAGTCAGCCGGTAGGATAGATTTTTCTATTTTTATTTTTTGAGAATCTTTTTAGGTGCAATGGGTTTACCGCTGGTTGCACTTCAACCAACTGATGTGCTTTAAAACAAATCTCATCCCGCATTTCGCTACCGCCGAGCACCGCGAAATTAGCGATATGATCGATCGTGTTGCCGAAGAGCTCGACCAATTCTTTTTTGATCTCAGAGATATGTTCCATTTTGCCCAAGATGCTACTGAAGTAAGTACTTAGGTTTATGTTTGTGAATCAAAAAAACTCTGCGCCATATCCAAACGAATCATTGATTTCAGGAGCACATGAACCAACTAGATGATAGAACTATAATGATGGCTCACGCTATTGATCGCTTGGCATTTCTGGTCACCGGACAACATCCGATTGTTCACAATTGCGCTGACCATGATGCAATTCTTCATAATTAAGACAGCCGGAAGAATATATATTTATTTCCAACTTCACGTTTAATTTTTACTTAATGTGAACTCATTTGAAATAAATTGTCGTCATACTATCATACCATCAGACAAACAGAAGTTTATATCATCTTGTTATATAATATCGCTTGACCAACTTATTCAATTTTATCCTTGTATAGTCAGCATCCGGTGACTGCTGTATGCGGGTAGATTTACGGAAATGCGTCTTTCGAAATGGTCTCTCATAAAAAAATGTATTGTCACCCAAAACTGTATCGTCATGATGACCTTTATCGTATTTCTATGCTAAAAAGAGGCATTGCACATCGTAACAATGTAGCCAACAATTTTTGAAAACCACCGTAGCCCTCATAACTATGTGGGTGTGACCATTTTACCTATACGTGTCATCTGCGTATCGATAAAGTCAATGCTTGAAATTATGCAAGCACCCATGTTTGTCGCGTGATTAACCATGTGAAAATTGTTTTGTATAGGCAAACCGATGAATTCGCGTTAGTGTGCTTGAAAGAATTTCAAATCTGTTAATAAAAATAATAAAAATCTGCTTTAAATTCTCTCAATTGTTCTTATTTGATTAACCAGTTGAATTAATATAAAATTTCAAGATTCAAAAAGTTGTGAGGGAGGAAAAAGCAATATTGAATATTCAATTATAAAAGATTGGGGCTGAATTAGAAAAACGTCTTCTCTCAATAAAAATCAAATTATGAGCAATATAATTTTAGGTTTGGCTTTAAGAGATTCGTAGTTTTACATTTATTATTCGAAAACTGATCAGTCTTTATTTGTGACTTTTTGATGATAGTGTAACTTGCTTGTCAAGTGTGATGCTACTGTTGGATGACTGCAGACAAAACTGAATTTCTCGTCAGAAAAAATTTATTTTCTGCATTCATATACTACAATAAATTAAAATTTGAAGGAGATCTTGTAAGAATTTGCTTTGAATAAAACTGTAAAAGCGTACAAAGTTCAGAAAAAAATAGGAGGATAATTATAAGACAGCTACATGAAACGAAAAGCTTGGTCTGATGAGCTAGTGTGAACAGAACGATATGACAAGAATATACAAGAGTGAATCAAGGTTTTCATTAAATGAAAACCGTTGGTCTGTAAAGGGAAAACAAATGCATGAAACAGCAAAAGCAACCGTAATAAAGTTGAAATCATTGATGAACTGAGCAAAAAAATGAAAACCGGCATTTCAAAAAAAAAACGTAGAAAGACTGAATAGTGAAATTAAAAAAAGCTAGTCAATGAGTATCGATGTATCAATTTTCATTCAAAAAGAGGAAAGACTAGGATTGTCAATAGGATCGACTATTCAGTTATATGGACTTTGAAGCACTGCGAGTTTTGAAACCGGCCGTCGGTAGTTATGGCGTGACGTTGACTAGTGCGAAGCGAGGGTTGGAGCAATGCTCTGAGTCTAAAAAGTAGAGTTCAAATTTTGAACTTAGATATTTAAAAATTACCTCTGAGGTATTTGGGCCAGAATTGTCATCCGAATCTTCATCTCTATTCTCCGCACCAGTTACTTGACTGCTCAGAGAACCAACTCCTGCTGCACGATTTCTACGTCTCCGACGGTTGCGATTTTTACGTTTGTTGTTGGAACGCTTTGATAGTTGAACTGGGTGAACAAACGACGAAGGAACCATATCGTTTTTCCTTTCGTATGCCTAAATATGGATATTAAATTACTTATAAAATGTTATTTAAATTTGATATTATTCATCAGTTGTTTGTATATTCTAAAATCTTGTAAACCATACTTCGCGAGACGCGTTAAACCGATCAACCAGACGCTGAATTTCAACCTCTGGGAAGAGCCCACCGAGAATATGGTGGAATGTCTCGGGCTGGATGCTATACAGCTCATCGTTCAAGAAATCTGCGTCGTCTTCTGCAGTCTTGTGAGAACTGACAAAGAAACCCTGAAAAAATTCGATATTTCCAATATTTTGAACATCAAATGAATACTCTGTCACTTTCTGGCGGAGACACAACCAACAAAGACAACCTTGTTGCGGCATCACGAAGAAGATTGAAGCCCATGAGCATTGGGTCTTCCGGTTCCGACGATGAGGACGATTCGTTGGCCTAAATTAGAATATTTTCAGTTATTACATTCTTTCTTTATTACATTGACGGATGGGTCAACATTATCACTTGAATTCGGAGAGCTTATAACCGAATCTCTTCCTAAATTGTTGGCGTTGCGACGAGCTGATTTCCCTTTTGCTGGTGGCATCTGAAACAAAAATCAGTTCTAATAGCAACAGTGTACATAAAAGGTGCGAAAATGATGTTCGGCATGGAAGAAATCAATCCAGTTCGAATTGAAAACCTTGATTGCCACGAAAAGGAAGATAAAATGGCAACAATGACACATGCCCCAAAAATTGCGCCTTGGACAACAACAACAGGGCTACACTGATTGTCTGCCGTTCACATTGATGTGTGCAGACAACCAAACGCGCAACTGTTTTCCCGCCATTAGCAGTATTCGAAGCGATATCACATGTATTTTGGTTTTTTGTTTTTCAATGGTCCGCTTCTAATCGTACAAGCGAGCATACTTGCAATGCGTTTGATTTGGGCGGAGCCTATCTGGGCAGGATGAGAATTTTACTGGCCCCGTCCAAGGTCATCAAAAGCGGACACATTCTCGGTAGCACTTTAAGCTTTTCTTGTGAAATTTTCCAGAAAACGATTGATTTTGAAAATATTGCAATAAAGGTTTTCAATATATGTATATGGTCTTGATCGAAAATTCGGCGGAAGGGGGGGGGGGCAAATTTTCTCTTATGTTCCAATTTTTTGATCTATTTATAAAAATGATAGCATATTTTTTTATGCAGTGGATTTGTTTCATTTAGTAACGTTGAACATCTCTGATTTTTTCCCAATACGCGATTTTCAATTTATATTCAAATGCATTTAAAATCACAACATGAAATGTTTTTACTTTTTTCAGTATTTTTATTCTTCGTTTTTTTGCCATTGACTCTTCTTACCCGGGATTCAAACGTTTCGTATTGGCCAACACCGGAAAAGTACGAATATGAGAGAAAAACGGTTAACTATTAATGAAAGCAATATACAAGTAATGTCTATAGTACATGATTTGAAGTGTTTTATTTTCTAAGTTTATGAGTTGCATAGAAATCTCTGTGTGGCATGAAACGGGTAAAGACGAAATGAAATTTACATTTGAAAAATTTAAAAATCGGCTACCCCAATAATTTTATTTTTGTCCATTTTCCTGAAAATTATTTTAAGAAATTGTCCTGTTTTCAATTTTATTGCCATGAGATTATAAAGTGTTAAAAATATTTATTTCAAATTTTCAATGGTGTTTACCGCAACATTCTGAATGATTAATGAGAATTTGGCTATTGGTTTATATTTTATGTCTGAAAGGATTTCTTTGTGCAAACGATGATGATGACTTCGAATATATCTTCGATTGAAATAAATCAAAATTAATTTCTTTGAACATTTATTTTTCATATAGAATTTCCCTCATTCAATAGTTTAAATAGTTTTTACAGAACGTTTTTCTTCGACTGAACTAGAATAGAATAACCTTTCATTACTTACTATATATAACTTGCCTTATTAACAAATTTCATCAATTAAACTTAATTTATGGTTTTGGTTTTATTCTCTACGAGAATTTATTTTATTATCACCGATACGCCGAACTAGTTTGAATTGAACGATCATATATGGTAATTAATAAATTTGTTTGTTACAATGAAAGCTGTACAGCGCCCCGTGTTAGCGTAAAAATACAACAAAAGTAATATGCAACAAGATATTATTAGGGTTCAGCGGCTTCATCATATATCTTATGTTTTTCGGCGATGAGAAATATCAAACCATCTTGCCTAGGATAGTAGAAGCTCATCCATCCTGGATAGTTGAACCTGAATAAAAAATAATTACAAACTTGCTTTTTTTCGTAGTTAGTCTTTAAGAATTAAATACTAACTGCGGTTTTGAACTCTCCTTTTTCTAGCATAGACTTGAGATGCGTTATGTATTTTCCAATTTTTTTTTGTCAACTATTAAGCACTCAGTGCTTAACGATCGATTTTGATTACGCGAACCCGTTTGTCTTCCCTCTGAACCATATATATACAGTGCTCCACATAATTATATACCCACCCTAATTTTGTCGAATAACTCGAAAACGCGAATACCTCCAGAAATGGTTTCAATTAGAAAAGTATGCGCATTTATTATTAGTTTCATGTTATATTCACAAAATTTAACAAAAAATAACAATTTAAAAAATTTCGTCATTTTCACGAAAAAGTGGAAAAAATTTTTCCACAAAATGATATACCCACTTGATAAAAAACCCAGAAAAAGGCATCAAGAGTTAGAATTTGAAAGAGAATAAACATTTAGTAATTAACTGGACCTCCATTGAGTCGTGTTACGTCAAAAATTCGACTGTCCATTGATAAATAAAGGTTGTCAAGAAGCTGTTGATCGACAAGCTTCCAGGCTTCCACGATTGCCTTTTTGAGATTTGTAATTAAATGAAAAGACTTGCTGCCATCGTAAATCTTCTTCACCATAAATCCCCAGACGTTTTCGATGGGGTTTATGTCTGGAGAACAGGCTGGCCAGTAGAGAACTGGGATTCCATGGCTGCGTATCCACTGGATGGTGCGGCGAGCGCGATGACAAGGGGCTCCATCTATCATGAAAGACTAATTTTTGTGCCCATTTCGACGCCAAAATGGCAACAGACCACGTCTTATGACGTATCGGTAGTCAGAACCACTTATCTTCGGCGAAACGAAGCACAACTTGACTCTTCCATGCGAGCTGATTGCCGCCCACACCATGACGCCTCCACCTTTGAAATTTCTACGCGAAAACCGTAGCTTCTCTTTTCTCAAATCGTGCCAATAATCACGATAACCATCTGGCCCATCACAATTGAACTTTTTTTCATCAGAAAAGACTACCTGAAGGAAGAAAAAGAGTTCAATGAACGTTGACGTTATTCTTACTTGTCTCCAGTTAGTTCGTTGATTCTTTTTTGCAAACTCCAGTCGTTTTTCACGATGTATTCGAGTCAACATTGGTGCCTTCCTCATTTTCCTGTGTTTGATGAAGTTGCTCTTCGATAAAACACGCCGGACGGTTTGATTTGTCAGCATGAGATTGAATTCCCTTCGAATCGTTGAGCACGACACGGCCGAATTTGACGCTCTTCGCAAAATTTTGCGCTTATCACGATCCGAAAGCAGTGAAGGACGACCTGTCAACTTTTTTTTGACCATATGCGGCTGGATTCTTAGCATATCGGCTAATAACATTTTGTGTGCGTCCGAGATCATTCCCAATTTGCCGATAAGAGAGACCTTGAGCCAGTTTTGCTTCAATTTCACATTTTTCAAAGTCGGTGAGCGGCATTCTACGAGACATGTCTTAAAAAACAGTAAAATTGCAAAAAAAAATTCGAAAATACGAAAATATACGAAAAAAAAATCGAAAAAAACGCCACAAAAATGGAGTGGGTATATCATTTTGTGGAAAAATTTTTTCCACTTTTTCGTGAAAATGACGAAATTTTTTAAATTGTTATTTTTTGTTGAATTTTGTGAATGTAACATGAAACTAATAATAAATGCGCATATTTTTCTAATTGAAATCATTTCTGGAGCTATTCGCGTTTTCGAGTTATTCGACAAAATTGGGGTGGGTATATAATTATGTGGAGCACTGTATAATAACTGTGTAGAAAGAAAACAACATGAGCTAAAAATGGCAAAGACGTTTAGAAAGAAATTTGATGAATCTCTACGAGTTTGAATCACCGCCCTTTGTTTAGCGTAAAACTTGAGAAAAATGGCATGTTACTGATGGAAAGTAACAGAAAAAATTGAAGATTAAATGAGAGAAATGTGCAATAAAGGTTAGCTCACATGGTCATCTATTTTCCGAAAATGTTATACTTAAGTATATATTTGACCAACTTCACTTAAATAATTAAGAATTATTTTTGAAAAAAATCGCAAAATGAGGTTCTGCTAACTTTAAAAAATTAAGCTCGACAATTTAACTGAAACTAACTGTCTGTGGGGAATTGTTATTAAACATATCAGCAGAATTCCTCAAATAAATTAAATCTTGAATTTCGATCTATCGGAAACTGAGCTCAAATCAAAACAAAAATCATTAAAACAAAATAAATTTTTAATTAATTTATTCATTTGTTGTCTCTATATAAAAATTGATTAGTTAACACCGATTTTTTTGATAATCGTTTTTTTTTTAATTCAGGAATTTGCTTTCCCGCTTTTAAAGACTTTGCAATTTATTACAAGTTGCATCTTCGACTCCTAAATCCTTTTCTAATTTACCATTCTTTTTTTGATAATTATTGAAAAATAAAACACCCATTTTCTTTCGATTTGGGTGCTCAAATCTTCTCTTACTATTTTTTTATTATTGTCACGTTATGTTTTTCAGTAGCATTTTTGATAGCATATTTTGATAGAAAATTTTCTTTCTTCAAAAAGTTAGATTATGCGAAATTCGCAAAAATCAGCAATTGATGCAGGCGTATTACCTTGCATCATTTTTTTGATTTGACCTGTAGCGCGGCCGCGCGCTATTTTGATTTTGTTGCACCAAAAAGATTGTATAAAAGGGGACCCATCTCGCCATATCCGCCATTCGCACAAAATTTTTGCCCTTATGTCTGGTGTTCGCTAATCATACTCCCGTTGTTGATCATTCTTTCACTTTTCTTTTTCTCGTCTATCATCATATCAGTAATCGTTTAAAGGTTTTTTTCAGATGCCGGTACGTAACGCGTTGTCTGCCACAAACGGGAATGGAATGAATAGCTCCCTTGCCAAAAAGGTCGATGAACCAATGGACTGCGATGAAGTCAAGAATGCGAGTGTGCCAATGGAATTGGACCATACTACGGTTCCGGATGAAGGAAAACCGGCCACTGCCATCAAACCGATTGACCTCAATTCGGTAAACTTTTTATATTATGTCCACAATTCCGCTCTTTGGTCGGATTCGGTTTTTCCCGGCGAAAAATCTTGATTATAAATTTGACTTTAAATCGCCAAATGCATATGTCAGGCCCTATATAAATTTTCAAAATATATTCATGATAACTTCAATTTTTCAGTCCTACACTACTTCAGTGGTGGCTCCTGAAAAACAACCTGCATTAAAGACATCAAACCTTCCGGAAGGATGCATCACTAAGCTGGTAGGTGATTTGTTTGTTTTGTACTTAAGCTGATCATCTTTTTTCTATGATTGTGGAAAGAATTATCGAATTTTATTAATTGGATGCGATCAATTGAATTTACAGATTGAGGAGAAAGTTGAGGAATGGAGAGAAACTCGTCCGAACGAAGCATCTGATGTTGCTGTTGCTGCTTCTGCTCTCATATCTCTTGGCGAATGTAATTCCGCGAGTTCTTATGAAGACGATGAATGGATGGAGGTAGACAATCCTTTATGGTCGGATGAATCAGATGGTGGTGATATCGATTACTACAATGGCTCGCCAGACCATGATGCAATGTCGGACCAAAACTGTAGCGATAATTCAAAACATGACGAGACCTCAGATTCAGAAAAAAACAAGGTTACTGAAATTTAAATTTATTCGTGTAAAAAAATTTAGTCGGACAATACTGAGGAAGTCGACGTTCGCGAAAAAGAGGTTAATGGAAAAAAGCGGCCATTTGAGGTTGATGACAAGTATCTTCAAGCTCTCTGTAAAGCTGATCAGGTATGTTCGTTTTTTTTTTATCCGAAATTAAGAATACGATATTTATTATCAATAGGGTCCTCCTAAAGCGCCACTTCCGAACAATCAGACGAGTTTGACGTTTCCTAGTCGCCAATCGTTGCGAAATGCTCAGAAGATTGCATTTTCTTTTGTGGACCATTCAAAATATCCAAATCTTAAATGGAATCCGGCTCCACCACCGGAGAAGAAATCAAAAGTAAAAATGGCGCAATCAAAGGTTGAACCGTGGCTCGAAAGTTTCGATTCGCTGATCCAGAGACTTGGTGCAGACGTCGAAAGGGGCAATGCAAACGCGAAAAACGACAAGGACAACGGTGCTGTGAGAAGATTTCAAGGACTTCCAAAAAAGGAAGAACGCGAATCGGCAATATTGAAAGCTGCTCTGCGTTGTCGTCCTGGTATGATCCGCGGTCCTTTGCAATACGGAATCCTCAACTCAGTAATTGCTTTAATTTTTTTTTCAATTACAATTCAGTTATTACTTTAAACTTAGAATATCGGTTCTTCACATTCACTTCGCTCGTGTGATTATAATGTGCTTCACGATCATACCTATGCTCTTCCGCGAAGTGATCATGAGGTCGCGTACAGATGCACGATTGGTGATGATGAAATCTTAGGAAAAGAAGGTGATTTTGATATTCCGGATTTGAATGACGTTGGACCTCAATGGGTAGAAAAGTGATTTATTTGGCCAATATAATTGAATAACTTTTTAGGAGAACGAACTCTCCCCAATCATGGCTGACTATATTCGTAACTGTTTTATTTATCGGAATAGGCGAAATACAGCAACAACGCGAAAGGAATCGACAGTAAAGGAACCGAAAAAGGCTGTAAAGCTTTATGACGCCTATCCAAAGCGAAAACGTGATGCTAATGGAAATGTAAGCAATTTTTTTGTTTTTTTTCATACGTCTTATTTTTCAGTAAATAACTACTCTGGGATAACAAAGATTAAATTTTCACACTCGTCTTCTTCAATTATTCCTTTCTTATCTACGTGTATTATTCCCGGTGTTCTTTCCGGCCTACCGTTGATCAATATTCGGTTTAATTATCTATTTGTGAATCTTGCCCGTTTGAATCTGCTCAACTCCATGTTTTATATTTATTCGGTTATTTTTAATGTGTATTTATGGGTGGTATAATTGCTGTGAATGAAATATAAATGAACCAGAGAAAAACGTCGTGATGGTAGAAACGAAGCTTAACGGAAATAATTCATTTGTTCCAAGACTCTGGAAAGTTGCAATTTTTTACTTTTAATTACGTATATAAAAGATAAATTCAGACAATTGTCTGCCATTATGAAAAAATATTCTAGCATATCCTGCGTAAATTTTCCGCAATAGTGTCAGAATATCCAAAATTAACAATATCCATTTTTCCCACGTTCGTGATGTTTCTTTTGCCAATTGTATTAAATCATCTTCATTACAAAATAAAGAATAATATGCTGAAAAAGATAATGCTGCCAAAAACCGATTTGCTGGTAACAAATTTTATTCTTTTGAATTTCTGATTCATAGAAGATAAGGGGTAAGCATTTTCCAAATTTTCTTACAATGTACGTACTACATATATGTATTATCAATTGTTTTGAAAATTTATTAAAAATATTCTCTTCTTTTCGAATAATTGTGCAGGCTGACCATCACACTTTATGTTTGGTGTTAAGTGACACATTTATATTTCCTCATTACAATTTCATTTGAAACATTTTTTTTATTCTTGAATATTAGGCTATTTGAATATTTCAATTAAAATTATCGAAAATACGTATAAAATTTCAGTGTCAACTGCAAAAAATTCCATCCTCCTCAAGTGGAAACGCAGTAAATTTTCATCGATCAAGGTCGCAATTTGCTAACGGTCTCCAATTCCAACGATCATGAATTATCGCTGTTTTATAGTTCAACGATTCCCTTTGAGTATTATATATTCCCGCAGCACTGTTTATCTCATCTTGATCGATATAGATAACTGGTAATTAACGAGTAAACCTTGAGGAATGATATCGATATCTAAATATTATTATTATTATTATTTCGACTGACACGCGTGATGAAACGCAATTAAGCGGTGTCACATTAACAAAACCAAAAGCACCGTTCGAATAATGAGGAATTGTTCATTTTCAAACAGCACTACCAATAACAACAACAACAGCACTGCATAAAACGAGATAGCACGAATAAGGAGAGGGAAGGCATGACAATTGCGCAGGTATGGGCACCCCCCGTGTGTGTATGTATGTCTCACTGAAATGACCCTCACGCGGCCCGACGACTTTCACCCCAATCTGATTCTTCGACCAGCGCGTTTGTTCCTCCGAAATTCCGCCCTCGATTTCTCACTTCTTTTTCGCATTTGCCGTATAACTATTTAATCCAAAAGTCGCGATTTTCTTTGTACTATATACTGACCTAGTAACCATAGCAACATTGCAGAATGAAACAATACCTCAGCTATGTGATCCTTGTCAATTCCATCATTGCTTTTCTCTTAATCGCCATTGCACTTTTCACACCATCATGGCAGGTAAAACCAATACAATTGGTTTTAATTACTACAAATCCCCAACAAAAACCATACAGGTTGTGTATGCACGCGAGATTCGACAATGGATTCAGAGCGGTCTTTGGTTGTCGTGTCAAACAAGGTTGTTATGTTTTTTTTTCATATTTAACTATAATTGTATTTTCAGGCCAAATGGGATGTATAGTTGCACCTACACTTTCTCACATGACGATTTTAGTACCTACTTTAGCGATGAAATTTCCGGTTTCCGGACTCCAGCATTCTATCGTAAATCAATTTTCGATTAAATTTTGTCAAAAAATTGTAACTTTCAGCATGGCAGCGAAATCTACTTCATGTGTTCCTTATATCCCAAGGCTTCGCACTGCTATCGTTCATCTGCTTTTGTGTCTCAGTGTCGCACAAAGAATCCCGCCTGCCCAACATTCTTCGAAGCATCTTTCTTGTAATTGCTGGTAATCTCAAAGGTTTGAATTGTTTTGGAAATTGCCAGATTTCAGCGCTCATCGCGTTTGGATGTCTTGTAACATTTGCAGTGTTTTCATATATGGTTGAATACCGATTCTACCATGTCTCTGTTAGTGGAATTTATGAGGTATGTAATCCGTTGTATGAATCACAGTATCTCAATAACAAACCGAATTTCAAACGAGCAAAAGTTAAAAAAAATATCATTTTGTAGGGATTTGTTAAAGTCTATTTTCACAGATTGTCTATTTTCATAGGAAATTTTACATATAAATATCATAAGTCACCAACCTAATTTTTTCTTAGAGTAATGTACATACAACCTTTATAGACATGGCGATCATTGAGCATCCACTTTTATAGATACGAACCCAACTTTGCAATCAGCTATTTGCGATTAAAGTCAGAATAACTTGAAATGTTGCAGAAGCATCGCGGGTATTCCTTCTATATCGCTTGCGTTGGAGTATTCTTCTACCTCATTGCTATTATTTTGTCAGCAATTGAATGCCTTTTTATTGCGAGAAGCACTTCGACCACCTCCCAACAATTCATCAACACTTCGCAGGTTCAAATTGCCAAAAATTACGCAATTCATTAAAGAAATTTCAGCAATTTGAATATTTTGACCATAATCCTTATCCTCAGCATCAATCATTTGAATCATTTGAGGATAGATTCGCAATGAGAACTCTCCCACCAATTCCACGAGAAGAAAAACGAACGACTTACTTTTAACATACTGTTTTTTCAATTTTCTTTCAAAAACGAAAATGATCTAACGGGTTTCAATCCATTTTAATATCAATTTTCTTTTAGATTATACGGTTCTCCACCAAAACTTTCAGCTTTTAATGAAGTATTTATATAGAATTTAGATTATTTTTTAGAAATAATGAGTTAAATCTCAATTTGTTACTGTTTAATTGCATTTTATTTCTATATTTGATCATATTCACAGATTCTGGAGTTGTGAATGCTTTTCAACTTTCGGACGAAACTTGCCAAGTATCAACTTGCATCTCTGATCACCACATGCGCAGCGAATTTCTTCCTGTTCATTGCAACACTGACTCCGGCGTGGCAGGTTTGCCACTATTTGTTCGGTGTCTTCATACCATAATCGTTCTAAATTTCAGGTTGCGGATGATTTGGATGCGGATCGTTACGTTCAATCCGGTCTGTGGCTTTACTGTCCCGGCGCTGCGCAATGCTGGTATATATTCAGTGACAGTTTAATAAACTACTATGAAAAGGTAAGAATGGATTATGGTGAAAGCATCAATTTTCATATCCTACTCAAATTCTGTTGTTGAATCTGCTGAAGCGCAAGAGAAATTATATTTTGTAACTGACATTATTAAATTGTTCTCGTTGTTTAACTAAAATTAATAAAACTGCTGATAGAACAAAAAATACAAATTGAGACAATACACCTGTAAAAATTTACAGTTCTTATTTTTTTCAAGCCTAAACATTCAAACAACTTGGGACAATCTCATTTCAGGTTGATGTTTGTCGATTCTTTCTTATCGGTGATTGCCGCAAAAAGCTGCTACGAACTCCATACTTTTTCGATTGGCATTATGCGGTTCTGATTCTGAACATCATTACTATGGTGTTCCTGACACTTGCAACCATTGCGATTCTTGTGTCTTACTTCAAAAAGAATCGCGCCCGACTTTGTGCAATTTTCTTCGATGTTCTCATTTTTGCCGCATGTAATCCAAAATATTGATTGAAGGTTGAAACGTTGTCAATGTTCAGGTCTTTTTCTCGCAATCTCCCTCATTGTGTTCATGGTGAATGCTGAAATGTTGGAATCGAAGTACCTAATTGGAGTAAAGAACACATACGAGGTAGCGTGGACTGACAAATTACAACATTTCAATCGTCATTTTTGCAGAAATATTACGGCTATTCATTCTACCTCGCTGGATTCGCGCTACTCCTTATTACATTCGCGATACTTTTTGCAACCCTTATTACAACGTACACGTTTTTCTTTGTTGAACAAGTTGAGGAAGATGTTTATCATGATAATAATGTATGCTGTTTGTTGAAACCATATAATGCTAACACGTTTTGCAGTATGCGATATCCATGGAAAACAAATTTGGCCAAAACTACCCAAACAATTTTGCAACACCACTAACGACCCAAGTGAGGATATCTAATTATAGCGATTTTCAGTCTTGAGTGGTTTTAGATTCCAAACACGGAACATGGATCATACATTGCTGGATCGATCTCACCCAATGGAGAGTTCAAATCCCAAACTCGGCATTTTTATAGCTACTGATTTGCTCAACTTTTATTATGATTCCTTGCCTTATGATGCGTGTACTTTCAATATATGTACAACTTTATTAATATAAATTTACAATTTTAAGACGGTCGCCCCATGATAGTTCGGTTTTTTTGATGTTGCCTCATCGAAGCATTCTTTTGAACAAAACACATCACCGTTGAATTGTGCAAATTGTGCAACCTCAAAAATATTTATGAATTTGAGTTGGTTGCTTTTCTTGCTTACTTTTTGTTCAATCATGCCGCAAGTTGAGCAAAGTTTCATTCCAGCTCGTTTTTTCTGTTTGCAAATATTGCAAAATTGCATGTTTTTTTTTGGCGTACCTTTTCTACAAATCGATCTCCAAAAATTACAGATGTTCCTGTTGGTTTCCACTGTTCGATGATATGACGGTCAAAGTCAAGCAGAACCCACGTACGATTGTCAGTTCCAAATTGTTGAAAGAGCACAACTCTCTCATCTGGTTCCCATTCCGGATCAGTTTCGAATCGAATCGACTTTTTGCCCGTTTTTTGATTAACCCATCGTTGTTGAAGGTTGACGACCACTTTGATGAATAATGTGAATGCTGGCAATTGAGCTTAATGGGAGGAGGTTCTAGAAATTATCTCTAATCTTGTTGAACTACCAATCACAAGTTGGAGTAGTTTCCCATTAAATTCTCCATAAATGATCACGAATGACTGCGCGATACGATCGAATGAAGAAGATCTGTTTAAGATTGCCGGATTCGATAACGCGCTCAGAAGAAGATCCTTGGAGCGAATGATATTGTAAATTGCTTCCAGATACTGAAAATAATTTTATAAGTTGGTCTATGGAAATTCGTAAAACAAAAATTTTAATTGTTTTGATTTTATGTTTTATTTTTTATTTGTCAAGCTTTTGACAACCTCATCACATGTTCTCCCATCATATGAAGCATTCTTTTATGTGATAGCGTTGTTTGACGCTTGGAAAATTGCAGGTCAAGTCTTTCGCAACATGTTTTCCTGGTAGAGCGCAAATTAATTAAATGCGATTTAGAAAGAACAAAAGATTTAGTTGCCCAAATTCAGAGACTTATTAGGAAAATCTCAAGGATGAATTCATTTTTAAGATCATTATATTGTTTGGAAGAGCTAATCTGAAAACGTTGAAAGGCGCATTCTGCTATTTTATTGAGCTCCCACTCCCTCAATGTGAGATATTTTCTTAAGCTAAATTCAATTAAAATCAATAAAAATTATGTTTTTCAACATTGGCCAGCTAGATATTGAATAACACGGTCCTTCGAGTTTTTTCAGACCTAAGGCAGCAATTCAGATAAAAATCATCGTCTTGATCATAGCAATATAGCAACGAAATTACCTCGTATGCTGTTTTCTCATCGCTGCTTTTATCAGCAACTTTTTGATGGATTTGTATAAAAGCGTCATCACATGGGAACAAGACGTCATCATTCTGCTGCACATAGTTGATAACATATCCGCGAACTGAAATCACCAATCTCGACCACCAAAGTCTATCCAGTGAATTAAACATCTGCAAGAAAAAATCGCTGCATTATATAGGCAAATGTAAATCAACAAACCTGTCGGAATATGTCACCATCAATCTCAGTTTTCATAGAAAAGTTCACATTCAGAATCTCATCCTTTGGGAACAACTCCTTATCGTCCATTGAAACAGGCAAAGTCATGTTTGTGAAGCAACAAATCAGGACGAATGACTGATTCGAGTTACCTTGACGTTTTGCATAAATCGTTTTCTTGCCCCTACAATTCGAATAAATAATCAAATAACGTGCTTAGATGAATAAAACGCACACTAGGCGACCATGCGTTGGCGTTGTTCAAACAGGTTCTCACAATGTCTAATCACAAGATGGTTTTGCCAATTCGTCTTGTGGAGGGGCGTATTCTTGATGATGTCCTTTTTCGAAATTGGTCTCGCCGCCACCTTTGAAAGTGCCCGAAACGTTGTACGCCGAACATTACGGCAAATTGTTTCTGCAATTGATCATTCTGCAAAATTACTATTTTTTCTTTTTACTAAACATTATGATGTCAATAATAAATGCGTATTTCGCATTGATAAAAATGATTAATTGATAATCATGTAGGTTCAAAAACATAGTATTTTTTGTATATTTCCAAATATGTACATAAGAAATTTTTCAAAAATGAGTTCAAAAGTTCAGTAAACTCTCATGATATGAATTTCTGTGGAAAAAACATGCGGATTGGAAACGGATAAAACTATAAACGCTAATAAGAAGTTCGTCAACTAAACAGCATGGACATTTAAGAGATTACCAGAGACATGTGCACTAATACGTCGAGATGTCACAGCCGCAAAGAGCTTGTCCTAGGCGAAAAATCTAGAAAGAATCAAGATAAATAATTTATTCGTGCTAGCTAATTATATTGCACGACACAATTAACAGAGTTTTATACAATAAAACAATTAAATTCAATGATCACTTTTTTTTTCGAAAGTTCCATATCCAGAGAATTTCTCCTTAATTGTGAAAGATACCAGTTCGTGCCAAATTTGTAATCGAAATTAGGAATCAGAGTGACAAAACACCAATATGTTCGCAAAATACATGTAAGTTTGCATTAATACATGGAATTGGAATTGAGTTGTTAATCATGATTGCTATAAATACACACGTACGTCAGTTCGTATAGTAGAAAACACAAGAATACAAAATTAACAAAAAAACCAACAGTTGGAATAAATGAAAGTGAGAATCATTAGAGGGATCACGCTTAAAATATAAGCTGCCAAATCGAATTGCACAAAAATTTGATTAGTGGAAGAAGCCAGATGGTGTAGTGGAAATAGTAAAGAACAATCCAGAACACTTGGGAGAAGCATGCTTCACTGAAATTTGGCGTCACTTTTCTCTGCTCTCCCGGAAAAACTCCAGTTTTATAGAAATTGTCAAGAAGTGTATCCTGAATGAAACATGTTTAGCTTCCCAACTTGATATTCATTTTGTTTTTACTTTTAGCTGGTAGCGTTCATACAGGAACTTCTGCAACTCCTTCTCATCGGACCATTCTGGTTTCACCGGGATGATTTCATAGTGAACAGCGAAGTTGGAAGAATCCTCTGTAGGCCACTCACCAATCATGGCTCCACCTGAAAAAAGTCGAACACGTTGATGAAATTGTACAGCATTTTTTTTGGCAAGTATACCCATATCAGGAACAATTCCCTTGCTGTATCCAATGGTGGCATCAATAATGTAGCGAATTGGAGTTCCCGATCCACAATTGGCGAGCATGTAGTTTTCTAAAATGCAGAATTCTCATTGTTCTCATTTGATTTCATTCCCAACCATTCTGTGGTCCGAGAACGTCCAAAACCGCATGTGCTGCGCCAGTTCTTGGATATACACAATTTTCCAACGGGACTAAATTATTCTTCTCGGCAAATTTGCGTCCGCTATCCTTGACCAAAAATAGACGCGAACCTGAAAACTTATGATTTTTCCAAACTTGTTTCATTTATACCAGTTTTTTTAATTAGAAATTTCTCATAAAAATATGTTTTAAAGGTTTTTAAATTGCCAATATGTATGTATATCTATTTTTCAGATTTTTCAAACGTTCTTTAAAATTGGTCATGCAATTCAACTTTTAATGACCTTTTCACTTTGAACAATTATCTGTTTAATTACCTTCTGGGTACATTATAACCCATCCATAATCAAATTTGTGGAAACGATCTTTGAGATGTTGGCGGAAAGATTGAAGAACAGTATGACGTTTGCTGGCTCCTCCATTCACAAAGAAGTTGCCGTGAGTGGTCCACATCACGCCGATGGGTGTGTACTTCCAGATATTGTAAATAACCCACATCCACTAAAGGTCATCTATTGGATAATGTGCTTTTTGTGTTTTTGCCTTACTCTTGACCGAATCGAGCCTTTCTGATCCAAGCTCTGCATGAGAATGAAGTGGTCAAGAAGACCCAAATGATTGGCAAGTAGAAGGCATTTCTCCTCTCCAACTTTCGATACGTCAGCTCCAAATTCGGTGACCTGTGCTCCGCAGAACACGGAGCAAGCGCTCCAATGCGCATTCACCATTCCACATAAGTAATGCTCAATGAGATTGAAGAGTGGGAGTCTGAAAATAAAATCGTCATTTTTTTTAATTGACCGGTCACATTCAATGGGGGGGGGGCATAGAGACCCCGGAGGGCTTGGAAGGTTTTAAGAGGCTGCAATCAATCAGTGTCACCTAGAATGATATCCAATTTTTTCTCGATAGAAATGATATAGAGGCTCCGGAGAAGTAATAGTCGATGATTTATGTTTCTGACTCTTCCTCTCAATTTATCAATAGAGAGTTTTCCCGCTTCTTTTTTTTCATATTTTGTTGTTGCTACCCATCGCAAGTACTTTCTCGTTATGAGCCTCTTTCGAAACTTCTAGGCTAGAAGCGGCCCAACAATGTTTAGAAATTCTGCTAGAAAGTGTCGCCTTATCAATTTTGCATTGTTATCAGTAGCTAATTTTTTTTTGGTTCGCAAATATTTAGCGGAGTTTACCTGAAGTAAATCAATGGCGATATTAGAAGAACGGTGAAGAAGCAAGCGACTGGTATCACAAGAGCCGTCATGATAAGAAAATAAGCCGCCCCTAAAGAAGAACAAGTACACTGAAACGAATATAGACGATGAAATCGGTTACCAATGTATGAGAGTATCTTGCGGATATCAGCTGTAGGTGCAGGCTCGAAGTCTTGAATCGAACGATGCATGGTTCTCACTGAAACGTCCACTTTCGGATTGTCAGGATTGATTAAGGTCTCTTTCAACATCTGAGATAGTAATTTAAATGTATATCTGTTTCTTGAGCGATTCAAAATTGAAGGAAAGAAAAAAGAAAAAAAGAAGAAGAAAAATGGCGTGAAGATGCAAACATCGAATGACTGACTGAGTGGAGGGGTACAAAAAATGAGAACAACAAGCAATGCTATTGAGACGCACACAAAAAATGTATATATGCGTGTGTGGAAGAAACAAGCACGAGAAAAAAAATATAAAAAGAAAGTAGGCGGCAAGTTTACGGAATCGAATTGTACCCAGACGAATAATGCGGGAAATTCTAGAAAACTCCTTTTTCCTCTTCAACTGAGCAATGTTGAAATTGTTCTTTGGTGTATATGCGTATGCGAGTGTGAGCGTTGAGAGAGAGTAGTATGCAAGTGGCGTGTTGTGGTTGAGGCGGAGAGGACGTTTTGCCTGATGGCTCGCGTCTCTCGATTTAATCCAAAACGCCGCCTCATCGTCAAGACAATCTCACCAAATAAATGCCATCTCTACTGTGTATTCCAAACCTTATAAAACGATTTCAGCAAGGATTTCTCTCATGTTGGCGTTTTGGGTGGAATTGGAAAACAATTTTAATGGGCAAACATGCAGCGCGAGAACAGGGAAATACGCAATTTCTGCGAAGGTCAACTAGGCGGGTGTTGCCATTCGTCTAGTCGGACCCTGCTGCTATTTTGGTGACAATTTGCGAATGCACATCTGGTTATCTAGACCTCGACGCCATTCGGCTCGCGTTTTGAACAAAAAAAAGATTGCAACTAGAAACGTAAACGTTTTACGGCTTTCGATTTATGAATTCCTGTTTTTCCTGTCAACACTGTGAATTTTTAAAAGGCGGGCTGGTAGTTTGGTTAAAGCAATAAGGAAGAAGGTGAAGATTCAACTTCACACTTGAAATTCTCCAAGTGCTTATGTCGTTCTTTCAAATATAATTAAAATTGTCACTCTAAAAATCAACGTGAATATATTTGTTTAAAAAGTTGAACAATAAAAGAGAAGATTTAGATATAAACATGCATTTTTCACATGACTTTCACTTTATTTTGAAATTTCAATATCGCTCTTTCGGTTTACGATGCCTAACCTGAATTTTTTTGTGTTGTGCTAAAAAAATGGAATCATTTAAATGCATTGTAATATTCAAAAATATCACAAAAATTAAAAATCTGATCGCTTGCAAATGCAAAGACTTCAAGTTTTGTATTGTACAGTTCTGGGGGTGTCTGGTTCACTAATCGGCTATCCTTTAGCGACGTCATACAATAGATATAGACGGTTTTTTTTTGACAAATATCATGCAATAAAGAGAGGATCAGGTATGCTCGAAATGTTGCAATAGTTGTGGGATGAGTTTTGCATCGCTCAACTCCATTTTTTAAAGTAGACAGAATTATGTTGCAAACATCATCAAAAGATCATTCTTATGCAAATTTGGGGATTATTGAAAAAAAAATACGCAAAAACAATAAACGTCCAATAATCTATGACAATGTAAGCCTCTGGAAATGAAAAATTGAAAGTCATTTGTTAAAATTGAATAAAATTGATTGGAATCTGGTCATCAAAAAAGCTGCTGAATTATTCGCATAATTTTGTTTCTAAGGAAAACTAAAACATCAAACTTACAGAAATTCATGGTGATGGTAAAGAAATTCGCCATTTAGTTCTGAATTTCTGGCAATTTCTTGTTTCTATCAGCAATCTGAACTTGAATATATAATAGGTACATAAGCAGATGTTGGTTGAATTAAGTCTAAATAAAATTTTACATAATATTTTCAATCGAACATTTCATCGAAACTTACTATAACATTGTTTAAGATTTTTTGTATTTATCTCGCGTTTGTTTCCACCACTGACATTCCTTCAACAAGACATAAACCTATTTACGTTTAATGCTTTTTTGCACTTTCAGAGCAAGGACGAGTAGAAGAAGACACCATATTAGCTTCACACTTTGGAAACGAAAAGTAACGGGCATTTATGCATAATAATTGTCGGCAAATATGTAAAAATATATATATATATATATATATATATATATATATATATATATATATATATATATATATATATATATATATATATATATATATATATATTAATGAAATGAAACTTCGAATTCGCTTTTATGAATTTGGAAATTGTCTTCAAATGTTCAGAGTTCAAAAAGTGAACAGAACACAAATGAATCTTCGGGAAATGAATGAAGTGTCGCACATTTCAATATAAATTATTATTCTTGATTATTCATCAAAGAAAAACATTCCGTCATATACATTCATCAACATTTTTGGAAACATTGAAGAAAAATATACAATGATAACAAATATTCTCTCATTTGAACGCAAACGCCGCAAACATCGCAACCGTGAGAAGCTACACACTCTAGCCAAAACAATATCTTACCCGCCAATTTCAAGTTCCTTTTACTTCCTTTCAAATTGGAGACCGTTGAGTACCAAGGTACATCGAATAAACGATACCCAGCAAGTTTGATAAGGCTGACCCGCGAAATGAATGGCGAAAAAAGAATATGATTTAATGAGTTGTTAATTTTTTATTACCCTCGTTAAAAAATGCGTTTTATAATTGTTTGTTTGTTCGGTTTTGGCCCACGTTTTATGTTATTTTAGGATTTTATCTGTAAGTATTGAAAATTTGGACATTGATTCTTTTTAGACGTTTGTTCAATTAAATATAGAACAAGCTAAGAAAAAAATCACGATTGAAGTATTTTCTCATCTGATCTTTCCCACCGTTTACTGGAAAAGTTTAAACAAACGAAAAGGGTGGATAACAGATTAGCATATTCAGAAGTCAATTCTTTTCTAACAAGCAACTTTGAAAACATTTCTAAGAGTATCCTTCCTAAACTTCTGAGCAAACAAACAAATATCATTCCTAGAACACTAAAAAGGCGAAGATATGAACTACTGGGCATCCTTGAAATTGGCTTTATTGAATCGGCAAGAATGCGCAATTATTTTTTATTCTTCACATAAGCAGATTCGTCAGTTCAAAAGTGCCTATTACATTAATAATTGTTTTTGCAGGTCCTGTAAAATAGTTCAAATGAACATTGAATCCTTAAAACGGCATAAAATTTTTACTAAAAATAACTGTCTCATGTGAAGCCGTCAGCATACGTTTTGCAATTTACTTGTCATGAAAAAGCTAACCGCTCGCATTTTTTTTTCGAGACAGAAAATAATTGTGAGAAAAAAAAAGTTATTGAAAAAGGAAAAATTGAAATTTTTTGTTTATGCATTGGCTTTCTTATATTAATTTCACGTTCTCATCATAACAATATTGAAATTGCGAAAATAGATTATAAAAACTGTGGAATGTCTTAGGCAACGTTTCGAAATACATTCCAGACTTTTTTGGTGAACGCAATACATTTGATATTAAAAAATGTCTCAAGGAGCAACTTGCTTTTTTAGATATTTTTAAGCTCAATTCATAAGCTAATTGTGAATTAGCTATCTAAGATTTTTGATTTACGAATAAGGGGTCGAATGGTGTGCATCCGATATCTAAATATATAAAAATATGAGAATAAGAACAAACTGTCATAAACAGTTTTTACTGCGAAATGGCGTAGATGACATTTTTTCTAAGGGAAAATTGCAAAATGGAGGCTCGTAAAATTGAAAATGGAAAAAAAGACTGCGAAAGTCTACACCATTAGTTTGCAAAAATGAATTCAAAATTAGAAACTGTGGGGAGTGGCGAAAAATTTGCTTTCTCTAATTCAGTCGCATCAAAAGATGTAAACAAAATAGCATAAATAACATTTTTCTTATTTTCAAAACATTGTTTGCTAACTTGAAACTTACTCTATGGCTGAGCTTTTCGTCTCCCAGCTAAAAATTATTTTGAATAATCGGTAACTGATAAAATCGCCTCGTGCTCAATCTTTTATATGGTTCCATGATAATATGAACACGTCAAAAACGGCGCAACGCATATTGTTTCTTTCTCACTCTGTCCATACCCGTGATAACAAATCAAAGTCCCAAGAACGTCGGCTGATTAACCGCCGGTACTAATGCAAATTATGGTGGCGTGATGATAATTTCCGTCCGTTGGTTTTTTTTTTCTATGGAGCTTGAACAAAAAATATCATGTATCAATTTTAAGTCCACTGTATAATTGCTGGTCTCGTGACTAAGAATAAATAAGATAACAGGACAATGTATAGTTATGGCTGTATGAGAGAAAATTAGAATATCGTACTACAATCTAGACAATTTTGGTAATGCATATGCATGTATTTGCCAACATACCTGCTAATGTACATATTTGAGGTTGAATGTCGAATTTCCCGCAACTTCGCCAATACTACTCATTTTGTAGATAACGGTTATGAGAGAGGCGACAATAGTAGATATTTGTCAAAATTGATGAGAAATACTGTTTGACTACAAAACTTGGTGCATAAAAAGTGTTGAAAAGAGCAAACATTGATTTTTGAGTCAATGTGTAAACTGCTCAATGAACTCGTAGCAAGTGCAAAACGCAACACTTAATAAGTGCTGCGGCTCATTTCAAATATATCAGCCGATACTATCTAATTCTTTTGATACCAATTAAATGATGACTTGTGCACCTCCCTTTTTAAATGAAAAATATGATTCATACAGTTCGGCGAAAAAAAAACTGAAACTCTGACTCAACATTTCTTAAAAAATAGATTGCGATGTTATTTTTTTATTTTCTAAAAATGGAATTTTATTTCGGTTCTCTTTCAAATTAGTCATCATTGTCATTGTAAAGAAACTATACAAAAAGAGGAAAAATTCAATTCTTGATGAAATTAGTTGAAAAATCTATGAAGGCATGCCAATCAAATTTCCCTTATGACTATAAAATGCTAACAGTAAAGGTTCCGACTGAAACCAAAATTAATAAGTGCGATGTTAAAGTAACAAAAATTGCTCTTATGGAAAATAAACGTAAAATAAGTAAACCAATGTTTGCA